TGGTGACCTCACCTCCCTCATCCACACCAAGTACCCCGAGATGCTCGAGGACTGCTTCGGTGTCTCCGAGGAGACCACCACCGGTGTCCACCACCTGTACAAGATGCTCAAGGAGAACAAGCTCAAGGTTCCCGCCATCAACGTCAACGACTGTGTCACCAAGTCCAAGTTCGACAACCTTTACGGCTGCCGTGAGTCCCTCATCGATGGTATCAAGCGTGCCACCGATGTCATGATCGCTGGTAAGATCGCTGTCGTTGCCGGTTACGGTGATGTCGGTAAGGGTTGTGCCCAGGCTCTCCACTCCATGGGTGCTCGTGTCATTGTCACTGAGGTCGACCCCATCAACGCCCTCCAGGCTGCCGTCCAGGGTTACGAGGTTAGCACCATGGAGGATGCTGCCCCTACCGGTCAGATCTTCGTCACCACCACTGGCTGCCGTGACATCCTTGTTGGCCGTCACTTCGAGGCCATGCGCAACGACGCCATTGTCTGCAGTAAGTTATTTTGATTCAAAACATGTTGGTTTGAACATTAGTACTAACGATCTTCCAGACATTGGTCACTTCGATATCGAGATTGACGTCGCCTGGTTGAAGGCCAACGCTCAGTCCGTCCAGAACATCAAGCCCCAGGTTGACCGCTACCAGCTCAACGGCAAGAACATCATCCTCCTCGCTGAGGGTCGTCTTGTCAACCTTGGCTGTGCTACCGGCCACTCCTCCTTCGTCATGTCCTGCTCTTTCTCCAACCAGGTCCTTGCTCAGATCGCTCTCTTCAAGGCTGAGGATGCTGCTTTCGGCAAGAAGTACATTGAGTTCGGTGCCGGTGGCCGCAAGCCCATCGGTGTCTACGTTCTGCCCAAGCAGCTCGACGAGCAGGTCGCTCGCTGCCACTTGGCTCACGTCAACGCCAAGCTCACTGAGCTGACCCCCGTCCAGGCTGAGTACCTCAGCCTCGATGTCAACGGCCCCTTCAAGCCCGAGATCTACCGTTACTAATTTCTTTACATTTTTCAACTGCGATCGATGATTTTTTTGGGAAATAGACTTTCAACATGATTCGACGATGTTATGATTGGCATTTCGAGTTCTCCATCAACTTAGAACTCAAAAGTGGTTGTCCTTCAACGGCATAAAAAGTGGCCTGCACCGGGGATGGTGTGTTTCTAATGTTTTGTTTTGGCGTGGGATGACCTGGGATGGTCTTGCATTCAACACTGCTTTGCGGATGGGATTTTATCTTTGATACCTTATTCTGGTGTGTGGGCCTCCATGGGCCGATTGTGACGGTGTAGTACTTCAACAATAGAAGCTATGCGTCAACATTTTCATTCCTGTAGTTGCTCGTAGATATAACTGGCTTGTGGTCATATTTCTGGCTATGTAGTAAGATCTATTCTCTACGGATCAATTTGACCAGTTCATCTGCTACCGCCACTGCAAAGCCGGGATCATTGATGTCACACGAATCTCGCACGACTGGTATCCCACTCCCCTCCAATTCCTTCTCCAATGTAGAAAACAATACCTCATCTGCCTCTGCATCTTGGAATGGCTGACCAGGAACATCCAACATGCTCACTCCACCAACAGGCAAAATCACCTTGGTCCGCTTCACTCTGTCCCTCGCCCGCAACAAGTTCGCAGCTATAAACCTTCCAATCTCCCCACACTCCTTCTTAGTAGTCCGCATAAGCGTAACAGTCGCATTATGCTCATGCAACAACCTCCCCTCCCGAAAAGCATCAGGAACACTCCCCACCCCTCCAAAATTAACCATATCACAAGCCCCAACACTAACAACCCTTGGAATATCCCTCTCCGTAGCCGCAGTCAACCGTTCAGCCCCAGCACTCAGAACCCCACCAACAACCTCATCTGCAATCTCCGTAGTCGTCAAATCAAGCACCGCATCAATCTGTCCCTCCCTAACAAGTCTCTCCAAAGCCCTCCCCCCAGACCCCGTAGCATGAAAAACATAAACCTCACAACCAGCCAGCACCTCCTCAAGACGTTCCCGCGCACGCGTAACACCAGGAGTCGTAACTCCAAACATGGATATACCAATCCTGATACCGGAAGAAGCCTCTACTTCCTGCTTCTCCTTGTTTTGCTGCCGTTTCAAAAACGAACTCGCCATCCCTGCAATCCCACCAGCTGCATTGTCAAGAACACCCTCGAGCACACGGTTCCGGCCCGCAATATCGACAACGCTGTACATCATGCTGATATCAGTTTCACCGATATACGGACCCACGTCCCCGGAGGCCATGGTTGACACGAGGAGTTTGGGGAATCCGACTGGTAGCGCGTCGCGCATCACTGCTGCTGCGAGTGAGGTACCGCATGACCCGCCTATTCCGATGATGCCGTGGATTTGGCGGGATTCGTGGAGAGACACTACTTTCTTCGTGGCGTAGGGTGTGAGGGTGGTTATGTACTCGGCTCGGGGGAGGGTTGTTAGATCTGGGATTGGGGCTGACGGGGTTGTCAGGGCGCTTTGAGGGATAGTGATTTGGTCGTGGGTGGTTGGGTTGCGGCTGATGTCCATCAGGAGAACTGTGGCGTTTGTGGATTCGATTTGTGATTTTGTGTAAAGAAGTTCTGGGAGTTTGGTGTCGCATGTTCCTAGGAGGAGGATTATGGGGGTGTTTGGAGGCATTTTTCTTTGAATTGGAATCGAATAAAGGAAACGAGGTAAGCAAACGAGGATGTTGAGGTTGGAAGTTGAAGTTCAAGTGGAGGTGGGGTGCAATTATAGCGGGGTTTTCCTGCTTCCAAGGGATGCGCTGCCTCTGAGGAAACCTTTGAAGTGTGTGAGGCTCCGAGCCATCAGATGGTGAACCAATTCATCCGGTGGTTTGCACGCTCTACATCAGGTCGACTTAACAGTAAAGAACCAACTGTGAGGTCTGCTCAGGCATGGACTAAGCAATTCTTCGGCGGATTCGCTGAATTCACCAACACAGAAGTCATTCCAGAGGATTCGAACAGAAGTTTACCAAGTCCATCCCCATTTTCTTCTAAGGTAATCAATGGAATTAGTCTTATCCCGAACGGGAAATAGTGGATCTGGAATACCTTGACGGTAGATAAAGTTGTAAATAAGAAGAAACACTTTACAAACGACGACTTTCAGAAAGTCGTCTCCTCGATATGGTAAATTGATCACGAGAAGTTCATTCCAGGGCTAGTCAAAGTTGACATACTGTTTGCTCTTCAGCTATAGTTGGCGTGGTACACGGGTTGAGTTCGTCGGCGAAAACGGTAAAGCCTAGCGATTTGGTTGTGGCAAGTAGAGAGATAGCGATATGTTCAGATCATTACCGTTAATAAAGACAACTCCGTGGCTCTAGGCTAGCTTTTACACTCAATGCGGATCGTACTTTTATAGTTAAAAGGGGCAGACAAGTAGCTGCGAGAAAAGCTTCTTATTCGGTATATTGATAACCTCTGCGATGTTACGTTTATCGATAACAATTGAATGATAAGAGATATAAGTACCGATGTTTCTGAGTATCAAAGGTTGATACCTTCTATACGTAAAGAAGTCGACGGGATAAAGAGCGTTCGAAGCCAACGAAGGCCTATTTTATCCGAAGTCCAACCGTTTAGACTAACTTGAAAACGCTAGTCGTTAGTTAGGGAGACCTTCGAACTATAATTCATTTAAGACTTTACCTTTGAAAATCATATACAAAGGAAGCGCGTACCCCGAAGCATTTGTACACTCCATTGCGGTTACCTACTCTCGATTTCCGGGTTATAAAAGTGATCTCTGCCCGTAGTATTGACTTCTCATAATAACGTCGCCGTTGCGGTTAATCCTATAGAAAACCCGGTCTGATCGAAGTTATAATCGTCGTCGGGGTCGATTCCGAACCAAAGGATTGTCCTTTAAACAAGATCAAACCACTCCCTAACCACTCTTGGGTCTTCGAATTTCGCACGCTCGTAATTATATCGGCTTGAGAACCGCGATAAAAGAAGAGGATACCGGTTTGTAAAATTATAAACCCAGTTACTAAAAGAACCGGGGTAGTTCCGCGCTTTTCGACAAGATTCGCCATTTCCCGTACGGTAGAGGGCCGGGGAGCTGCTCCGCGAGAATCCACAGAGAGAATCTATTCTTGAAGAGATTACTCTTCAGTTTCTGTCAATTTCTGCAAATTTGCGCGCGCAGTACTTTGTTGAGTACGGCCAGAGAGGCGGTCGCGTAAAGTTGTACGCGGGATTGAAAGTACGCGCAGCAGTAATGGGGCTTATATCTCCGTCTTGAAAAGCCTGGATAGCTAATAAAAGTCTACCCTCTTGCTCTATTGGTTTTTTAGAGCATTAAGAGCGAATTGGTGGCATGGGTAATTAAAGAAATGTTTGAATCAACCCGTTTTGGGGTAGCAACTTTACCGATTACGTTAATAGACCCGGAGCGGGATGGACTCGCCTTTGCCAAATGAAAACCCATCCACGACCCATGTCCACTGATTATGGCGCGAGGAAGGCCCAAAGTTTCTGTGTCGCCATGCAGGTTCTGCAACATGCAATTTAAAAGAGTGGAGCATCTACAGCGACATGAACGCATCCGTGAGTTTTTTCTTGTCTCTTTGTCCTAACTTGTTCCTTACATGGTCCAGATACGCAGGAGAAGCCATTCTCTTGTGAATGTGGACAGAAATTCTCCAGACGGTCGGTCTTAGAAGCGAGGTACTCCAATGGCGTTATCTTACGATGAACAGGGATCTTCTCATGCGCCACCGTAGGCTTAACCATCATGAGTCGCCTACTGAGATAACGGCCGTGAATACCAGCCAAGATGAAACCATCGCAGAGCAAATGTTGGTCATCTAGAAGTCAGGCGAAGGTCGCGCTAGTAGTCGCGCTAATCAAGAAAACTTCAGTATACCAGCCGAAAACGTCGACCCAAATGCATCACCCTTGTCTTCACTTGTCCCAGACAATAGACCTGCGGAGCACTGTTCGGCCCTCTCAAGAAACCCTATGTCCGATATAACTTTCGATCATGCACAATTTCCCCAGTCTATGCCTCTTGATCCAACAACCAGCCTTGGTCCCGACTCTACGTATGAGTTTGAGTTCCTCTGGAACAACAGCAGTGACATGACTGATTTTTTACCCACAACGTTCTTTGACACAGATTACTCGTTGTCTGAAATCTGGCAAACTGATAATATCAGACTCAATGGCTCTGGCTCTGGCTCTGGCTCCGGCTCTACGGTGCCCGTTCCTCAATTTGAACAAGGCGGAAGAGACCAATCCCCCAGCAACGAGGCTAACTCCGTGCCCTTCGTGCCACTTTCATCTCGGCTGCCACCTTTAGAGCCGGACTCTTTGTCATCACGCAATGAGAGACTACCTCACAATGAGTTAGAGTCTACTGCAGGCCTTGACTCGTCTCTGGACACTCAGACTGGCTTGCCGTGGAACATTTGCTTGCCTAAATATGATCGAATATCAGCTGCTATTCGATCGTATGATCAAGTGTTGTCCAAGGGATTTTTCATCCCATCTAGACATACTGTTTCCCGATATATTGAGGGATACTTTAAAGGATTCCACGAACATTTTCCGTTCCTACATCCTTCAACTCTAAAAGTCGAGACGTTAGCACCGGAGCTAATTCTTGCAATGATGGCAATGGGCGCATTTTGTCGGTTAGAGAAAGGGAAGGGATATGAGCTTTATTTGGCATCAAGGGCCATCATTATGCATCAGCTTGAACAGTGTACTCGGGTATCACTCGCGGGCATTGCAAAAGGTTCATCAAATGGCGCGAGCAGTAGAATTTCTGGATATACCCCCAACAATATTGACGACCGAGAGAGCCATGCCTCCACCTTGTCCCACTCGCCGGTCTCTATTCCTCCACCTCAACTACAATTATTACAATCGCTCATCATTTTGATTGCAATGGCGACATGGGCAGACATTCCTGCAGCCCAAGATGCTCTAGCAATGGGAAGCCAGTTAGCGATGCTTACCCGAGCAGCTGGCTTGCATGTGCGAGATGAAATCGTTGAAAAATGTGCTTGGTTAGAATGGACACGTCGGGAAGAACATCGACGAACTTTGTTCGTGGCGTATATTGTTCTTAACCTGACTAGTATCGCATTCGATGTATCTCCTTTGATCATGAATCATGAAATTCGACTGTCGCTACCTCATTGTAATGTGGAATGGGTGAACACATCTGCAGCTGAATGGCAGCACACGAGGGAAATGTATGGCCACACCGAGTGCCAGTTTCACTCGACTCTCGCGGAGATGATTGCCGGACGTAATGTTCATCATAAGGAGCCCCTTTCTGCCCTTGGAAATTATGCTCTGATAAACGCCTTGATTCAAAACATATATTTTGAACGACAGACCGCGGCCAGCCATACGATCCGTCTCGATACCGTGAAAAAATTCGAATCTGCTCTCCAGATATGGCAAAGATCTTGGGAGGCGACACAAGAAACTTCACTCGATCCTTCCTCTCCAAATGGGCCTCTCGGATTTAACTCAGCAGCCTTGCTCAGACTCGCGTATCTCCGTCTTAACGCTAACCTTGGTCCCTGCCGCAACCTATTATCACAGGATCCGAAATCCATCGCTCTGCTTTTCACGGACGATTCAACTCCACTGTTCACACGCTCCTTGCACGTTGACCGGGCTATTCTTCAATGTATTCACGCCCTAAGTATTCCAATTCGGATTGGCATTGCATTTGTCGCTTGCACACAATCCGTAAATGGGAGTATTCAACACCCCCTCTGTACACTGGAATGTGCACTTTTACTCAGTCGGTGGCTAAACATGGTCTCGGATGCGGTACAGGCGTGGGGTTTGGATTCTCTGCGGGAAGATGAGAGAAAGTTGCTCGGAATGATTGCTAGTCTCATCAGAGAAACAGATATGGCGGATACGCTGGAAGGAAAGGAGACCGATAGTTATTGTATTCGTCGGATGGCAGCAACGGTAGTGAGGCTATGGGCTGAGACATTCAAAGGTGTCCACATATTCGAAATTGTTCGTGTTATTGGCGAGACACTATCAATCGTGGCAGAGCTCCTTGAGAAAAGACTTGAATAAACCAATAAATGGACCTACGTGAGATTTTTCGTATCCTGCACTATTCAAAATATTTGTAGATCTGCGCATGTGTATTCCAAGGTAACATGTGTATTTTTCCCAAGCTAGGAGTCATATCGCTGGATTCCAACCTTTGAACCCGATTCGTTATGTGTGACCCAGTATCCATTAAACATGATGTATCACTCGTTTTGAATTGAAATCAAGCCCAATAATGATGACAGATAACATTGCTAGCTGCCTTCTTAACAACCTGATCGGTGAACCCGCCAGATTTCAATACTTGCAAAGAGGAGTGCTTGGTTTATCTTTCCACAATTGCATCATTTACATGGTTGCTAAGAGGCGAGGTTTTAATGGTAGCTACAATCGCCATTTATGAGGCCATGTTTGTTACGGTCAAGGTGTAGTGGATAGATATCATTCTGCATGTAAGCGATGCTAGCTTCAGCCGCCACTCGCAAAGACACAGATGTTGACCAGCAATGGCTACCTCTATTGGTACTTGTGGAAAACCTTCGCAATAGCCTGCCATCTACCGTCCACCTTAATAAAAGTGAGGAAGTCGGTGTAGTCGGCACCCGAGGCATCTCCTCCTTCCATATCGATGCGTACCACGGCGGTAGTTTGAGTGATGGCGAGAACGTCGTTGCGGGTCTTAATGGCAGGAGCGCTACCACTGTCGCGGATGAATGTGTAAAGGTTATCGATGGGACCGGCAAGCATGTCGGGCTTGGGAGGGCTGATGAAGCCGTACATGACGGCGCTCTTGTGGAATGCCCGAGCAACAATATCGGGGCTACCAGCGCGCAGACCCTCCGTGTACTTGTTAGCAGCCTCAATCACGGCATAGTACTCGGCGGTGGGAACGGGCTTAAGGTTGGCAGTCATTTTCTAGATTTATGTGTTAGAAAACTATTGCTAGTCGAGGAGAGAAGTAACGAACGGATGATTTGACGGAAACGGATTCGAAGTAGTGTTAAGGGACGTAGTTGGATAATGCAATGTGAATTGAGAATGGGTAGCCCATTAAATATGTTGGGATTTGTTTAAATAGTGGTTGGCCAGAGAGCCAGAATACCTGATTATCTTCTCCAAATGTCGACTATCCGCTCGTTGGAGATCAGTTCCTGATCACGATTACCTCGTACCTTATGTCCACTTAGTATAGTAAGTAAAAATACAGCTAAATTAATAATTCTGTTCACCGAATTTATAATCAGCAGAGGAATGGATTCATATGAAACGGGCATGTTCAAGAACTGGGTCTGCCATATTCACTCCAACGAAACTATCTCCACATCTTCAAGTACGCGAAAATTATCACATCCGCTATCGCATTTTAAGTTATGACGACATTGTTTAGGATTATTTCCTATCGAAATTCAAGTATGGCTTTCCCCACCACTGTTTTCAAATAGTCAATGGATTAAGTGGTGGATATGCGAATGCGAGCGTTAGCACTCCCGTGACGCCAAAGTATGCTTGAGTATTCTGATAACGAGCTTTCTTTTCTACCTCGGTGTTTCGTGTCTAGTGCTTTTTGAAAATCCCGGGCTCATGGTAAAGCTGGAAGGCAATGGCGATCGTATGTGCAGCTGTCCCAGTTGTAGATTGACAGACCATCCTGTTTACTAAGTCCAGAATATTCTTTGGCAAGGTATGATCGGCGTGGTAGGTAGCATTGAAACTTATAGGGGGGTTTGATAATCAGGAAAACTAATCGAGGAATTTTTTTTTTGATACGATGGGTGCTATGCAGCTTTCTAGCGGCAATGACTAGACGAGGCGCATGTAACCCGAAGGGCAGGACTGCGGTCAAAGGCATCAGCGCATTACAATGTAACGACCAGACGTCCGGTGAACGAATAGGCAGCTGCTCTGTCAGGAATGTCCTCAGCCTTCTCTAGTGGCAGGATGGTAAAATGACTAATAACCCCATTAGCAGAAACAGCTTTGATCATCGCTTTGACTTCATCAACGGGGCAATGCAGCGATCCCTTGATGACAATTTCTCGGAACACGAGATTACACGCATCAAACTTGAAGCCAGATTCTGGTAACCCGAGAATAACACAGACTCCCCTAGGCTGAAGGCGATATAATGCCCAGTCACTGAGTTAAGGGCCTACAAGAACCTGACTTACGTCGAGTTGAGTGGATACCACTCCACTCTCGCATTGGAGTCAGAATCCTCCATGGAGGGCTTTACAACACCCTTTCCTTGATTCCACCTTTACTTCTAGCGGGGCAAACACATGGGATTTTATATTCCAACAAAGCTGACCTGAGCCTGCCTGGACGGTAACCTCGCCTAGACCGGGCCATTTTACAACATGCCCATGCCCTGGAGGTGCAGCTGTACGGGTGAGCATTCCGTAGTCGGCACGTAGAAATTCAAGTGTTTTTAGCACGCCCAGTCCACTGCCGAGAGTTTTGTCGATGTATCTTAGGCTACTGGAGAAAGAATGGAGAAGATGCGAAATCTATCACATGGGGTCGGAAATGTGGAGCAAGAATTCTCACACATCATGAGGTAGTAGACGTCGAACTTTGCTTTGAATGTGTTGTCTCAAATAAATTACGCATTAGTATCATGCCTCTACTGCTTTTGGGAATTCAGTCTCTTACTAGTGCATAGTTCTCTGCACACAATTTAACGTCGCCCAAGAAGAGAAGGAGACATGTCCCCCATTCGGCTTGGCATTATAGGCTTATCCTAGAAGGAAGGGTTAAATTAACCTAAATACCTTCTAAATATATACTTACTAACTTCTTAATAAAGAATCTTAAAAATAACGGATGCATTTTTGAACTCGCGGATGCCACTTCTATATATATGAAAGGACGAGTGGCAATAATGCCACCGATTTGAATAATTCTCTCCCGTAGTATCGACATTTAGATTACATGCTTATGCGCACAATCTAGAGTTTAGCATATCTCGCAGCCTTGAATTGACGGATTCTATATTGCATCAGCCGCACGCACAAGAAAACATTCAATCTCCAAAACATACTTATCCTCATCCGCCAGCTCAAACAACACATCCTGTGCTCCTTCCCACAGCGTCAGATTCCCAAGCGCGAACAGGTTCTCAGATCCCTCCGTGATAGTCAAGAAGTGATTGGCAGCAAGCGCTCCCATCTTGCTTGCAAAAGCAACACCTCCATAGCAGAAGAGGAATTCTGTCTCCGAGATACCTCCGGGGTACAGCAGAATCTGACCAGGCGCGGGATGCGCAGTGTGGTTCTCAAACGGAAGGTTGAAGTCGGTCTCGCCCAACGGAATCCACATACCCTCGCCACTCCATCGCACATGAATGAGCTTTTGGCGGTATGGAAGGAGAGAACGGAACAATTTGACTGTTTTGGGAGCGGCAGACTCGAGCTTCGCGAGGAATTGATACGGACCAGCCGTAACCAGAATGGTAGAATCTGTCATTTTGAAGTTGAAGGGGGTTGTGAACAGAGAAGGTCGGTTGCCCTCTTGTTTTTCAAGGTGGAGATAACTGATGTTTCCCGCGGTCTATAAGCTAGCGCTCTTCTTGGCGGTTTGCTCTCTCCAATCAGCCTGTGGCTTCTCCGATATCGTCCACTCGGATATCGTCCTGCTCCACTTGATATGGTCTTCTCTATACATGTGGGGCCATATCGCTATATCGTACGGAGTTCGGAGTTCGGAGTTCGAGTTCGGATATCACATATTCTAATCTGTGTGGAAGTCTATAGAAGGAAATTTGTCAATTGAGGGAGAAAAAGGTACATTGCCTAAATAGCTATAACAATGAGTAAATGAAGCAGCTAAACGTGAACTTAGTATCAAGGAAGTCTCAAAGAAAAAGGGATTCGGGATGATTAAGGAGACCGACATTGCTTCGTGTGTTAATACCCTACTCTAGCAATGTCATATTCTCTATCTAGTCTTTTGTGGGGGAACAGGATTCCGTGGAGTTGAAAGGCCTTCTCCATCAAAGTATTTGACCAACATCTGTGCCGCAGAGGCGCGCATGTCCGGATCGAGTCTCGCCATCTCCGAGATATTTGTCATTCTTGGTGCCACGGCCGATAGGACCTTTTGGACAGTCTTACACTGATGTAAATTCTGGCAAAACTTATTGAGATCAGCTGTCCATGCGATTGTTACAAAAAGAGACCAGACATCCATCTTGTGTGACTGGACTCCATTTTGAAGCTAGGGGGTCGTGAACAGTGTCCAACATAAGTCCTAGCACTAATAGTATGGTCGCATAGACCAAAATCACCCAGCTGGTACCGTATATATGGGGCATTTTAGTAGCGCTATACCCCAGTAACATTAAGAGATGTTCGTTTCAAAGACAGTTTCTATGACATTATATTTAAATTATATCAATAATAAAAGGCATCGAAGGGTAGACGGTTTTACTGGATATGTCAGAGCAAATCTAACGGGTCGTGCCCCTACAGGATGCAGGCTGTATTGCAATGGAGTCGGTGGTAAGCACCCCGGTTTATAGGCGGCATACATTGTTCTGTTGTCCCTCGTAAAATGTGGGAAGAAATACAGCGTATTTTACCACTACACCACATACAAAAACTAAGGTAATATATGGGGCCTAGAGGCGCCATATCTGACATTTAACAATAAATGAGACGAACCGAGCGGGTATGCGAGGTTAAAGGATCAGGATACTAACACGGAAAGAGAGGGCCAAGCAGAGGAAATCAAGTAGGCTCGTTAACAAACCAAAAAGTGTGAGAAGTTTAATAATTCATTCTAGTTGCAAAGAAATGTCATGTACAAATCTCAATAGTTTAGTTTGGAGCATCGGAGCTGAAACCTATTCCGAGCTACAGGGTAGATTCACGGCGTTCTGCAGGGAGCACCAACGGCGCAGACATGCATCCAACAGCCAACGTAAAAGGATCCTAAACAGACATTGGTAAGGGGCCAAGTCTGTCGAGCGTGCCAGTCGAGAGGCGGGCTCGGATGAACTGCCTTCCGAGGTCTGCGGTAGCTTTTATGTCAAATGTCAGATATGGCGCCTCTAGCCCCCATATAATTACGTTTTGTATGTGGACTAGTGGTAAAATACGCTGTAATTTCTCCTACATTTATCTTTAAACAAAATGTCAGCTTGATACTTTTTCTTGACTTTCTCCAACAGTTTCTCTTTATACCGTTTCAGTACCAGCTCTTTTTATTGTTGCATTAAATCGCGCAACGCCCTAGATCTCCCTGCTTCTATCGTGAACTGTCCTCTTCATCTATTCAACACACACCAATAGCAGACCAAATGTCATCAGAAGCCCAGCTCCCAACCGTATCGCCAACCATGCGCGCCTGGGTACGCCGAGGGCGCGGTCCTGCCAGTAGCGTGCTCAAGCTGGTCACCGATTATCCAACGCCCGATGTGCCCACAGGCTCGTCGCCCGACGTCCTAATTCGCGTGTCAAACGTGGCACTACAGTTCAGTTCAGAGGTTATGATGAAGATACTACCCAAACTACCTTTCACCAGCCCGTGGATCCCGGAACTTGAGCTTTCCGGCGTGGTAGTAGCAGCTGGCGGGGGTGCATCGGCAGAGCTGCGCGATCTGGGCGCACACGTCATTGCTTTTCAGAGCATTCCTGCCATAGCCATGGGCCACGGTGTGCTGGCAGAATATGTGCGACTGCCTGGCTCCCAGGTCGCGCGTATCGATGATGGTGTTGATATGGCGTCGGCAGCGGGCATTATCGGAGCCGGTAGCACCGCGCTTAAGATGATTCGCACAGCTGGTGTGCGCGAAGGTCACACGGTGCTCGTGAATGGGGCCAGTGGGTCGGTCGGCTCGGTGCTGGTGCAGCTGTGCAAGCTGCGTGGTGCAAAGGTGGTCGGTGTGGCTAGCGGAGGAAACCAGCCCATGGTTCGTGATCTGGGTGTAGATGAGGTACGCAAAATTGCTAATGTTGCTTAAGAAAATGACTAACATACAACTTTGAGATAGTTCATCGACTACCGCGAACATGAACCGCTGCCGGCCTACCTTGCGCAGCAGTATGGCGACAAGCCGTTTGATTTTTTGCTTGACTGCGTCGGCACGCAAGCGCTTTTTGTCAACTCTCCAGCTTATCTTAAACCCGACGGAGCTGTTGTGAATATTGGCATGCTCGAGGGGACATATGTGACAACGTGGAACATACTGCTCAATAGCTGGCTGCCCACATGCTTGGGAGGCGTGCCGCGTCGCTATATAATGTTCAGCACGCCACCATCGTATGACGACGCAGTCTACCTAGCACGTTTGATTGAGGAGGGCCGCTTGCGTATTCCTGTCGACTCTGTCTTCCAGATGAAGGATGCCATAAACGCCTACAAGCGCATCGCCACAAAGCGTGCGCGTGGTAAGGTCGTGGTCAAGGTGCATGACGATTAGGTTACGGGCACGTCGAGCGCGTATAAGGGGGCTCATGTTTACACCCCTATAATATGACTTAGGGCTGCTTTCTTATTATTATCCGCGAAACTGAAGTTGACAGAGCACATTACAAACATATCAGCGCCTACATTTGGATACGATTAATTGGTTGATAAATAATTCACTGCAATATGAGATTGGATACTATATCGAAAAAGACAGAAATAACCAACACGTATACTAAGCTAAACTGAAAGACCTGACCATTTACCACCCCGCCGGTATAAGTGATCCATAAAGCGTCCTCAAACTCGCTTGAGAACAGAACCGACAATAGGATACTCAACACTGACAAGTCTTCCATCCACCAAGTTGAAGATAAACTCATCAGAGGGTCCAGCAAAGTCAAGGTTCATCCACACAAACGAGTTATCAAACAAGCCACCCTTTCCACCTTCCACAGCCGCACGAGGCTTCATAGGTGGCTGTGGCGCCACCATACGGTGCGCCACACGAAGCTCACCCTTGGTCTTGTACAGGGAAGACAAAGACCTCGAGAACGAGTTGAGACCAGTCGGGTAGAGACGCTGATTCGCACTATCGCGGGAATTCTCGCCCTTAATCCAGAACGATTTCAGACCAAGCCCGGGACGGCCCCGGTCAACAGATAGTGTGATGTTTGTATCAGGCGATTTCTCGTCGACGAAGGTGCCAGCCAAGTTTTGCTTGGCGTTTTCTGCGGCTGCATGCTCGGCGGCGGGGATGAATGTTTCGCCAACCAAGTCGCGGAGGGGCCAGCGGGCGGGCGTCGCAGTGAAACCGGCGACGAGGATGGAGTAGCCGATCCCGTGGTCTGGAGACAGAGCAAAGATGGATGTATAGTCTATGTTACCGCCGGCTTTAGTGTATAGATCGGAGATCCGGGTACGGTTTGAGCCTGGGGTAACGGGGATCTCGAGACGAGAGATTTCCCATGGAGCACCGACAAGCTCGACTAAACTTCCAGTTCCACTGTTGGGTTTCATCCATTGCGATGTTGTGGCTGGGGAGAGGATCTCGGAGTTCAAGATGGCAAGACCTGCGGTGCGGAGATCTGCCGAGTTAGAGTAGTAACTGCCAGTTCTGTTGACAAGTCAGCCTGTAGCTCTAAATTTGATCATGAAACAGCGAAATAGAAACCTACGACGCAAGAACTTCCACATCATTGGCCCATGATGTGTTCTTGTCGATACTGCGGCGATCGATAACATTAAGATCAGAGCCAGTCGGTACAGTTGTCGACATACTATCCAAACCCAAAGGATCAAATAGAACCTCTTGGACAGCTTCCCTGTAGGTCTTTCCTGAGAGGCGCGCAAGTACCTGGCCCAGGATAGCAAATCCGCCGTCAGAATAAACGGCATTTCGGAATGGAGAGATGACGGGCTTTTTCTTGTCGCGGAAGAAGTTTAAAAGATCTGCAAATACATCTATTAGTGACTTCCTAGCTGATAGAAATTATTTTAGTCACCTTCGGGCGCATATTCCAATGGCTTCTCGGGGTCCGCATGGCTTTTGATGAAGTCTAGCGGAGAAATCAGCACCGGCAATCTAATATTTGATAAAGGCACGAACCAGCAGCACCCCCAGAGCCAGCTTGCTGAGATGCAAGCGCCCCAACAGTGATATCCTCCCAGCGTATTTCTTCCAATGGATCGTTGGCCGAATTACCCCCCAGTTCAGGAAGGTATTTCGTCACAGGGTGGCTGAATACCTCTATACCAGCCTTGGCGATGATTGCGTAGACAGTGAAGAGTTTCGTCACACTTCCAATGCGCGAGATGGTCTTGTCATTGAGCTCTCCGGATGTCAAAGAATGCTTTGAGTTCTGTCCGACATGCGAATAACTGTAGATTGATTTATTGGTCGCAGCTGAAAATACGTCAATGTGGATGGCCAAGTCTGTGCTATTGAGATCGCCAGTTGAGAAGAGGTTATCGATGAGGCCAGGGAACTTCGATTTCGCGTTTTTGATCGCGGTTGAACTGGAGGGATCAAAGTTGGAGAGGAAGGATGGACCGATGAAAGGGACTTCATCTGTGGCGATGATGCGCGCTGTTGAGCTAGCGGCAAGTCCCAATATGGATGTCAGTAATACTTTGTCAAGAAGCATTGTGGGGGTTTCGGTTGGATTCAGGTAAATACAATGAGGCTTGCTTCTCAGAAGATTGAATTGATTCTGTCGGAAGTCCAGCAATTGCTCTGCATCTTATATAGTTATATTCATTCTAGCTGTAGTGCACATTGATGAAGCAGTTTGGACAAATCGAAGGGGTATGAACGTAGGCCAAGGCAGCGCGTTGTCCATATACAGTTGGTTCAGGCGCCGTCCCGCCATTTTCTTACCATCGAAAAGCCAATGGTGTACTATATTAAGAAAGGCTGAACCAGCTTGGCCCAGATCTGCCACAGTTAGCAAGAATATGGCAAGTTGGTGCGCCCTTGGCGTTCGTGATGGTGAACTTAAAATCTTGAGAGGCTTAGAAGCTGTAGCCACGAGGCAAATAGCGGTGACATCACCTATGCATCTATACTTGTCGATTGTCAATTTTGGTGCTCATCAACAAACCAGGAGATGTCATATAAAACATCATGTTGGGCGCATTGGGTACTCGGGGATGCGCCAAGTTACGGCCCCCCATATATGACGTTTTTGTATAGTTTGGAGATTTCCTGGGGAGGTTGATATTAGATATTAAGTATATACTGTTACTTTATACATTTCTATAGGCGTCGAGAAAATACAAAAGAAATTGATGCCTATGGATTTTCAACAAAACCACTCTCTTTGTTACATTTTTCTCTAGACATATCTCTCCTTTTCCATAGTGATACTCCATAATTTTTTCTCAGCAATGGAGTGTGTTGTGTTTCTTGGCAATGACCTACATATCTGGCGCACCGTGTTGCCTATTACGGCATTTGATCGTCGTGCCACCTGTGGGCGATCAGATACAAAAATCTAGATCTATGAATACGAACATAGTATTAGATATAAAAAAATACTAGGAACGCGAACCATGTCGACTACAGGCCTTTCCGTGAGTATAAAGCCGGAATATATAGTACAGAATGTATATGTTCAAACAAGAGAAGTTCTTGCAATATAATATTATGGGTATAGCCAAGGCCTGAGCATGATTGATGATAATTAGTATATTCTCACTTTGTGGAGCCCCACGGAAGGACTAGTTAGTTTATATTAAGAAGTAACTAACTAGTTAACGTATTCGGTAAGCGAGCTGGCCATGTAAGCCAGCTGGCCATCTCACCCAAGCCATTAAATTCAACTATATTTATCTCAACCAAAACACCATTAAATTAATTCAATTAAATTGATTTATCTATCTGGACATGTTTCTCTTCTATGCCCCGGTAATCTACATATTCCACACGCTCGCCCAGCCCGTGTAGCTGGCCGTAAACCCTCTGAAACCTGCCCACGATAGGTATTAATACGCGCTACTTAGGCCTTAAATGGCTCTGAACGTAGCTCACGAACGTCCTGAACTGTAAGATCTCCTTCGTGATGTATCTGCCTTGAAGATTGGGTCCGCTTTTACTTCTTCTTTTCGTTTTCGGCACGTAATTCCTTATTTTCTTTAGCGAGTAAGATAGCGCCTTGCATTATAAGACGGAAGCCTTTTATAAGTTAGTTTAATGCACGATCTGACGGGCTAGGTAGACTTCGAGATCTTACTCGAAGTAAAGCTTTGATTAACGAAGCCTATCGACGTAGTTCTTTCTCTGTAGCTGGTGTTTTTAGTGTAAAATTCCGACTCGATTCGCTCCCTCGGCTCGGAGGGGGGGTCGGTGTTCGAAGACGAATATTTAGCTTCGAGATCACTTAATTAGGTGTAAAAGGCACTAAACCAGCGGCTCTAAAGCTGTTTTTAATAGTCTCCGATTTAAAAGCCTCAGTTCGTGCAAGGGGGTATGCTTCGAGGGAGGAAGTTAAGTTTATCGATATGGTTAACTCCATTTCTCATTTTTATCTTAACTAGCCGATCGTTTTAACACCGCAAAATAACTAATATCGAGAAGCTGTAAAAGGTGAGAGGAGTGAGGAGGCATACAGATCGTATCACCCTATTTTACTCATAAATCTCATCGAATTTCGGGGTTAAATGGCTTCTATGTGTAAAGGTTTACGATTTCCAGGTGTATAAGGCCTGTCAACTGGGTAAGATACAATGACTTGGAGAGGAACGAGGATATATTGTCTGTGTGTGCCAAGACTAACTCTTGCCAAAAGAAGAGGGGATTCAGGGGAATCCTGGACTATGTGTGTCCCCATGTTCACGTGGGAGCCATGTGACTATTCCTTGGCAGTTCGTTCCTGATACATGATCGATGCGGGTGCGATCAGGTGATTCCGTCTCCATGTTGTAAGGATATTTATCCGTTACACTATGTCCGTCGAGTATTAAAAGTCGATACCCCCACCCCCCTTCGTACGTGAAGAAGTCGTCGGAATAAAAGCTTTTCGAGCCAGCGAACTCCAATTTCGTCAGAGGTCTAACATTCAGACTAACTTTAAATCGCTAGTCATCCTGAAGGCCGTCGAACTAAGGTTCGAGGAAGACTAACTTTAAAATCACACACGGAGGGAGGGCCCACCCTGAAGCATTCGTACACTTAATAACAGTCACCCATTCACGATTTCTAGGCTGTAAAAGCGAGCGCCGACTAGGGAGACCACTCCTTATGACCACCTTCGCTGTAGCGATTAACCCCATCGCGAAACCAGTCTCGTCGAAGTTATAAACGTCATTAGGGTCGATTCTAAATTAAAGGATTATTTTTTAAATAAGATCGAACCACCCTTAAATGATTTTCGGGTCTTCACATTTCGCACGTTCATAATTATAGCGTCTCGAGAACTAGGAGGAGAGGAGAGGGTGTCGTTTCACGAAGTTATAACCCCATTTTTCGCCGACCGAAATAACCGGGGTGGTTCCGCGTTATTAGAGTAAAAGATTCGCCATTTCTCGTATAACAGAAGGCCGGGGGGCAGATCCACGAGAATCCATAGAAAGAATCCATTTTTAAAGAGATTCCTCCTCAGTTTCTGTTAATTTATGCGAATTTACACGAGAATTCGCGCGGTTTCTGACACCATTGAGGCGCGTAGTAAGGGTGGAACGGGGTACGTTAAATAGCCGGGCCACTTCACGAATTGATCAAATTCCTTGCTTTTGAAAAGCCTGAATAGCTAATAAGATCCTACCCTCTTGCTCTGCTGAATTGCTAGAGGATCGGGAGCGAATTGGTGGCATGGTGGGTGGTTGAATTGATTAAGTGCTAATTTATGGGCGCGTTTTAGGTGAGGTGGCTAGCTGGCTTACATGGCCAGTTCGCTTACTGAATACGCAGTCTATATCTACATTTTACTATACAAAGGCTAGCTGACTAGCCTGTGTAAGTCTGTCAAACAAGGTATCAAGGCATACAAGCGGAGGCCAAAATCGGAGAATTGGAGATTATTTGCGGGGCAAATTTCCTAGTCGATGTTAACCGGTGGAAGATTCGGGCCGAAGGTAATTTACCCGCATTTCCATCTTTCATCTTGAACGGGCAGTTTTACTCCGCAACCGTCGGCTAAATAAGAGACATTAAAGAGGTGGGAATCCCCTTTCTATATCATCTTTATCTCTCCCTCTCATTAACATTCAAAATGACTCGCGTACTTGAAGGAAAATTCGGCATCGTCACTGGCGGATCGCGGGGTAAATAGCCTCCCCCCCGCATACCACACCAAGCTAACAACACCAGGAATCGGCGAAGCCATTGCCCGCAATCTGGCCGAGAAAGGCTGCTCACTCCTTCTGAACTTCACCTCAGAGTCCTCCCGTGCCCGCACCGAAGACTTATGCTCCTCCTTAGCCAAAACACATAACATCAAATGTGAAAGCGTGCAAGCCGATCTAAGCCAACCCGCCGAAGCTGTGAAAGCCATCATCGCGGCCGCACAAGAACACTTTAGCACCTCAGGAAAACTCCAGATCGATATCCTGATTAATAATGCCGGCGTCTCGCAAGACCGGAACTTGAACGACGCCACAAAGGGCCCCATCGAAGCCGAGCACTTCAACTGGCAATACTCGATCAATGTCCTCGCCCCTCTCCTCCTCACACAAGCCTGCCACCAATACCTCCCAACCGACCGAAGCGGTCGCATCGTGAGCATCTCCAGTGTATCCTCCTCGCTCGGATTCGTGGGCCAGTCGATCTATGGCGGTACCAAGGCTGCCATTGAGGCGATGACTCGCACCTGGGCACGGGAGCTGGCAGACCGTGCTACTGTTAATGCCGTTAACCCCGGCCCCGTTGTTGGTGATATGTACTTTGCGACCGGAGAGCAGTTCTGGAAGGATATCCAGGGATACCAGGATAACACGCCGATGAGCAAGTTGGATGTGAATAATCAGGATACTATGAGTCGCTTGACTGATGAGCAGAAGCGGTTGATTCAGGAGAAGATGGGCGGTCGGAGACCGGCTTTCACTAGTGAGATTGCCGGTGTTGTTGGTATGCTGTGCACTCCTGATGGTCTTTGGTGTACTGGTAGTGTGGTATGTGCCAACGGTGGCATGAAGATGGGTCAATAAGAGAATATGATCAATTGAATACCGTCTCACCTGGTGACTGGAATAGAGCTGTTCGCACTGTGAATAATTAATTACCTGACTATCTCAACAGGAGCCCAGCCCCCAATGGCCCCCTGCTTTATCCCTATCATGCATGTGCCCTTCTGGTTTTAATTGGGAAGAATGCTGTTTGATCTCCAGCTGATCAACACATTCTCTTGCTTCAGTGCACTTAGTGGATGCCGAACTACAGCCTTCCCCTGTTCCACAGCAAGCATTATTTGTGAAACTGTCCAACAAGCCTCCTAGGCGATTTTCGAATGCTAGCTGTATCACTACATGCAGCGCACAGATCATCTCCAGTCGCAGAGCCTCGGGATATCTATCAACCCCTGTTATCCCTCCACGTCCTCTCTTCCCCGAATCTGTTCACCTTAATTACTGGATTATCTTGCAACTTGACATACAACGTGCTTCCACAATGGCCCACGAGTCGAAAGAGGTCGTAGCCTCTGCCAATTCCCTTGAATCACCTATCAGTGATCATGACAGAACTCAGCTAGAGCGCCTGGGGAAGAAACCGGTCCTGAAGGTAATAAAATGATGACTTGGTGTCACTTGTACATGGTTTAATGGGGTTGCTCTGTTCAGCGAAAATTCGGTATCTTCGCAACTCTCGGATTGAGTTGTACTGTTCTTGGAACATGGGAAGGACTACTTGGGTATGTGAGGACCCGGACTTTGAGATAATGAATCGGAAACGCTGATTTCCACACAGAACATTCACTACACCTTTGTATAAGTATGAATCTCACTTGAAGCCCTGAATATGGAATTGACACGTCGCAGTGGAGGCTCGGCGGGCGCAGTTTATGTCTATATATTTGCTTGGACAGGCACAGCATGCTGTTTTGTTGCTCTTTCGGAGTTAGCCTCGATGTGAGTGTACTACATATGACGAAAAGAGAGACGTTGCACTAACCTCCGCTTAGGGCACCAACATCTGGAGGTCAATATCACTGGTGTGCCATGCTCGCTCCGATAAGTTGCATGAAGTTCCTGAGTTACATAACTGGTATAGTCTATCCACGGCGAAACAATACGAATATATACTAATATCGAAACACAGGTTGGGTTGCGGTGGTTGGATGGCAGGCTTCATTTGCCGCAGCTGCGTATCTGTCTGGTACAATGATCCAAGGAGTCGCTATTCTCGCCCACAAGCACTACAAAGCCGAAGCTTGGCAGGGTACTCTAATAATGTGGGCGTGTCTTCTAGTTGCACTTGCTGTGAACTTATCGGGCGGAAAAATCTTCCCTCGATTGGAAAAAGGCATCCTTGTCCTACACGTCCTGGGTTGCGTGTCAATTATCATACCACTGGTGTGTTTGGCTGATCATAAAACCAACCAGCAAGTCTTCACTGAGTTCCTGAACGGTGGCGAGTTCCCCACTCAGGGGCTGTCCTGGTTTGTGGGAATCTCGGGCTGTGTGTTTTCTTTTGCAGGAGGTGATGCCGTAGTCCATGTGAGACACTACGATACAAAATATGATCGAGATGACTAACTTTATATCAAGATGGCCGAAGAAATCCACAATGCAGCAATTGTTGTCCCGCGTGCCATCATGTTCAGTGTGCTCATCAATGGCATTCTCGGATTCGGCATGTTGATCGCCGTGTTATTCTGCAGTGGAGACATCCAAGATGCTCTGGATGGTCCGACCGGGTATCCATATATCGAAATATTCTACCAGGCAACGGGGTCAACTGCGGGGAGTGTGGTTATGAGTACTATTATACTGGTCATAGGTATATGTGGTGTTATTGGTATACTGGCTGCAGCATCACGACAAATTTGGTCCTTTTCCAGAGACCGAGCAGTGCCAGGCTGGCGACTATGGGCCCAAGTATGTTTTCGCCCAACCATTACTTTGCGATATGCTAACATAATGTTCCAGGTATCCGTGTCCACACAGCTCCCGGTATACTCAATCCTCCTGACACTTACCATCTGCTGGCTACTGGGACTCATCAATATTGGCTCCAAAGTGGCCCTCGATGATATTCTTTCGATGGCAGTGTCTGGTGTTTACCTGTCCTACCTTATCGTCATCTCTTTGCTGCTCTATCGCCGTTGCAAGGGTGATATCCATCGATACAACGACAGTGATGGTGCGATTAATGTTCCCGGGGCCAAGTTAGTTTGGGGGCCTTTCCATATTCCAGGCATATGGGGTGCTTTGATCAATACGTATGCGGTCATGTATATCCTCATCGTTGTATTTTTCAGCTTTTGGCCATCGCATATGTCGCCTACCGTCACGACTATGAACTGGTGCGTTGTTGGGACCATTGGAACTGTTATCTTGGCTGTGATATACTACGTGGTGCGCGCTAGAAGGTTTTATTCTGGGCCTGTGTTAGAGACAAGATCATGATATGGATATCGGAAATATCATTGGATCTGTATCACCTGCAGGAGGACCATTACGGGGTCTGTTGATCATCACCAAATGCAGATTAAACCTGGTCGATTTCCATCATAGTTCTTTAAACTCAGCTATTCCTTCTCTTTATCTTCATATTTTCGACTCATGGTGAGAATGCTATACCTAAATAGGTAAAGCCATTTTGGCGCCTACAGCGCCTGTCAGCCCCAAAGCTTCTAAGCCAGCCCCCAAACTGTGAGTCATTGTGATTTTCCTCAAGCTATCCGATGAAAGCCGCCATAAAAGAAAAGAAAATACCCCGACTACGTGAACCAGTTATCCACTGCCTAGAACAACTACAATGCCGGACTTCGCCTTCCCCCCGGGCTTCACAATCCCCACTCCTCGTCTCCAAATCACCCCCTTCAACCCCACAGACCCAACCCACAGCGCCTTCCTAGTCCAACTCTGGAATACAGACGATTTCATCAACTCATGCGGGAAAACCGGAATCACCACAACAGAAAAGGCATCTTCATTCCTCCAAGGCCGAGTTTCAGCACACTACGCCTACCATGGCTACGGCATGTTCCTAGTCTCGCGGCAGACCGATGACGGCTTGAAGCCGATCGGCACAGTCTCGCTCATGAGAGGCATTCCGCCAGGCCCGGGTTATCTTGCCCCCGATATCGGGTTTGCCATGTTACCCGAGGAAGGTCGGAAGGGGTATGCCACCGAGGCGGCGAAAGGTCTTTTGGAATACGCGAGTAAGAACCTGGGGGTGGATGCTGTGTTCGGATTCTGTTCGCCTACGAATGAAAGGAGTCGGGGCGCTTTGGAGAAAATTGGGATGGAGTTTAGGGGAATCAGGCCTTTGAAGGTTTTTGGGGATGAGGATAATGCTGTTTATGCTTTGCCGGGGATGAGTGAGGATTTGAGTGTTTATAATCTAGATTGAATTAAAGGAATTATTGTTCTATGGAGATTATCACTTATGATATTTCTTTTCTTTTCGAGTTGTTTCTATGCTAGGCTAAGCCTCAGCCTCCAATCTTCATCTCATGGCATTTGGCTGTATATTCGGTCTCCCTCTGATGGTGGCTGCAAAAAGTCTGCCGGGGGGTCTTGAGGCAGCTGATTCCTCTCAGCCCAGCGACGGACAGCATCGAAGTTCTTACATCGATGCTGAGTGTTAAAGTCAACGTAGGGCTCTGGATTCTCGGGATAAATCCAGACTTGACCCAACACTCCAGTGTCAACCGTGCAGATGAGCTCTTGGCGAATAATATCGAGGCAATGTGCTATGGTGGGAGAAGTAATCAGTCCAAAATCCTATCACGGGAAGAGAATCAAGGAAACATACACACGTGGAGGCGGACTATATAGTCATTGTTTGTGAAGGGTCCTTCCCGCTTCGCGTGGTAATACTCGTAGTTATAGTAGAGTGACTGACGAAGAAGATTCTTGTCAGTGTTAGTATGCTTTATTCACAGCATGGGTTGAGGTATAGACCACTAACGAGACAGTGAAGGTGGTGCAAGCCCTCGACATTTGCAGGAAATCCTCCCCCGTACTTCGCATTGATCTTCACTTGGTCGGCAGCAAGACCAGATTGTTCAGCATCCTCTGGGGGTATTCGAACACTGCGGTCTAGAAGTGAGAACTGCAATTAGCCTATGCGAGAAAGTAGTGGATTGGTATGAAGACCCACAGTTCACGCCCAAGGACTCCCACGCTGCATCAACATCTGGGCCGGCATCTTGCCGGAAAACGTTCTCTTTCAGGAGAGACCCATTGAATTCTTGTAGATTATATTGGATTCCAACTTCCTTTATGACAGTTGCTGTATTTCAATCAGATTCATGAGTTGCATGGCAGAAATTTAGGAATCTCACAATATTGAGAGACATGTCGACTGCAAAGGCCGTCCAAGTCACCACGCCACTGAAAGCCGAGCAGAGTACCGGCTAGGAATACTAGCACAAGTGCACTTGCCCGAAAGAGGTAGACGGCAAAGCTGTTACATGTGGGTGCTGGTGATTTTCCATCATCCCAGAGAGCGCCTTCTTCCTCTGCAAGAAGTCGTTCGCTGGAGTCATGTGTGGGATTCTCTATACGGGAAGCTTCGTCGAACAAGCCCATCTTGATGACTGAGCCTTGGGGAGTAGCTTGCTGAATAGGATGCAAAGGTAAACCGCGCGAAATAGATTGCCAATCATTCAAGGGGCTACGAAACTGCTTTGATTTCCAACAGGCAAATGCTGACTCCAGACCGCAACTTGCTCAAGGGGACTTTCCCCAGCTTGAGCCCTGACATCAGAGCTTGAAGCTCGTAGACATTGCTAATCAAAGTAACGTGTCCCCTGCATGTCTCACACGTTCTGCCATCCCGTGAGTATCCGAACGCGTGATATATGTATGTATGGGCAACGTGAGAATTCGCTCAAGGGGTTGTTAACTATATGTATCACGTAAATACATACATGGAAGACAGCATGGCCCACCTGGGCATATGCACTGAATTAGGTAAGCGTGTCTTGCACGTCTAGCCAGCCAAGGTCAGCATGTAACTGGGATGATCTTCAAGGAATGTGGTTCTATCCCCTTGCGGACAAGATCTACGAGTTTTGTGCAGATTCACGCGAGGATTATCATGCAACTCTTCAAAGATCCACTCATAAAAGTATGATGCTTATTGTTTTAGTAAATCTTACGTGTACTACTCTGTTTTTTACAGTCAACTGAGATCATCGCGCATCCGCTGGCTTATCCCCCGCAAGGCAATATGGTTATCGACTACACGTTTCCCCGGCCTCCCTTGCAGCGCCAATACCCCCCAACCCTCACCGAAGAATGGCGACAGCCAACCTCAGACATTTTTGTCAAAGGCTTCCAACGCCATCGAGTACCGGACTTTGAGCTACATAATCCTCGAGCTTGGGGGTGGAGGGGTTTCTGGGATATAAATACAGGCCGTTCAACCGGGTTTCGAGCATCATTCTCAACTCAAAGCAGTTTAACAACCTCACAATCACAACGGCACTGCCAAAAGTAACGAATCATCTATACCTTATTCAAAACCCTTCGAGTTCACCTCCCTTCAAAATGCGCTACTCCATCATCAGCAACCTTCTTCTTTTGGCTGTCTCCCCTCTCTCTGCCCTCGCGCTTCCCGTCGACCCCAACAACGTGGCCGGCCAGTGGGACCCTAGTGGAAAGTACCAAAAGGGCCAGTGGCAGCATGGCGTGTTTGTCGCCAACAATGGGGATAACCAACATGGCCAAGTCGATAAGAATGGCCAGTGGAACAACAAAAACCAGCAAGGTCAATACAACCCAAACCAAAATGGCTGGACTGATGCCAATGGCCAGTGGCACACCAACAACCAGAATGGACAGAATGGACAGAACGGCTGGACTGACGAGAAGGGCCAATGGCACGCCAACGGCCAGAACAACCAGAACCAGAATGGCTGGACCGATGCCAACGGCCAGTGGCACGCAAACCAGAAGAGACAGGCTATCCCCGCTCAGGCAAACCCCGCTACCAATCTGAATGGCCATCTGAATGGAGCTGGCAACACCCAGGTCACTCCCAGCTCCCCAAACAATCACTACGAGAGCTATGGTAACTACAAGAACTATGGCTCTTACCAGAACTACCCCATCAACGGACAGAATCAAGCTCAGAACAAGGATGTCAAGGCTATTACTGGTCACCAGGAGTAAACTGGATACTTCTTGCTACACCTAGAATGGTATTGATCTCGTCTTGGATTTGGGAATATGATACAAAAATCCGCCTTGGTTGAAGGAAGTGCTTAGTTTGCATGACAACACGAACTGTATACGCTCATTAATGATTGTTGTTTTATGAATTGGATGATGACTTTGAGATTAGTGGAAATGATCGATTCAAGATTGGAGATTAGGTACAATTTTATAGCACAATGGCGTGAAAAATTCGCTTTACTTGATACACAGGTACCCTTCTTTCTATCGGCTACGGACCATGTCTTTGGGCGATTCATTTACAGTGAAAGCACTTTATAAGCCCTGGGAAATATTTCTCATATTAGGAATAGGGCTTTGGAAAAAGAAATGTAATGGAAGTCGGCATACCTGATAGTATTTCTGTTGATTGAAACCTAAGGATCTAGCTGATGGATACGATATTGCCAGCGCAAAGAAGAGACAGAGAGCAGCTTGAACGGAACAAGTGATACGGAGATTCGAAGATTGGTGTCCTGCGATGTACCTTCTAACGGTCTCAAAGTCCGATCTTTTCTGGCTGTCGTACTTGTTGGGTTTCTGTGCAGACCCTACAGCGTATCTTTACTTTATTGAATACACTCTGCGTCAGTTCTGCTGTGCGAATGATACTCGGGGGTTTCGTGAAGGCAGCGACAATGAAGAGGGTTGCGTATCAGCAGAAGATAAAGACAGCAGATAAAAACAGCCTTCTGGCGTGGAGTCTCTTCCTGTACTTGATCAACACACTCTATCCTGTACAAGCTAAAGTAAGCTTTTACCCTGATTCTCATCTTCTCACATTCTAACGCACCGTGTTACAGATACTGCTACGGCTACAACAGTCTCGTCGACGTCAGCGGCAGTCACGAACAACGCGAATACCGATACTTCTCACTCCAACACTGAGGCAATTGCGGGTGGTGTGGGTAGTGGTATAGCTGGCGCCGCTATCCTGATTGCGCTGGCTTGGTACTTATCACGTCGCCGAAAGAAGAAGAACTCCGAAGATGACCAATGTATCCAACGAGCACCGGTCCCTGTATCGGAGCTGAGTGATAGATAGCACGCGGGTCACAGCACTGAGCGGTCAAAGTATTTCAGAGCTACCAGAACACAGAAGCAGAAGCTCCAGCCTGTTGAATTGGCGTCATAATGGGTCTGGCATGTATAGTTCGGCGAGACTCTCCTCACCCCTAATGACCGGGTGATTGCGAGCCAATTAGCGGTCATTCAGCTATCCCAAATTTAATTCGACCGCCTTCCGATAGCCTATGCGGAAAGCAATGAGTCGAATCAATTTGGCCAGGATATGAAGATCCTAAAGCGCCTAGAGATACAGTGCTAATTATACCCGCACTGTGCTTCCCAGCCCCTGATGCCACGCGCTACGCCACGTTGAAACTAGTGATTCTTGGCGTTCAGGGTCCAGTATTATGACCACAAGTTGGCAATTCTATCGGCTCGAAAATATTGTTTCTACGTGTGGGTAAATGGTCCGTACATGTTTGAGAAACTTTCTACTTGGTATTTTGCCTAATCACAGTTTTTCTTGCTCTAACTGAGCCGCTAGTGCGGCCCCCACAGCACCGGGTTGATTTACGCATTGATCCTTCCGAAATTGCCAGTCAATTAAGAGGTCCTGTTCCCCGCCCCCGATCGACGACTTATTCCCCTATTTCCCATTCACTTCTCTCGGGTCTTGCAGTATCAATATTCGGTCAAAATGGCCACAGACGACGAATATCTCAAGGGCTACTCCCTACGCCGAAACGGGTCATGCGAGATCGGCGAGATGTATTGCGGTCATACCTGGGACTCATTTCAAAGATGTTGTCCGGGAGAAACCAAATGCCCTAACGATACCTCAGGGGTATGTTGCCCAACTAGGAGGGATTGCGAGCCCGAGTTAAGTGATAAAGCGCGCTGTGCAGACACTACAGCGGATCTCTACTATATTACAGGCAGTAAGGGCTATTTCTGCTGCGCAAATAATACTCAGGGTTATTCTAGTGGCAAGAACATGTTTGCGGGCTGCGCAACACCAGAAGAAATGCGCGAAATCAGTCCGGAAGCCACGTTACTTAAGGTAACTAACCAATTTATTCTACCTACCTCTACAAGCTCAAGTAAGTATTGGCCCCGATGCTTGTCAAAGATCCAGCCACTGGACATAGGGTATCGATCATTTTTTCACAATCTAACAAACAGTGTCATAGATACCCCTACAGCTACATCTACAACACTCTCCTCGTCGACGCCAAGGCCAGCCACCGCCACTCCCACCCCCACGAACAACGCAAATACCGATACTTCTCACTCCAACACCGGGGCAATCGCGGGTGGTGTGGTTGGCGGTGTAGCTGGCGTCGCCATCTTGATCGCACTAGCCTGGTGTTTATTGCGTCGCCGAAGGAGGCAAGCTCAAGATAGCCAATCTGCCCAGCGTCCCCCAGTCCCTGTATCAGAGCTGAGTGACAGTACTCGGGTCACAGAACTGAGTGACAGTACTCGAGTCACAGAACTGAGTGGTCAAGGCATTTCAGAGCTACCTGGATCACAGAAGCAGAAGCTCCCTCCTGCTGAATTGGCATCATGATCACCCTGGCATATACACTCCAGCGAGACCTCCCTCGCCCTCAACGATCAAAGCCTGTTCCAGCGAGATAGAGCCTGATAAAATTTGATCACAATGTGGAATGCCGATCCTTCACCCTGAATAATTTGGCTAGGAATCTTGGATGGAGGCCATTGCGCTGGCAGCAATGGAGTTACCGAATTTGCGTTCAAGGCAAGCGAGAGAAACTCGGGATAATCATTCGACTGCGAACCGTTACCAGTGCATATATTGTGAAAATATGCTTGTCAATAATGGTACTTTTTCTATTTGGCCAAGGGTCCGGCCGCATTGACTGTACATGTGTATTTTCATTACCTGTTGCGTTTCATTGTGTTTTTTCTTCTTTTTATGGATAATTTGGTCTTAGCCTTTTTTTCGACGGTGGCTATATGGGCATTCGGACTCAGTCACAAATACACTATACCACGCCAATAATATTACAATTTCGAAGATTTATTAAAGGTCACAAACAAATGAATAAATCCATTAGCACTATCTAAAGAAAGTCCATCTCAATATCGTCCGTCATTTGCTCAACATGTCCGGCAACCAACAGATCCATTGACGGGTCCGACCTAAGCTCAAATGCTAGTCGATCCAAGCTGTATTCCATGCTAATACATACCTGTTCTAGCTGCGGATCTCCAAATCGGGAGGAGAGGCACTCGTGGGTTGCGTTGCGGACATAGACACTGTCCGGGGTCTCGTCGAGCATTTCAAATGCAGCCTCCTTGATTCGCTCTGCCTGATGGGAAAGTGAGATTAGCTCTTTGCGGACGGCCTTGATACGATCTACTCCTTGACCTTCTGGGTCATCTCTCAGGATCTGAGCTTGTGTCTCTAGACCGGCCATGAAACTAAGGCACTCCTCTTTGTAGATTTCCTCCCAGCTTTCCAGATTGGTTATGTCTGAAGATGACATTTCGGGTTGTTGAGCACTAGTCGAGGGCGTCGGATTCTCGAGGGGAATGGATTGCGAGGGCTTACCGCGCCTTTGGGCTTGGCTGGGGGGGAAGGAGGACTGATTGGTGTTGAACCAGAAGTCAAGAGTGACCAAGAAAATTCGCAAAATCCGGTAAATGGCCGAGTGAAGCATTTGGATGATGGTGAAGTCGATATTGAGGTTCATTCAAATGTTTGCTGAGTACTCGAAAAGAGAGCATGGACAGTATTTATGCTATGCGAGTCGGCATTTATTCTGTTCTGCGTAAAGAACAAATATTGAGACAAAGGCTATTGTTCACTTCTATGAAAGGAGGTGTCATTGATCTCGCCGTGCAGACAACAAAGACCCACGACGATAAAGCAATGAACAAATGTGAGTTCTAACATAGTAATGCTGGACGGCCAGACTTACCCAATACCGTGGGAAAAGAATGACTAGCTATTGCTTGCCCAATTGGGAATATATTGGGACGCTGATCTAAAATGTACCATCGCTTCCTTTCTACGACATATTTTTGAACGCCTTTGTTAAATGTTTCACTAAATGGGGAGACTCAGCAACACCTTACGAATTCATTGCTTAGCACGTGATGAAAATCGTTGCGTTGTATCGCAATGTTGGGGCGAAGATTCTAAACTCGTCCCCCCAAAGTCTTTGTTCGGCTCTGTAGAACACGCGCATATCATTCCATACTCGGCCAATGTGGTGCAATTGAACAATTCGGGGACTCCTTGGTATGGAAGAATTTGCATAGATACTTCCCCCGCCTTGCTGCGATGGACTTTAACTCCTTGACCATCAAGTGTGATGAAAATGAATGTTAGTCAAATACCTGCGTCTCAAGTTTGGAGGGTTTCATTTCGTTCTTGAGGCTACAGGCGGTGGTGAAATCAGCTTCCGCCCCAAGCAGAGCTTTTTTGTTTTCGAGCCCCACTGCAAAGACTAGCACGGTAAATTATTTGACAAACATCAATGTAAATTTAGCTGCTGGAGGGTTTGTCTGGGGCTTAATAGTGAAATTCCAAATTAACAGTTATGACACCTCCTGTAACTATAGAATGGATTGAGACCCACCGCTTCGCTGGCTTGAATTTTTCGCTGGATTCTATCTCTAAAGAAGCCCACTGTTACTGAGATGAGCCCTTTCTAATATTCCGATTGTGAAGCATGATTATGTGCATCTCGTTCGAGCAAACTATGCCAAATACTAATACCGCTGTCAAGCTCCCATTATCCCTATGAATTACTGTGGCTGAAGTGAAGAAAAAATGAGTACTTTTTCCTCTCTTCTTCAATTTCCCATATTCTTGGATACCACCACCCAGAATGATCTCGCTATCGCTGAAACTAGTGCACAAATCTGTCATGGAACGGGCTGCCTTGTTAAGGCCTCCCTGGTGTTGACTGTATAAATGATGATCGACGGAGTGCCCTAGCCTGTTTTTCCATGCAGGGTATGCAAGCTTGAGAAACCGGGGGCCAAATTCATTCAGTACACCCCGAACAAAATCATCCTTAGACCTACCGATGCTCAGTGGTGGCGACGGGAGGTCCTCGAACTCCTTGAACGTGAGATATCTCCAAAGGTCCTTCCAATAAGACAGCGATAGTTTGGCATTTTCGTGACGTAAGTCACTGTTTTTGGCAACAAGGTAGAACGAAGATTTGATACTATAGCACTTGGGGTGTTTGTAGAGTTGAATGTCGGAAAACTTATTGAGGGTGTGGAGTATGCAAACCGTATCCCAGGACTCGACATAGTGAAGAAGCAGAACTATTGAACCTCCGGGTTTAAGCCGATTCATTGCGAAGACCAATTGCGAAACCGTCAAACGCGATCCTTCGCAATCGCTACGGTACCGCTCTACCGGATGAGCTTTTGCCACCGCGCCTCCGCAAATCACTCTGTCGTACTTTTCTTCAACGTATGGGCGGGATGTTTCAAATTTTTCATTTTTCGGGGTCGGGATGACCGGCTGGAATATGACCATCTGGAATCATTTCTTTCGAGTACATCGTGATATCAGCATATATAACATGTCGACAAATGTTATTGGCTATGACTTCATAGCCACCGGTTTGGGGAGGAAGCGTAATAGCGTCTATAACAGTCTAGGGAGCTCTCTTTTGGCCGTCGTACTGAAGCCACCAAGTGCCATACATAGGTCAAGAACATAGGGATACGCCGATTTCAAATTGAACACACCCGTCGTATATGCCAAGGCATGTCCTATGTCTAGCGTCATACTGTAGAAACTTTCCTTGACTTCTCGTTCTTGATTAGTCGCGTTTCTTTTTCGATCCTCGAGGAATTCCATGCAGCAGTCGGTAATACCTTGGATATGAGTGATCGTCGGAAGAAAATTAGAGAACTGAAGCATGGTCTCGACGGATATATATATGCTAGCTCCAGGTGGCAGTACGAGCATTGCCGATCTGCTGTCGGTAAGCAAACTATCTTTGCTTTCCTCGGATGACGTGGAAATGTAAGAAATTACTCAAGTCTAGTATCTTTATTAGCTTCATGTGCCAGATGTTCATAATTGCATGGATATGGTGACCAAATTCGGCCCGGCTTGGCATCTGGTTTAGGGCTTTCAGACCCGACATTATCAACCAAGTTAAGCCCCATAAAAATGACCGGCCAAACCCCGGAAGCCCCCATAAAAAAAATTCAGAAACGAGGGGGAAACCGCCAGATGAACCCCATAATACACAATGGGGAGACGACCCACAAATTCTTCAGCGCTTCCTCTCACAAGTCGATTCGGGCCGTGAAGAGCCTAGACGGTAATCTGCCGGAGGACCCTTCTCCGAAGTCCAGTCTTCTGACACAAACTGTTATGTGTATGTGGTAAAACATGACTCTTAGTTTCTAGAGTAAATCTTTTTACAAGTCCAAGATCTAGTCATGTTAGATAGAACTAGTGAGACATGATTCAAGTTGAGTATAATTAGGTGCATGGAAGGATACTTGCATATGATGTAGTGATATTTGTAGACAGTAATAATACCTGCCCTACGTGGGTCTGGGCATTAGGAAACAAAATCTCTAGAGGGGTAAGAGTTTTCTCGTCATATTTTTACAAGTACTTTCTTCACACTTTCAACAACCTGAGTCCTTAGGCAATATCTTCCTAAACCGGTCGACCAAGTCCCAAAAAGCCGAAGTTATGGGGTTGACTTCCTTCCAGTTCAAAAATCCGCCGAAATATGTCCTAGCATGCATTCTATGCTCAGCAAGTGGAATCCTCTTCGGAATGGACACGGGTATTATCGGCCCGGTCACCGACATGAAGGACTTCAAGGTCTCATTCGGTAGTCAAAACTCCACGATCCACGGCCTAATCGTCTCATGCATCTTAATTCCAGCAGCACTCTCATCCTTCTTCGCTGGTTATGTTGCCGATCGGCTTGGTCGCCCGAAGGGGATCTGCATCGGGGTTTTTATCTTCGGTGTGGGAGCCGCAATAGAAGGCGGAGCCGTCGCTCTGTCCATGTTCATCGTTGGCCGCATTGTGGAAGGCCTTGGAGAAGGACTTTTCCTTGGAAACCTTGTCGTCTTGATCTGTGAAATCTCACCAACTAGCACTAGAGGCGCCCTGACAACTGGTCCGCAACTCGCCACTACCCTAGGTTTGGTCATGGGGTACTTTATCAGTTACGGAACTTCGGGCCTCCGCTCGTCGCTATCATGGCGCATGCCGTTCATCCTACTTGCCGCATTCTCTATGATCCTGTGTGGACTGTCACTTCTTTATTTACCCGAGTCGCCTCAGTGGCTAGGTCTTCATGGTCGCTATGATAAGGCTGAAGAGGCGTGGGATAAATTGGGTGTCAGTCGCGCAGAGCGTGAAAAGGTTGTATTGCAAGTGAGGGCACAAGAAGTTGACCCTGACGAGGTGGTCAAAGATGGTACCATGGATAAGCTTCTTGCTATCTTCTCCAAAGATGTCTTGGGTCGGACTATCCTTGCGGTATTTTTGATGGGTATGCAGCAAATGAGTGGTATTGATGGAGTCCTTTATGTACGCATAAGCCCCTACTCATGACTCGCTACAACTTACATTCCTAACTTGAACTCGATAGTATGCCCCACAGTTATTTCAAAAGGCCGGCCTTGCCTCATCGGAAGCAAGTTTTCTGGCCTCTGGAGTGTCAGCGCTTGTGATTTTCGCTGTCACTATCCCGGGGTTGATCTACGCTGATAAATGGGGCCGCCGAGCCAGTATTATCTATGGGGGGCTTGTAATGGGAGTGTTGATGTTTTTGATGGGCAGTCTTTACGCTGGAAACGCCGTCCATAAGGCTTCTGGCGCCGGCCGCTGGGTTGTCATTGTCTGCATCTACCTTTTTTCTGCTCTTTACTCTGTCACCTGGGGTATCTCTGTCAAAGTCTATGCCGCGGAGATTCAACCCCAGCGAACACGAGCATCAGCTACTACATTGGCTCATTCAAGTAACTGGGTCTGCAACTTCTTGGTGGCTTTGACGACACCTGTGCTCCTTGCAAAGAGCAGCTTCGGTGCGTACTTTTTGTTCGGCGGATGTTGTGTTATTACGGTCGTTGTTGGTGTCATCTTCATGCATGAAACACAAGGTCGGACATTTGGGGAGATTGACGAGGCCTTTAAGGGCAGGTCACCGGGTTCAAAGAACAGGTTTCGCCGAGGTATGAGCCAAGCTTGACTACATGAGTTACGATCAAATTTCGGGACAAGATATAGACGGCCACAGAGTTAGGAATCGTTTTGATAGATGTTTTAGACACCTGAGATGATAATGGATTTACGCACTTGGAATTCTGGATCATTGCTGCAATCACCTTATGTTATTGGATCGGACCATTGGGGGTATTAAAGAGGTGTTAAGGGTAAATGGTGAGGAGGATTGCATAAATTCGGCCCAGTTATGTAGCAATATGTACCCGGTTTAGTTCAGACAACACCTCTATAAGATCGGTTAGATAATTTAACAGTATCTAATCCGCTTATCCTGAATAATAATAGGTCTAACGTGGTCAAAATTAACGAGGTGGCTATAATCTTCTTTTTTTCTACCATCTACCTAGAAAGCCGAGAGGTAAATAAACCATCCAAAGAAAAGAGCACTAAAAAGACTATATAGGTCGTATAAGCGGGCGACTACTCTTATTTCTACGAAAGTTCAATATCTAAGGTGAATTCTCTATGCTTGGTTTCCCTATGTTAGATTGTGATAGTAGTAGGCCTCTCTATTTCATTCGTATAGTAACTTAATACTTAGAATATGTGGGATTAGCTAGGGGGAATATATTATGGCGCATTGGTGGTTGGAGACTGCCATAGTGTGGTCGCCTGCCTCAACTCCAGGTCCCATTAGCAGGCCCGAAATACCCAACATCTGGCATCGCCTTGTATGCTACACCCTGGGCATCGGCAGTATTCAGGTACACGTTATTTCCCCACCAGTCAGGGAAAGTGGCACCAGGATACGAGATGCAAAAGAAAATAACAATGCCACTAATGGCAAGGCCCGTATCAAGTGCAGCTGCCAGGATATAATTGTACTTGGTCCACCAAGCAAAGAACTTCCGCTTAATGAAGTAATTGAAGGCAAAGTTGACCAGCGCCCAGCTGGAATAGTTGATTCCAGTGGCTAAAGAATTTCACGTCAGCGATTGAAAAAAAGGAAAGACACTAGCAAGTTGTGGGACATACCAGGTGGAACGTTGTAAGTTCCGACAAATATCAGTGGCCAGTTGATATACTTCCAAAACTGGCGTCTAGTATAACGGTAGAGCAGGAAAGTCACAACGGGAGCGATAGCACCGATCCAGAAGAAATGCAGCAGAGGGGAATAGATTGCGCCCACAGAGTAGAGGCGACGAGGCCCAACAAGACCCCAAATTACAGACGAAGAATAGACTGTCCGGCCATTTGGACAAGTAAACCCATCCGCCTGGTCAGACTCGCAGATCCCCGAAATATTACCAAGCATCCAAAGTGTCACACCCGCCTGGGTGAGTGCGCCTAGGATAGTGGCTACGAACTGCGCCACGAAGCAGATCCGTGGCGGCACTTTCAGATAGTGAGCCAGTTTCATATCCATAGCGAAGTAAACACCCTGTCCCACGACATCTGTGGAAATGATCTTGAAGATCATGTTGGCGAGGGGTTTTCCTTCGAACATATATCCACCAATGAACTCAGACAGGACATTCAGCTGATTCGCATCCACGTTTGTAATGCCTTGCACAATACCGCAGGGCACCATATATACAACTGGGATGACCAAGGCTAGAACGACTCCATAGACTGGAAGCTTAGTGTGGTTGGCTTCGACTAGCGCAATGGCCATTGCCATGATAACCACGATAATGCCAGCGTACCAGTACCAGGGTGTGCGGCGGTACGAGGCACGGATGAGCCGAGCGTGAATATCGAGCTTATTACGGCCCTTCAGAGCAGCCCACAGGTCGCGGCCATGCCAAATAGCAATATGCGAGAGCACTGAAGTTATGGCGGCAAATGAAAGTCCGTATACAAATGCAAAAGTCGCACTTAGGTATGGAGGCGAGTACTTTCGGTAAGCCGCCTGGTCTAGAGTATTATCCGCAGAAATGACTCGAGTCGTATCATAGATGGCGCCTGTGTTGTCGTACACGTCGGCTGTCATGAGTGGAAGATAAGCCGTGAACCAGGTATTGGTGTAGTAGAGGGCGGGTGTGACAATCCAGTAGAAGAACGCGAAGCCGGCGAAGACATTCAATGCAGCCCATGATGGTGATAGGAGCGGGTTGGTGTTATAGGCGATCTGGCTCCAGTCGAAGGTAATTGGACTCAGACCGAGACCTGTCTGCATGCCGAAGAGATGGTTGACGATGACATTCTTTGGCGCTATCCAGCAGACCCAAGTGAAATAGGATAGCGCGGTGAATATAAGACCGGGGAAAAAGTACCAGACAAAGGCACCGGTCATAACATACATGAAGAATCGGAGACGGGTTACGCGCCATCCATTCGCGACAGAGTTCGCTCGCGAATGCAATGTTTCTAGCATGGCACAGTTGGATAACACACCTGGCCAGATGATACGAGCCGGTTCGACGAGCCATGGAGCTGCGAGACCTGCGACACCAAATCCAAGAAGTTGGGCAACGAGAACAATGATCACGTAGAAGCCGGGTTTGAGATTGAAATCGTAGAAGTTTTTGCTGGCGGCTTGGATGATGTTTGTCGCGTCCGCCGAAGCATATCCAAAAGACACATTACTCATAATAACGATAAGGGCGTGCTCTTTGATATTAAACGACCTGTCCGGGTTAACAACGAATGTACCCAAAGGCCCGAGTCGGATGGACGTGAGAGGAAGGGTCTTCGCCAGGAATACTCCGATCGGATAGGCAAGTAGCTCTGCTACTAGGGCCACAATATGAACCGATGGATAACGCAGCGAAAAGAACTGGTTGATACCGGATCCCAGCATAGTGAAAACAATGCCTAGGAGCCACATCCGCAGCGTATTAACCGGCATATCAGGGTCGTCCGTCTCGGGGACGACAGCCCTAACTATAGTAACTATTAGTCCATCAATACCTATGTCCGCAATGAGCCAGGTACGCGCCTTCAGGGAATGGAGAGCGGTGCGATTCATAGCTGAATTCTTCATTTGTGATCTCTTCATCTTTTTCTAGCTCGATCTTGTCCAAGCGGCCTTCCACTACCTCTTCATCAGCTCCAATGAGCGCGGGTTTGATTGTGTCGATATTCAACTCCTTGGAAGACATGGTATAAATCTTTGCGCAGTCTCAGCGCATTTGGTGAAGAAAAGGATACCGTAGACATGCACGAGGAGCCCTTTTGTACGGAGAGTATTCCGGGATTTGATTGGGTGGGAAAACAGAGATAACGCACTCCGACGGTGCTTGATTTTTTAGTGGATTCAGCCTTATGCATACATGGAAGATAGGATCGACGGTTGGTATGTGTGTTGAGTCCTTCTACTCTTAGAGGCATGAATGGCCAAATCATTGCTTGTATACAAGTTCATTGAGAACACTCCAAATTCAGTTGGATTATCAACTCTCGTTATCCTACAGAATAGAAAGACACGAGTGCTTTTGCTCCAATCGGGCGAAAGATAAGAATGGCCGAGGGGTACGCGGCTATCTATATTTATTTCACAAAGTGTTATCTTTATTAACAGTATTATATGCATGCGAAAGGCTTTTAATCGCCATAGTAAACATCTATATGATAGAATTTGTAAAGTAAAAAAGCTTCATTTTACCTATTGCATCGTGATAGGCTACCCAACCGAATCACCTTGTCCACCTGGGCTGGGCACCTGGGCTGGGCACCTGGGCTGGGCACCTGGGCGCCCGGGGTACTTTGCTTATCAAGACTGTCACTCCAAGGTTGTACCTTCCTAATTCAAATTTTTATTTTCCGATGGCAAGGGACAAGGATATGATAAGGCACCCACCAAGGCATCAATTGTAAATCAGGCATTTGGCGGCTATATTATCGCACTCCGGACTTGGAAAAATAACATAGATTCACGACATTTGATATAGTTCAGCCATGTAATTCGGGTTAAGCGCATTATCGAACATACATTGCAATACTTGAAAACAGAAATTGGCATCATTCCTCGTATATGGTATATATTAAGAGGATCCAGACAAGTTATAGACGAGCTTCTCTCCGCTGACTTTGTTATCCCTGAGGAGTTGTAGACCGTCAATCACTCCATTCAATCCCCCAGGGTTGACCTTGGGGGTATGCACCTTGACTTTTCCATCAGCCAACAATCTCTCTGCAATAGACCAAAACATCACGGCAAACTCCTTGTCCTCGGGTTTAGATGGCAAGGGTGTACCGCGGTACATATACTCTTCGCCGATTGCACTGTACGCAAGTGTCCAGCGGTCGTTGATGTTAACACGGTCAATGCCGACCGCGAGGAGAGCAGTATAGTCACCACCCTCTGTGGAAAGAGCGGCATCACAGAGCCTGGCACTAGCATCGATCGAAATTGTGTCGAAAGCAAGCTTGAGCTTATTGTGAGTGTAAGCACGAATCTCGGCGGCAGCGTCAGGTGCATTGTAATCAAACACTTTATCAGCACCGAGACTTTTGACCTGCTCGAAATTATGCGGGGAGCAGGTGGTAAGCACGGTATAACCGGACAACTTAGCGAATTGGATAGCAAGTGCGCCAGTCGCAGTGGAGCCGCCGTAAATCAGGAGAGTCTCAGCAGGCTCAAGCGGGTTGGCGGTCTGAGGACTCTCGAGTGTGGCAGGCAAAGCGAGCTTCAGGCTCTGATACAGGGCTTGACCGACGGTTGTAATGCCAACGCCAAGGGTAGCAGCCTCTTGGAAGCTGAGGTTGTCAGGGATATGCATTTGGATATCACCCTTAGCGACGATATACTCCGCAAAAGCACCGTCGTCGGGCTGCAAAGCATTGCCGCCATGCACGAAACCGCATACACGGTCACCTTCCTTGAAGAGCTTTTTGACATTCTTTCCAATTTTCTGGACGATACCGGCGTAGTCGCAGCCAACGAGACTGCCAGGAGGAGACAGGAATTTGACATGTTTCCAGTCGGTCGGGTTCAGGGCGACAGCCTCAACCTTGACGAGTATATAATCATCTCGCAGGGCGGGAATAGCACGATCAGTCACTAACCCCTCATGCTCGAAAGAGGTAACTATGACGGCTTTTTGAGTTGCCATTTGGAAGAGCGTTAAGGAAGGACTGTTACGAATCACAGAGGCTATGACTCAATATGTTTAAACACTACCAACCCACAACTTCGAAATGGCATTTATAACCAGCCATTCTAGAAGAAAACAGGCATCTCTTTTGCTAGTGATTACAAACCATGTGATGGGCATCCGATCTACCCGTAGATCCCATCTATTCATGTAGAGATAAGGGCTATTTCATTCATACACTTCAGTCGCTAGCGCGTTGTACTGCATTATAGTTGCCCTATATATCCGAGGGTTTTCAGAGACAATCACAACAACCGGGACTTTGCCTAGCAGAAAATTATAATACTATACCCGGGCATAAGCTTAATACTGTGTCTGTATTCTATTTCTATAGATAAATTGATAAGTTGGTTAGATTTAAGAGAAGGAACACGGGCACACTATACGCTAACCAATTTTGTAAGTGCGTATGCTGACGGTAAGCAGGGGGCTGAAAACCGCGCCCAGTTGCCCGCTGTTCTGCGGTCCCCAACCGCCTGCCTGGCTGCGGCATCCTGCTGCCCCTTGGTTCAACAAGTAACGTACCCTGGTGCAAAATAATAAAAGCAGCGTGGCAGTAACCTTAACGCCGACAATCATCTGCTCGACAATGTGTCACCTTTCGAGATCTTTCAGTCTGTCCTTGTTGAGGGGTAATCCTGGTCTGTTCGAGTACACTAAAGGGCGCTTTTTGTGAGTCGTCGCGGCTAGCTGCTGAACGCGCCATATACAATAAACTGAAACTAGAACGAAGAGCTCCACCGCGCCGAACGCCGTATCTAATTCGACGTGGATGCTCTAGTAAGAGCGGCGTGCCGTTCTGTCGACCGCCGCCTTAATGGCGTGGCTTCGATCACGAAACCTGCCGAGGGGGGCTTTAACCGTGTCTTGCAAGCCACCTCGAATGATGGATATGCAGTTATTACAAGGCTTCCTTACAAGACGACTGTTCTAAAATATTATGCAGTGGCTAGTGAAGCTACAACACTCGCACTTCTGCATGCTCATGGGGTCCTAGTCCCTAAAGTCCTTGTGTATTCCCCAGATCAAATAAACGCCGTTAGAACCGAACATGTCCTTCTTAAATGACTTAAAGGAACACTCTTAAGCGAATAGTGGTTCTCCATGGATATATAAGCTCGTGTCAACATAATGAGACAGATTGTTGATGCGGAGAGACGGTTCATGGAAGACTTTATTAACGCCGTGATCTTGATAGGCCATAACACGTTATCCTAGTTCAGACGACATTATCGTTAGCCTAACTGCATAACATGAATAGTGGTATTAGGAACGGGCCTCTCTAGAGGTTGACCGCGGGCCATGTAGGTCTCCATATAGGCGGGCTTGTTTCTTTAGAAATATTGACTTCGAGCCAGAGAATACCTTTTCTGCATGCTTTAAAGCACCGGCTGAGCGCGAGCTAGAGTTCCGTGAAGGATTTAGTAAACCACGCCTATAGGTCGAAAGATATCTACGAGAACTAGACCATTTCTAAAACCTCTTACCTATTTTATACCAACATCTTCTTACTAATTATTTAAAGTTAGCGCCTTGCCTCGACGTCCCATCCGACCACTGCATGTCTCGCCCTACTATTCGCCATCAGGACTTTTCACCTAAGATTGTTTTGGTAGATACCTCTAACGACGTGATAGGGATCATTGACTAGTAACATGCAGTTATTCTGCCTCCTGTCTGTGCGCTGGAATCCCCGATCATTTTCAAAATTGGGGTGATCCATTGTCTGAGAAATTACCGAAGCCAGAGGTCAAGTTACCAGAATGTTTTGATTAACTCGGCCATGAAGAACAAGAAACTGTTCAGGAGACGATGCGGAAACGGATTGTTCACCTTTATCATGGTCCGTTGATTATGAAGTTCTTGTCCATCAATTGGTAAGATGGCCGAGTTGGTCTAAGGCGCACGGTTCAGGTTAACCTGATCCCGATGGTATACAACTGTCTCCGTGTCTCGCAAGAGGCGTGGGTTCAAATCCCACTCTTATCATATGTTTTTGTTTTTTTCTTTTGCTTGGTCCTATCCGTTTTCTCATAATAATAATAATGAGAGTGGTGGAGGCCGTGGTGATTTGTGGCAATTGTTTTGTCGGATGTGTCGTCCAGCGTAGATGCAACTACCATTTCACCCAATGGAAGTTGAATATTGGATGCAGAAAGCACTCTTCGAAAATTACGTGTCAGCATGACCATAGAGGGTAAAAGTGGAATGCGAAAACCAGTGTATAAAGAATGAAATAGCTAGGTGAATATAAGCATATTTATAGTCTAGTCCTCGCACTGCGAGAAAGCCGGATCATTTTGACGCCATTAGGACCAAAACTCTATGCTTCGAGTGAAGCTATTTTTATCATGCACAGGATCCCTGGGAAGGAGACTTCGTCTCGTTGAAGTATGTCGTGTTGCAGGTCCTCAATAATTGGCTAATGTCGCTGGATGAAGGCACATAGGCGAGATCTGTTGAGTGTCTAGTTCACCTTTCTGAAGAAGAGACGTAGAATTACTCGGAGGACCAAAGCCAAGAACAGAAAAACTAATGCCCTTGGCTGGGTCTCAGATGAGCGTGAGCTTGAACGGTGCAGGGCAGTCATCCAGAGCATCAAGGATGGTTTGATGGAACATTCAAGCACTAAGATGGAGAAAACTGCGGGAGTTTACCATTTTCGTTTCGATGATCATGAGGAAGATGCGTAATATCTTGTTACAATTCACATCTCGAGTTCGCCAAACAATGTATGGGTTGAGTATCATTGGGAAAAGAAAACAAATGTGGGCGGATTTACATGTCCTCTTCTTGGGCCGAGTTCGGCTATACCTGAAAAATGAACATCACAGGATCTGCCAGGGTAGTGATCCCCACTATGTAGAGGTCTCCGAATTGCTCCCCGGCATGTATGCTGATTGGAGTAGCAGCAATGTCTGCCTATGGTCACAATCACTTCTCTGGTAAGCAGATATGAACGATGAGTGAGACCGAATGTCAGCGGCCGGGGAACAACCATGTAGTAAATGGAGGCTGGGTGCCTTGGGCGTTACGACCAGCATTCCTCTGCTCGTTAGCGGGATTTCTCCTTATTTTCGGCATAGTACTCGAGGTTCTTCGTCAACTCTCAGAACACAATAATGGTCTGACTCATTACAAGGCCGCTAATGGGATACCGAAAGTCATCTCAGGGGCCTATATCTACATACCTGTGTCCCTGGGCGTTGTGGCGGCGACTCTGGCAATTTTGTATCAGTGATGTTCTTCGATTAGAACCTTATTTTCAGTTGGCTAGACCAGAGGAGGTGTCCGCAACGTTGCTTTTCACAAACTACAACTTCTGCAATGGTATTATGGCTCCCGTTGCCGCAGCCCGCAATAGAGACTGGCCAATCTTCGTCATCACCACCCTGTCGATGGCCTTCCGCGTTTTGCTTCCTTCCTTATTAGCAGGGCTGGTTGTGTTAAATGAGACATCCCTGGATCAAACATTACCGTCTCCACGTGGCCGAAATTGCTTGACCTAGACACTCAGAGGAACTGGTTTGCCCCTGAAGCAATAAGTTACACCGATGCTTCGGTGACGAGGACGGCCGATGACATTCTTCTGTCCCGCTCTCCTGAATATGCCTCGGCGGCAGTATCCATGCCGCTTGACGAGAACGAAACCTCAGGGTTATCCATAAACCAGTGTTTATTGGAGCGAGCTATCTTGCCAAAACATGCCGCACACGGATATCACTTGGGCACGGCAGATGCATATCGAGTTTCCTTCTAGTGATGATGATCATCCATGCACTGTCGACTTCGCCCTCAACACGACGTTTCATCCGCAGAGCGGCCCGTTTTAATTGCGATACTGGGAGCCGCTACGTGATAAGTCAGTACTGGGTCAGGATTCAGCGTTTCAAACAAGTCATTGTGAAAATCATGCGTTTCTCGGCCTCCTCATTGATATCACCGAGTATGCTGAAGTTGAGACCAGTCGTTCTTTAAATGGCACTGCATTTGCTTGCCATGCGACCTATCATTTAGCTAAAGCTGAACTCGAACTTGCCGTCGATGCTCCGATCACTATAGGTAGAGTCGACTCTGCTAGCCGAAGAGATCTGCAGGACGCGGAATTCTTTGGCCCCGCTTTTCATGATCTACTCTATCACAAAAGCCGCGGAGCCGTAAGTCTCGATATTCAAATTTAAAGCGGTATCTTGGAAACTTCTGTCAACCATACTTGGTTGGTTCCCTCTGGGCCCAATCTCAATATGGACCAAGAAAGTTTGTCGCATTCGGTTAATTTGCCTGCGTATCAGGATGCAATCCCGCACTTCTGGAAGTCTCATTTCATCGTCATGAAGCTGTCACCCTTGGGATTGGGGCCAGCCTCCAATGCCGCCAGGTCCTCCTCAATTGGTCAAAAATTGAAAATGGATCCGGCACAAGAATTTTGAACTATACAAGTCCGTCCGGCTTCCTCTGCACGGTGGAAGCCCCAACCAGAGTGGAAGGTGGTTTGATCAAAAGATCTATTTCATATCTCCAACCTGACGACCTGTCCGATGCGGAAACTGACTGTCAGTAAACACTTGTGATCCTTGGTCTCTGGGAAACGATGCAATATTCGCCATCAAATTCGCAAAATTCGAAGCCCTCTTATGTCAACCATATAGCTTCGAAGTTGTTTTCGACCACCAGGGCATTGTATCGTCCTCAAAACCTGCAACGCTGTCGGCCATGCACAATTGGTCCACTCCACAGAATCTATCATTGCCTAGCTTGGTACACTTGAACCGGGCTATCATGAGTCTCTCAACCCATATAATCGTCTTGGGAATCTGTCGTTCTTCCACTACGACTGACCTGGCATGATGACCGCACTCACATACGACCGCCTCTATCCTACGTCACAGCTCTCTTTTGATGCCATCTCATTGATAACCGCCGTGCAGTCAACGTACCAGCAGATACTCAGTACATATCTCACCTTCAACCAAGACCTGTACTTCCAACGTTATGCGAATTCAGCCGCTCCCCATGTTGAGGGGACTGTGACAATAAGCCTTTGGGGCCTGTTTTCCTCACCTGCATCCATCATCATCGCGCTTGTTCTCTTGTCATTGGATATCATCATAGTTGTTTATATCTTTGCTGCACGATCAAACTACTTCCGTGCACCTCGAATCCCCACAACGCTCGGGTCATTGATTCCTTGGGTATCCGGAAGCGAATTGATTCTTGGAGAGCCTGGCTGGCGGGGATGATTCGATGGTTCTGGCCCTCCCCGCAATTCATTGCTATATCAGGATTCCCTTCTATCACCCCACAGATGTAGGCCAAAGGTGTGAGATCCCCGCAAGCGGAAATGCTTCCTCTCAGCGGTACAACTGGTGTCATATCGTGAGCGAGGAGGGCAAGAATATTCCGAACAACCTGAATGCGAACGGCCGAATATGCTCGCAGTAAGGAATTGCATCGAATTAACATCGCCGCCTTCACAATGGGAATGGGCATTGCATGACATTTCAAACTTTGCAGGCGCGTTGAGCCTGCTCCGGACTCTCGGTCTCCAGGCAGAACCACGGCGGAATGGTGGTGCTGGATCAATGCCTGCTGGAGGGCGGCATAGTTGTTGGTACGAGTGTCGGCACTCCCTCCAAATCCAGTAGTCACTCCATATATCACTTCCCCGTTCCCAGGATTTTCTGCGAGTAGATCTACACTGCGTTCCATTCGAGATAGCACAGTTTCGCTATCAGTGATGTCGGCCGCAATTTTGCGCCTTCGTCATATTGTTAGTTGTTAGTGTTCAATTCGGGTACGTGTCTCACGAGAGAATACGGTGGAATGAATTCACATACAAGCTGACCGCGACGACTGAGCTTAAGTCTAGCGAATGCCCAACAAGTAAGATGTTCCGGCCACGACCAACAATCTCGTCCAGCTGGGTACATGAATCCAGAACCGAGCTAATATACCCCAATCCCTGAGGATTTCCGTACCCATTCTGATACTGCGGGAATGCTTCACCTATAGTCGCAAGATATTCCAGTGGGAAACAATTGGATTTAGTCAGTGAATGAGGTGAATTGCAATCATAGCAACGCAAGCCGAGGGAGGGGCAGACATAAATGAAAATTGGTCACCCCTGTCCAGCAATTCTAGGCACCGCATGTCTCCGGCTCTCTGTCCAGACGGTGCAGTATTGAGAATATCTCTAAGAACTAGCGCGATCATGGAAATGATCGCCCCGAAAGTGGATTTTCATTTATATTTCATCACAAAGTCAAAAAACCAATTGAACAGCAAGCATTAGCGCTCTTACGGGAGCATCGTACAATCACACGTGGGGGCCAAAGTCGCTAAGCGTTCAAAAGTACCCGACGACAAAGTACCGTGATTTGCTAGAGACTATGAAGCTCGGATACCTTCGTTACACATTGTATCGCGATGGTAGTACACGGGTTATTGTGATGTTTCAGCTAAGATGGTGATGATCTACTCGATTGATGAATCAAGGACTTATGTTGTACGGAGTACTCCGTAGATATCTCGGGACATTTTACCCAAAGTGGGGGCTCATGGATAACTTAACTCCAAATAGTCGCTTAGAAATGTACTGACTGGGAGCATCCATGTCTCGGCGCTACTGTTGCAAAAGCGTCCCTCGATATACGATTGCACTTTGTGTGCACCTTTTGGCGGTTACTTGTCTAGGGATAACAACGGACATAGAGGATCATTGAGAAACGATTGCGATGAATAGCCATCTAGTCAAGGCGTACGTGGGCTCTTCGTAACAACCTCGCCTCCTATGCTAACCAAGTTTAATAGCGACCTCAGTGGCGGTATTGTGAAGATCGATGTGGGAGAAACAAATACCCCCTTTGACGTCCATATGGAGCTATTATGTAATTGCTCGCCCTATTTCGATAACCTGTTCCAACGCCGCTTCGACCAACCTCTTACGGAGCAAGTGATTTCCTTTCCGGATGACGATCCCCAAATTTTTGCTCAAGTCATTCTGTGGATGTATCGTGGCAACGATTCCATTGATTTGATTGCGGGTGAGAAATTGGACTTTCTCGTGCGACTTTGGATTCTCGCGGGCAATTTCGAAATGATAGACCTGCAGAATCAGCTGATGCTGGTCTGTAAAAAAAGGGTCGACGAATCGCTACGAATTCTTAGCGTGGACACAATCAATTACATCTACTCTCACACCCTACCTCAATCCCCAATGCGTCTTTTAGCGGTGGATATATGGGTGCAAAGGTCGACCACAAAGGGCTTTGGAAAAAGACAAGAAGAAGTTTCGCGGCCTTTCCTTGAAGATCTCTGCCATGGATTTATCAAAGAAAGAGAGAAATTAGACTTGCCTCAAACGCTCCCCGAGCTATCCGATCACCGTTACTTCATTGATGATTTACCACTTGAGGACAGGGGTGGCAAGGCTCTAGGGCTAACCAGGGCTGTGGAAATTAAGCAAACTGCCACGAAAGCTGAGATGGAGACTAGAAAAATCAAAATTCCCTGCTCTCGCACGAAAGCTAAATCGGTGATGTCAATTCCAAAGTCAGACAATACTGGAGTAAGTGTTGATGGGCAGCGGGATACGTCTGGAAACTCAGATTAGGTGCATGTTGGCGAGCAAGAAGGCAACGTCCTGTTAGATTCTGCCAGAAGCTGCTGGATGCTTACAGACCGAACGCTTTTTCTGGTGTCTATCTAGCAACTTTGTTTTTCTATTTTTCATTGTTTTTCAGTTTCTCGGGTGCCAAAGACTTACGCTCCACCTATATCTTATGCCATGCAAACAGTGATGGATCTATGGATAGATTCATGGATTTATAGAAATGACCTGGGCACTCTGGCGCAAGAGCTGGCGTTGTTGCTTTTCCTCTTTTGCGCTCAGCGGGTTTGGTGATCATTGACCTAGTAGTAAAACCGAAAACCATAATGAAAATAATCAGGGGACAGAAGGAATCTAAAACAATTGGACTTTTTCGATACATTACTAATATCTTCAACGGTCGCATGCTACAGTCCCCGAGAAGGAGGGGACCGTAGGAGAAAAGAGATCTATCTGGACATGCTAGAGGGAACTCAACAGCTTGAACACATATCAATAACCGTACTCCACCTGCTGCCTGACAGCGAGAATGGCATCGCGGTAGAAAGCCATACCGATACTTCGCGGATGGAACGCTTTGATTTGCCGAGTTGGCAAAAACCACGACACATCTTGAGCGGTATAGTCGCCGCTGGCAAGCGCTGTATTTGCGAGTACAACTTGCTTCGCGATATCTCCACCCGGATCGGACACAACTGCTGACGCGAGATTACACCAGTAGACGTCGACAGGGTCGGGATCGACACCGAGGGTCGTGTTGCATGTGTTTCCATCGGGGAGTGGAAGACTGCCACTTGTTTGCAGGACGCTCAACTCCGCGCTATCGTCAGCCGCTGTCGCAACCGTGGCCCCCTCTTCAATGTCCGGCCACCCGCTGAGGAAAAAAGCAGTGCTCATGTGACTCGGATCTGGTTCTATCACGCCCGACTCACACCAGCGGTGACCCTCGAAACGGGGATCCACGTCGACAAAGTGAGTGACATTTCTGCTAACCAGTTTGTTTGCGTCAAGGACCGCGGCTTCGATGACTTTGTTGAGAGATTTCACCAGGTCATTCATCTCAGTCCTGAGGGAGGTTGTCAGCCAAACGTCCGTATGATCTGTTTTATCCCATCCCCAGTAGCGGAACGAAACATCATTGCATTGTGTTGTATCCGCATTGAAGAATCGTGGATATCCAGCGATGTAAAGATTGAAATCCTACAGCAGGTCAGCACAGGCACGTGAATCAGGACATGAATTTACCTACAGGATTTTGTTGGGCCCAACCAATAATCCGAAGGTAAATAGAGGTGAATTTATACTGCAGCCCGTCTGCGCCAGTATCCGCCATGAGCTTCTTGGCGGCGCTTTTGTAGTGAGAACACCACGCAGCATCCCAACCAAGTGCGGAGTTGTAATATCTCAGAAGGCAATGCTTGACGATATTCGAGAAATCCAAGTCGTTCCCGCCGATCGTCATAGTGGCCAAGCTGTCCACTGCCGGGTTCTGCCACCCGTGAAGCTTGTCGTAAAGCCCGGCGACAGTGTCTCCAGAACAAGCTAGATTTTGGTAATCAAAGCCGTCAACGAACGAATCGTGTAACAGTTGGCCGAAATTGTTTGATCCAACTCGGCATTTTTGCGCCGTAGGTGTTTTTCCTGTGCCCATTCCTGCGGCGAAAGAGTCTCCGAAATGTGCCTGGCCGGTGACATCGGGAATATCTTCGTTAACATCATCCCACTGGATAAAGTCCTCGGCCAAAACACACTCAGTTGCACTTGGGGAAGCGGGGAGTGCTGGCAGAGGAATGGCGCGGCGGGTTTTCTGTGTGAAATAGACACCTGCCGCCAATAATTGATAATTCTCTGCGTTCTTCCTGGCACCCGCGGCATCGCATTTACCTTCAATAGCTTCCCCATCTGGCCCAGGGACAGGGCATTCAAGAGCGGGTGTTTTTTTTTGCTTGCCTGGCTTGGGTGGCTTGGATGGCTTCCCTTTCCTGGCTGCTTCCCTGGCCTTTCTTGCTTCCTCTAACCAACATCCACGATCAAAGGTGCCACGGGCGAGCTTCCAGCAACTGATAAAGCCGTATGTGATGTCACGGGTGCTTCCGGCAGGTTAGTGCGAACAATGAAAAGATAATTGAAGTGACTTACAATGGTTTATCAAGCATCCCGTACTTTGTGTGTGTGGCTTCATGTACAAGAACGGCAGATCTTGCTCTGGAAGCCTTGCGGAGATCCGCCGACTTGTCTTCCAGCACGTCTTTGGTGGGCCAAATTTGGGGCAATTTGGAAGTAAGTATGGGATCTTTGAAAAAGGGTGCGCAGAAGGTCAAGCGCTGGTTTTTGTTGTTCATATAAGCAATATAATCTTCATCGCACATTTCTGTTGCCGATTTTGAGTCACAGGCCAGAGACAGGGGGAAATTTGGATCATTGCCAGCGAGAAGACTTGCAATTCGTTGGAACGTCTTCTTGGTGTCTGATATAAATTGGGTATCACCTTTACCATTAAAGAAATCGTCAAGATAGGTACCTTTCTCGAGGTTGGCGGCAGAGACCTGCGCCATCTCCACTGCGTACTTGAGTTCGAGTTCAATCACCTGCTTCTGCGAGTCTGTACACGCTGCAGCAGCTGATTTATCGTAGCGATAGTTCATGTTTGCAATTGATACGCCGTCTTTCGATATGCAGATTCCAGATGGACAATAACCCCGGCTACAGGTGAAATCACACAAATTGTCATAAATTTTCGAATTGCCGGGACCTGCCTGACCAGCACCCTCTGTCTGCGCGGGCGGCTGGATGAGAGGTCCTGTCTTTGTGCATGAACAAAGGTTGATAGGACAGTACCCAAAGTTGCACGCGTACGAACATAGCCCGGCGACGCTACCCTCACCAGTGCCAGCAACACAGGCCGGCGGGAGGAAGTCCGAAACTGTAGGAATCGGCATAGCATGTTCAGTTTTGTCACACGTCGCGGAAGGACAGTAGCCGTAGTTGCAGGCAAAGCTGCAGAGCCCCACATAATTGGCATCTTTCCCTTCTGCTGGAAATCCTATCGTACCCGTCGCGTTGGGCTTGGTAAGGGGAACACCCATCTGCTCGCAGGTGCATGCACCGACAGGGCAATACCCGTAAGAGCAGGTAAAGTTGCAAAGGCCATTGAAATCGTAGGCGCCCTTCCCTTGAACGCACTTCTGGTCTTTTATGTCGAATGAAGTATAGTAGAGGTCACCATAGGGACTCCATCCTCCAACGCTTCCCACCCAGGCATTGAAGTTGTTGAAGCCCCCGTCACATGATGTGGTGATGTCGATGGTGTTGGGACTTTGTCCCATTATGTCACCAACAACTAAAATGATTCGAACCGGTCCGATTGGTGCAGCTACGCTCCCAAACCGGATAGCAGCTCCAGCCGAGCCATCGGGTATGTAGTCCCACTCCACAGATTCACCGTTGACGAGCACCGCTGCATTGCCGCTGCTGAATAATGACATAACCCAAATTCGAGCTTCCAATGTTTCCTTTGGGTTGTATTCAATTTGTAGCTGAGAAGCGGTATTGAGTGTTGTTCCCCCAACGTCACAGTAGTCTAGCGGATTAGGAGTATACCAGAAAGTAGCTAGATCGTTGCCCATCGAGGCCTTTCCAGTCTTGTATAAATCAATCAAGAAAGGAAGCATATCACGCCATCCATCATGGGGGTAGCCTGTCACGAAGTCGAACGGAGCTTCACCGATATCAAGGGCAGCCAGAGCGTTCTTGCGAATCGGGCCAATGTAATGAGATTCCCCGTAATCATTCCAAGAGATGATTTCAACGAACTCCGGCATTGGATCAAGAGCGTAAAGCTCTTGCCAGCGGTCGTGCCAGAGGCTACCACTATTCCAAAGCCAGTTCTTGTTGTATCCTGGCAAATTGGTGTAAAACCAAGGAGAAATGGCCATCATGTATGGCTTCCCCTCCAGATATTGGATATAGGAGGCATCGGTATAGGTATCCATGGTTTGATTTCCCCATGGCCACGCAGACCAGCTGAACAATCCGTCGGCAACTCCATTTGCCAATGCCACGGCCGGCTTGGCACCGACAGAAGACCAGTCTGGTACGAAGAAGCAATTTGTTTTTGCTTTGATTGTCACCCAGTCATCTGCATTGCCAGGTCCTTCAAAGGTAGACACAAAAGGCTTCCCCTCATACTGGAAGTATGAAGAGCTGGAACTGTATTTTTGGATCATGCTGGTGACAACATCTTGGTCCCAAGGCCCATTGCCAGCATAGTCGAATGAGAAGAATAGCCTGAATCCTTTCGCCTCGGCAGCAGTGAAGGCCATGGCCACGGAAGCGTCATTGGTCTTGTCTTCCCATGCCATGTTGAGGGCGAATGCATCGATATGGGCATCCTGGGCCAACTTGAAGTCTGACTGCCAGTCAGAAGCAGTATAGTTCTCGGAGTTTGTGACCTTGAATAGTTTTAATATCATCCTTTTACATTGAGATAATACCATCTAGAGTGGAGGTACATACCATAAAATGGGCAAACACAGCTTTTGCATCCGCCTGGTGGATGACCTGAAAGGTCACCACCATGGCAAGCCATGCAAACCAATTCATTGTCGCAATGGTGGGCGAAGGGGGAAATGATGAAAAACTCCGCTGCTAGACACCTACAGTCCTTTTATAATTTTTCAATCAAGCCCCTATCGCCTCAAACCACCTGGGCAGGACATTTAGCAGGTGAAAATTTCCGCCACACAAGTCTACCTTTCCGTAACGAGCTATAGCCTCGCTCACATTCCGGTACTAGATATATGGAGTGGAAATTATAGTATATGAGGTATTATCTCTAGTAGTCTCGAAATTGGACTAGGTGGTAACATTCATTCTAGCGTCAAGTAGTTCCGGGGAGCCCTATTTCTTCGGATATGCTCAATACCTAGGTACCAGACGATGAATTCGAGCAATCTAGTACACTCGTGGACTGATATCTACATCTAGATGTTGCTGTTTATTGCAAGATTCGATACAGCTAATGGCATTGCCTGTCTTCGCGTAGGTATAACGGCACATACTCAATACATCTCTGTCGAATTATTCTGTTAAATCGTGATAGCTCAACAGCTATGTGGGTACCGACGGGGCAAACCATGAGAGAAATTACCATGAGACGCCACAATTCAGGGCCACTAACAGTAATCAACAAACCATGGGTTTTCTAGGGCAGGGGCCATAAGTTTAGGAGGAACTCGCTCGAGATAGTTTAGCGGCCCACTTCGGTTGATGCCGGCGCAGTCCTTGCGCCGCCTAGCTCTGATTGCTTGGACGCTAAGGACGAATGTCCATATGTTGTACATATTGTAATTGCAGGTGCCCTCCACTACTTTGCGCCTCCGCCTTTCCGCTCGTTTATGCAAGTGAATAATTTATGTAAGCCGTTGGTGTTTCGGAGGTTACAAGTAGCAGATAGTTTACATATTAGCAGAAATACACTCCTACACCTTTCTTGCTTGATTTCTTGGTTTGCTATCCCGGTTTGCCTTGTGCGCTCTGGAAGGTATGAAGCTTAGTTACGACTGCTGAATCGAGACCCGTATGCTAGAGAGTATACTGCCTAGAGCGTTCCCCTCTTCAATATGTACTCCGTAGACTTAACCGTTTCAGGTGCGTGGGCGAAAAAAGAAAGAAAAGAGAAGAAAATATACGCTAAGTGGATCTCTACAAGATTGGAGATGATTAGTGATTATTGTCTCGCTTGCCTGAGGCTCGACATTATTGTCCGTTTGAGCACTCGCGACAGTTTTCCGACTAGCGCTGAATCAAGGTCCACAGGACTCCTGCTAATAATGCTTCCTGCTTATGCCTCTCTACGGTGAATCACGCTCATGTTATCACAATTAAAGGTTCAGAATTTATTCTTCAATTTTTCTATGAGCATCTAATATATCTTGGGGGCCTTTATAACTCATTATTATCTCTATACTCCATACCGAATATTAAAATCCCTACTTTCTTCGTTTGATTTAATTATGTATATCGTTGTTGATATCTCTCAGTAGTCACATGGTCTCTCTCTCTCTCTCCATAGGAGTAGACTCATATAGTCTCTCCTCTGTGATTCCTCCCTCATCAATAGTTTAACACTTTCCACAATACACATATTGTGCTTTCATGATCTCATCTACTTCGTAGATTCTAACAATCGTGCGCGGCGATAGTGGGATAAATTAGTCCCTAGTTCTTTTACTGAGCTACTGAACTAGCAGGTCTTGGCAAATGGCGACGGTGATTTCTCTAGCCGAACTTTTTTTTTTTGCCATATTGTGTATTGTAGGCCCCGCTCGATGGAATGGGCCTAATAGAGAATTGGATTAGACTAAATCATAGTTACGGCCAAGCTCATGATTAATCTCCGAGCCACTTGCTTAGCTCTATTACCGATGAGGCGAATGCAACGTTTAGGCGACGTTGGACCACACGATGCCTTTGAATCTTGCTAGTATGTCTTGGCAACGGGTTACATACCATAATCGGTACTCCATACAAAGTACGGAGTACAACACTGCCGTTCGAAATTATGCCGTTGGAAAAACAAATGAGATTCCTTCTCTCATTAGAGAATACGGAGTAGTCGGCTCTTTGTCCGAATTCCTTGTTGGTTTACTTCCTTTTGGCACCTCATTCTGCGCTTCCCTTCACTTTTCACGTCCCTCCCTTATCTTTCATTATATTCCATTCATTCACCTTTTCCCTCCCGAGTCCTACTATAGTCGCACAGTATGATGCTAGCCATTGTCAGCTTGTGAGTATTCCTCTCTGCACATGTGGAACTAGAACCACAGATTTTTCCAGAGACCCTAACAAGCAAATAGCATAATCCTTATTTTGATCTTTACCTCCTTCGCTCCGTGTATACGTCACGCTTGGCTAGACAAGGGCACTGGAGACATTTCATTGTTCTACCTACTTTTCAATGTCGTTTGTTCTACGGAGCATTTACTTTTTGTCTTCTTTTACACAATCAATTTCCCTGTTGAGACAGGTTACTGGACGCATCATCCACGTAATGCACTTGACTGGGTCAATTTTGTTCAAGTGCTAGGCGTGTGGGCATTATGGAATATCCTGTGAGCTCAAAAAATTGCACTTCCTAGTGATCATATCGCGACCAGAGACTGACCAAAATGTCTAGATTGGGGTTCAACCTCTACTACAGACCCACTAGTCGCCTTCGGAAGGCTTTGACAGTAGTGATTTATTTCGGCTTTCTCATTGTATCCATAGTCCCTGTTATCGCAGATGCAGTTTCTGATATATTCTGTCCTCCACACTATCCGAACTGCCCCGAGATTGAGCGGGATCCAATTGCCCTCTTCCAGGGCCTTCATGCCGTCATACTTCTGCCATTTCTTACGACCATACCACTTGGCATAGGGATATTCCGACAAGCCCGCATGCCGTTACAAACTCAAAGTCTGACTGGACTAAAGTTTCAGGCAGTTGCTTTCATGCTCTCGGCCATTTCTTGGGTCCCAAGAGTCTCTGTTCCATGGGATCTATATCTAGATGGTGAATACCCAATCATGATGGTTGTCAATGCATGGTACCACATGGTTGGGTTTGTCGCTGTCAACGATGCATTCTTCGCTCTGGGGCAAGGCTTCTTGCTGTGGTTGTCTTTACGGCAGATACGACGTGCAGAGGAAGGGGAAAGACAGCTGCTTCTGGGGTGATACCTTTTGTTTATGTACCTCACCATGATTCTGGCTTTTACCTTTAGATCACATAGACCCTTTCCAGTGATATGCTCTATTGGGATGTCATTAACTCCTTTTATTGCACCATTTTCCATCAGTAAATACGATCTGCTATTTTAAATCCAAGGATATTCATAAACAATCTATAATTTGACATTTTATCTACGCAAAGGCATAATAGCTAGGGTTACTTTCGGCTTTAATGTCATGCATTGAGGCCTCGGTACCTCAATTTGGCCTGATATTGGCCTTATCCTGACCGTTTTCAAATCCTATGATACAGTGTATTGTGAATCTTTCAGTACGGAGTAAATACTAGTACCGACTACCGGAGGCTTCAAAGCCCCGAAGGCCTAAATTGCTATGCTCCTGGGTACGCCACCTCACCCGCTAGTTCAAAGGCTCTCTCTCTCTTTCTTTTTTTTAATGCTATCCTTTTCTTTCCCTGCTTATATTTACCTTTTCTATTCTCCCCGATACTTTTTCTTACAGCTGCCATGGATCCTGAACTTAAATCCCACATGAGATTTTTTGAACATGATAGACCGTGAGATTCAACCCCCCCCCCCCCCTTTTGGCCATTGTTCCAACCTAACAAATATCCCAGTCCAAACACGCCCAGACTTTCAATGGAGATTGAGGCGATGTCCCCAGTTGTGTGTCTCTCTAACCCGAGACTAGGAATTATTGTCACTATTCGTCGGGCAGAGGATGACTGTGATAAGCCCTGTATCTTCCGCTGGAGCAGCATATATGATGCATGGGGTCCCTCTGGCTTCGCAGTCTTTCAACACACACCAGATGGTCTAAAAAGGGTTGAACAAACGCCTGGGCGGTCACCTCCTCGGACTGTCAAGATCACAGGATATGAAGTTGAAACAGAAGAACTTCTTCCTGGACAAACTCTCAGTCGAAACATAGGCCCATTGCGTCCCTTTTTGGATCACATGGTGGCAGGTGAGAGATATGAGCTAGTCTGGCTCGGGGCTGAATATGCCTTGTGGGCTTGGGGCACCTTGCGTGACCATTGGGAGCAAGAAATTGGGGATAACTCCAGGCTACCCATTGTTGTCATCCCGGGGGAGCCTCTCGCTCTTTTCACTGCGTAGATGTGGAAGAACCTACAGAGCCTGAACCGTACGAGCCTTCTCTAATAGAGAAATCGGATCGAATGTGAGTAATTTTCTAACCCGATATCCGTCTTTTATACTGGCTGATAAACTTTTCACAGTCCTGGAACCCCTTGCATAAGTGTGTTTCTGGAAAGTCCATCAGAAATGTCTAAAACAAAAAGAAGCTTTGCTATTACAATGAAGATCACCTATGATGGTCTCACGAATGAGGACCACGAGGCGATCAATGATGGCACAAAGCCGATCATCATCCACAATTATCCTTTTCGTTATGATCACTGTCGACTGCAACGCCGCTGCCCCGATTACTATCCGTCAAAAGATCCAAGCGGGGATTTTACACAGTGGAAGACTTATTATGACGACGAAAAAAATCCGGGTTGGAGGATTGTAGATGAACCTGACGTTGAAATCAACGTCACGGATTCCAAGTATTTCCGCGGCCTTGAACCAGGGGAATCTTTTGTCAAAACTCTTAAACTTGAATCTTTCCACTTGCATCCCGATACAGCGGTCGGCGACACATATCGATACCAGTACTGTGGTGGCTGCGTTGACTGGTGGATTTGGGGTGATTTCAAAGAGCATGCAAATACTGTAGTGAAATTGCCATGTTGGCTGCAAGATTATGTCGTCGACCCCGATGATAATGATGGAAGGCCAGTCATAATGGTCCCTTCATCTAATTTTGTCGAGTTTACTATTGTTGAATGATACGAATGGGTTCTCTCTGATGCAAGTTCTGAACTCAATTTAGGTATTAGAATATAAATGCATTCAATGCATTCAGATCATACTTCATTAATTATGTAAATATTCAAGTACAGGGACTCGGCATCTATAATTTTCATAGGCCCTTATATTCTACATATAATGGGCGTCTCGCTGTTTAATGCAACCTGTGCACAAAAGTCTGATGTGTACGCTAATTAGTGTCAGACGTACATTTTGGCACGAGCCATTTTTTGTTGTACGTCGACACATTGTATGTTGACACATGCAATACCAAACTTGGCCTCTCGATGAGAATTCTGGGCTATGATAAAACGCAAGGCCTCGGCCCTTGGCAAATGAGCTATAACAAAAGCTCATCAACTTTGGAGCGGGGACAACATAACAGTACAGGCTTGCAAGAAAGACACAAAATGACTACAGTCCAAAATCTAAAGCTAAAGAGGATCAAAATCAAAATCAAAGCAAAACATAATTCCGCTCAAAACAAACTGATGCGTGTCGCTCGTGTGGCGAGGTGACCTCTTCCAATCCTCCAGACTCATCTTAGCCCAGCACAACAGTCATGCTCAGACAGCAATATCCAAGTCGTTTCTGTAGCTCCTTGAGACCCCCTTCTGGGACAGAATGCGAGCGACTTCATTGATGTCCTGAGGTGCTATCTCATACACATCATAACAAAGGACATCCCAGATGTAGGGTTTATCGCCAGATTGGAAAGTCGTTAGGGAGACATCGTCATCGTCTAAGATTGGTCGACCCGGAGTAAGAACATAGCTTCGAGCAATCTTTTGGCCAGCTGAATTGACACTATCCCACTCGTATTCAAAGCTGGGGCTCCCGGGACGTGCTGTCCAGCCTGGGGGAACAATGAACTTCTCAAAATGACACTTGTAAGCAACTCGACTTGAGCTAATAGGACCCCAAAAATTTCTCACTGGTAGTACGAGAGGAACTCGAGTGGTAGACTTGGCAGGCGAACGAGCGGGCAAGGTGGATTTGGAAGGTGTTGGAGGCTAACACAACATAAGCGGCGTGGCTTGAATTAGTAGCATGAAGGAAACTCACAGGTGATCGACTGACGCTTCTAAGCTGATTCATGATGATCGTGATAGAATAGCTGTTGTGTGAAAAAGTACCATGAGGTGAATTCAGAATAGATGGCTGTGGATCTAAACGCCTAAGCTTCAACAGGTGGGGAGATCGACGTGGAAGTGGGTCCGGGAGTACCGGGAAACTTCGATCGCCGCCACTACGGAGTATAGATATGTAACATGGATGTATGGTCGTGCATGAATGAATTTGACGATTGAAGTGACCACAGAAGCGGCGCTCGCCCATTTCTCACCCGGGCGACACCCACCGAACTATTGACCGCACATAAGCCACACGCCGGTGAGTTAGTAGTTGGGTGGGTGACCACCAGCGAATCCTCACTGTTGTATGTTTTTAAAAAAAAATTCGATTCGTTCGGAAACCTTAATGGAGGCATAGATCAATAAATATGAGGCTAATCATGGAGCACGGTGTGGCTGGAGTTGTTCAAAGGCTGTGTTTTTTTACTATAGAGATACCATGATAAATGGCATTCGTATTGAACAATGGGTTCCAACAGCGCCTGAACCCAATTAGAACTAAACCATATGCCAACGGTAAATCACTGTGTCAATAGTGTTCTACTAGTCTGATTCCAACCTAAAGGACAAACTATCCCGACCGCCTGCCTGTTCACGATAGAATAGGTCGTTCTTTGTATCGCAATATCCCATCTTGTGTTGGAATCGAAAGAGAAAAGTAAGTTAGTTACCACAGGGGCCTTTGCTGTGAGAGCATCGCTGATCTGCATCAAATTGACAACGCGCTACCGGCCTAGAAGTTGCTCGGGTATTTGATGAGAGTTCTATATTATCGACTTTTTGCTGTTCCAATTGTGAGTAATCACTGGGATCTTAGAATTGTCCCTTGAACAACCACGTCCACTTCAAGACAATGTTTAATTTCCTTCGCTTTCGCGAAAGTTTTGGTGGATTACGACCCACAAAGGGTCGATTCGAATTATTGCGAGACCCGTTCATGATTTGTTTGAAAATCCCTGACTGGCTTTATCAGTGAAAATGCTACATCTTTTCTAGTAATGATGCAAAAATATTTGTCTAAAACGTTCAGGTCATAGAAACTGGGATGCATGTCATTTTTAATGATGATGCAATTTTTGTTCCAACCTGGTTTTCCTGTTACGCGGAGATAGATCAATCAACTCCCCTTGATGGCAAATTTTGAGAGTAGACTTCCTGGAGGATAATGGAATACAACATAGAATGAGAGAACCTAGAATGAATTTCTATATACTTCTGATTTCAGGTTGTGAGGCAGTGGCACTACTCTGCAGCAGCGAGGGCAGTATGCACTGCGCTCTTATTTGATCTTGTGACTGACCCACACCAACGCTCACTTGGGAGAGCATACTGCGAGTCAATACTCGGATGCTTGACAAGATGGTTGTGATTGGACGAATTATTCTCGGACTGGAGAAGGTTCCTCTTGATACTATACCAAGGTATCTAAAGTATACTTTCATGAACAATGATGCAAATTCAACCTGAAGATTTACTGCACAATTACAACGATTACATGCCTTGCTATTCATGCAAAGCTGGGAAGGAGAAGCGCTTAGCCCGCAAAGTATATCGGGAGGGGGTGAAGGTGGAAATAAAACTGCTCCCTTGAGTTGCAGAATATCAAGTGCAGACTTATTCTTGCCGAACATCTGATATGGTGTAAAAAGAGGTGATGGTAGAATGGCCATGATTTGGCGTGGCATCAACTCGACGAAATCGTAGTGTTTCCTAGACATCGTAGACAACGCAATCTGGCTTTCATCTAACACGACTGAAACCCTAGCTACCCGTAATGAGATATCGGTGGAATTCAAATAATTACAGAAAGATGGGTAGCAATAGATCCCTCCACATCCTCAACATGGTGGCCTAGATGTCGAAGCATTGATTTGGTTTTGTCTTGCCACTGATAATGATAATTCAGAAAATCGCAACTCAGTCTCCTTAGAAACAATTGACCGCCGCTGAACCATTTCGGCAGCTGTGAGGTAATCATTATTACGACGCGAAATATTCAACTCCCCCAAGTCTGTGTGGAGCAGAATAGTCAAGGTTTCACTGTCACCTTCTAGGGCTGCAGAATGAAGGATAGTTGAGCCAGAGTTGTTGGTAATCGTGTAATCAGCAGACCACTGAAAAAGCAATCGAAGGAATCGATGGCTGTTATGAAAAATAGCCTCAAATAGCGCAGATTCACCACCTGCACCGCTAATATCAATGGCAGCGCCCTGGCGCAGGAGATATTTCCCGATTTTGGTATTATTTCTGATCGCTGCTCCAATCAAAGCGGTGTGCCCATTTTTGTTTTGCGAGTCCAAACAGGCACCTGAGTGCAAAAGTCGAATTACTGGCGCAGGATCACTTTGGTGTCTGCAAGCATGATAAAGAGCATCAGAGCCGTAGGAGTTTTTCGTGTGAACATTGCTGCCAGCATCTAGCAGGAATTCCAAAGATTTCAAGCAGCCAGAAGATGCTGCAAACATCAGTGGTGTTGAGCCTGATCCGTCAACATCTGTTACATTGGCCCTGTATTGGAGAAGGATCTGGATTTTTTGAAAGTCGCCCCGGATTGCCGCCCAATGTAATGGTGTTTTCCCCGTAAAATCCGGGGTATTGATCTCATCCCGATGTGGTCTGTTGTGCAAGTGCTCGGCAAGATCGCCTGATATCCTTTCTACCACTAGTAGGTGAATGTGTGAGAATCCCATGTCATCGCATAAGTCGATATTCCAAAATAGACATTTGAGGTGTCCAAGCTGGGCGGGGGTTCCTCGTTGTGTCAAGATATGCTCCCAAGCTTTGATTGTTGGGGTACTTGTTTATTGTCATCGTCAATAGATTCCTTGAAAATTGAAAATATGGATACTTACATGCCTGTATAATCCATAGCATGGGCATTGGCAGAGGCACTACAAAGGAACTCGCAAGCCTCAATGTGATTACGCATAACCGCATACTATTAATTAGATTAGCATTGTGACGCGCATATCTCCATTGACAGCCCTGGTACTCACATGCAAAGCACTTCTTCCATGCTTCTCGTCTATATCATGCAGAGCATAGGAAGAACCACTCAGTAACACCTTCAGACCTTCAACATTGCCCTCATATGCACACTTGAGAATCGTTTCGCTACTACCCCATCCTAGTCGCCGGGGGAAATTCAGGCCATACGATGGACTTCCGGAAAGAATTAAAGTGATATCGATCATCCAACCAGGAAAGCAGTAGATGGCTTCAACGGATCCTGAATTAGTCTTCCTGCAAGTTGTCTCATCGCAACTCGATCGGAAAAAGGGAGTCCCCTGGTATCGAAGAAAAAAGGTACCCATGACAGGTCTCGTGAAAGATGGAGATTTGACAAGATGTCTTTTGTGGCAGTTACATGAGCAGGCTTGATGGCAAGTGTTGACTGCCGAGGGTCGCCCAGGGAAGTCGTTAACGTTTTTCACGACTGGCGTGGGAATGTAATTGGTAATTTCCTTTGGATTGGTTGTAATTCCTGAGTGGATAGTCACTGCACTTGATAGTTTTGACACGGGCTTTCGACATTGCCTTAAATTATCCAAAATCTCTTTCATTTGCTCGGAGAGCATGTTTAGATTCCTGTTGCTCTTGTGTAGCTCTTTCAGGTGTCTCTCGTAGCGCTCTTTATCGAAGACAACTTTGATGGAATTTTTCACCCGGTAAATACTCGCTCTCAGTTTCTCATGCTATTCAAACGTGAGTAAATATATTCGCGATCTAGGAGGCATGGTCGAGCTCACTTGTCTCTTCTCGCTTTTCGAAACAGTGAAAGGCTTCAAATCTTCCTTCATCTCCTCAAGTTTCAATTTTATATTATTGACAATGTCTTTGTATATCTCACAGCTCTCCTCAAGACGTTGGTTTAAATCAGCTTCTTGAGGAGAGTTGCCCTGTGCGATATCGTCATTGCTGGCCGACATCCCTTTGAGACCGTCTTTAATACCCTGCAATATAGTACACTCATTTTTGAAGAGTTGATACTCTATCTTCAACCTATCTCCAATATTTTTCGTCTCAAGTGCATAATGCTGAAAAGTGTGTAGAATATCGTGGATATTGCGGTAGCTTTGCAGGGTTTGAAGGAAAACGGGTACAACACCAAAGAGAAGGCCGGCTAATTCTAAACCGCTCATTTTTACAAAATATTTTGAGAATATGGAGATAGTAGACAGGGGATTATCTCACTTTGTAAGCTTTATGAATGATTCAATAGTAACTTGAGATTGGAGTGACGTGGCAAAACAGGGGTGTGCTTCGCCCGGGTGCATGCACTTCGCCGCGTTCCGGAAGCCCCCTGTGAGTATGCAATGCGTCGATTCCTGTCCGTCATTTTGATCTAATTTATCTTACATGGGAGATGCTCATCAACTTCCTAAATGACACGAAGCGTCTGAAAACGTACAATACCAAAATATATTTGCCCTTTCAAAGTATTCTTGGGCTGCTTTACGGACAGGTAAATGGACTATGAGACAGCTTATATTCCGAAACACATGGCCAAAGAATGCATAGGCGCTTAGGGTAGGATAAAGAAATATGGGGTTTAACGTCATAGTTAGTGCTAATTACAGCCCACGCGCTTTTAAGATATTCCGTCAAATCGAAGGCCAATAAAAACACTTCCTTTACCGCTCAGGATTCAGATGTAAAACGGGTCATGTCAGAGGGGAGGTCTAGATGCATGGTGGGGAGTTAATGGTAATCCAGGTATTCAGCCTTCGACAGCAGCCGTCGATGGTAGAAACAATCTCAGCAATAAGCCCACACAACGTAAACGACCGGTGATTATGACATCCAATCAATAAACCAGAAACATATATTACTGATGGATTACTACGGTACTGCATGCTTAATACTCAAACGCATTTTTCGATTAGATACGAATAACCCTTAGACATAGGAAGATAAGGCGTCTTCCGGTCGAACTTGCTAGAAACACATAGGATGATGACATAGCATCTTTTCGTGAGGCACTCATTAACGTGAAAGGTAGCTATCTCACTCAGTATTATCTTCCTTGTTTCGGATGGTATCTAATCTCCTATCCCAGACATTGGCCAGAACCTGCCATCTAAGGCGAATGCCCTTATCATTTCATGCAGGATGAAGTATATAGCCACCCCGTTGATGCCGAGGGCTGGAATGAGGTCCAGGATTTCTTTAACGCTATAGAAAGTCTTGTGAAACGAGACGGATGGACATATCCTGATACGTTCGACGCTGCCTTTAATTTCTTTTCAGAGCTTCGAGAACGGGGGCTGAAGAATATGATAGGTGAGGAAAAGAGAGCTTTTGACAGACAGACTCGTTGGGCCAGAAAACAGGGTGATTCCCTGGCCTACGGGACATCATAATACTAGCATAATAGGAGCATCTACCACGCTTCACGTTGTCTAACCTTTTAATTTAACCCCGGAACAAAATTCACACTAAAACCATCTCCTAAAAAAAGAACGTACTTGTGCGTTATATTTCCAAGTTATATATAAGCTGAGCGGGAAAGAAAAACGCCAATTCACCGCACCTATCGCCCACACGCTCGTCTACACTAAGTCGAGAGTAGGTAATGCTTTTTTTCACATTCTTAACCTAATCACGAATATTTTCTACAAACCTCCGAGTAATTCCGGGTTTAATCCCTTTATTAACGAAAAATTCCGGATCCTGATCCTTATAGATGTGCTTAAGCTTAAAGCCATTAGACAGGGTTATATCGCACGCTTATCGAAATGTAGCTTCAAGAGTATCATTAGATGCGTTCGATATAAGCCACTAACCATATTCTTTAATGGCCACGTTCACCGCCATTTTTATTTCTTTAATGCAGTTGGAACATCCTCCAATGATAGTGAACGTGTGCGTAGTATCCTGGTTCGTGGCGGCTAATCTGCAGAAGAGATATATGTTATATATAAATATATATATGTGAAAAATTGAGGAGACAAAACGACATACGATGAATTTGACGATATGTCAGAAGGAATAAGTAGAGTAATAGGATAATGCACAGGGAAAGTGTTGATAACCCTGGAAAGGAAATTGGCCAGATAATTATGTAGTAGAGGCGATCACTGATCGTGAGAGTATTGTCTCTAGGACTCTATTCCAAGAGAGAATAGAAATATTTTTCATATGAGAAACAAGCCGGTGTCAATGGTGTTATCGCCTCAGCGGCTAGAATGTTTGGTCAAGGTGCTGTGGGCTCCGGCATCACGGAGCTCGCCAAGTACAAAACCACCATGACACCCAAGCCATCAGTGGCTCCAAACATGAAGGGAGACTATCAAGTTGCCACATATGGAGAAAAAGAAAACGATTGTGCTGTGACTTACACATGTCGCTATGGACAGGGTTGGGACGAGGTAGGAGCCTCTCCCTTTTGGCTATTTACTTCTTGCTGATATGACTATGTGATCTAGGTATGCGATAACCAACGGTGGGCCATCGACCAGGCCTTCAACAGAAAGACAGTTTACAACATGGCAACCGCAGTGGTAGGGAGAAAGAAATACAAGGATAGCTGGTCTTCTTCAAAAAGAGGACCATGGTATGCCACGCTCGCCAAACCCATTGTCAGCGGAACAGGAACATGGAGGGGAAGATATCAGTGTGAAGTGTAAGAGCCAGGCAACGACTTTAAGAGACTTATCACCCGGAGACATTATCTTTTGACAGATGATCTAGGGACGAGTTTCCTCAGGCGGCCTTGGCAGAGGCACAGAACAAGACGTACCAAATGGTGCGCTTTCTCAATGGACCAGCAAATGCTGCCCAGGGTCTGTTTTCCTTTTTCTTCTCTTGTCTCTTGCCTGACTCAATTTAAGTATGAGAACTAACCCTTTATTAGGCCGGGAGTTTGGGGCTTGGAAACAGGCTGAATATATCCCATGTAGCGCACTCGCACTCCGGGAAAAGGCAAATAAGCCCCCCCCCCCCCCCCCCCCCCCCCCCGCCTATTACCTGGGAGTTCTCTCCATTTAGCGAAGGCGACAACCAAGCTAATGCCAATACGGCTGGGCAGCATTATGTGCAACATTACTGGGACTGAAAGTCTTCTTTGGAGGCTTGCCTGTGAGCGCTCGGCCATTTTAGACAACTAACTCGAGTTCCAGTGGGATTCTCAAACTCCGGGGAGTGAATGCTGGGGTATGAAACGCCTTGTGTTTCTCCTGGTGCTTACAGCTGCTAACCATTGATGATGATGTGATTACCGACCTACGTACGGACCTCAGGCGTTTTTGTGGAACATCCACTGTTTCAGACAATGGATTCCGCGGTCTACCAGATGATCCGTGAGTATTCAAAAAATGACTCAAATACCCCACTCCTACGAGAAAATCTCAGCTGACCATGGATCTGTTTAGAATGTATAATAATGTCTACAAATGACTAGCCACTAACAAGTACAACCAGCCACCCTCGATCCAAAACATGCCGGCTCACGTCTATTCTGCGGCTTAGTTGAAGTGTGAAGTCGCTCGCTCTGTCCTCCAGAGAGACCTTCCTCTATCAGCCATGTATGAAGTAGAGAAGGCGTCTCACGTTCTCAACGAGATGGGCCTGTCAGAACCAGCAACACCACCGATGCCCACTCCTACTGATTCCTTTGCTTATTTGGGTATCCAGGAAGAGGAATTGAAGACCAGTAACTAATTTTGGGTAGCGGTATGCCCATTGAGACGGGAAGTGCGCATATGTTAAAACATCTCCACGGTCATGGCGTCGGAATCATTATTAAAGCAGGAGCCAAAAGGAGGTTGTGAAATTTGTGAAGGAAGGCAGGGGAAATGTACGCTAATTTTGACCTACACCCTCCTTCAATTCAATATAGTTGAGACTTGAGTTAGGCGAATAGCGTACGGAAGAATACTGGTCCTAGGCGGTACAAGCACATGATAAAGATCACCCGGCCTCCAACAGAAGGATTACTGTATGTAAAAGCCGAGGTTATGTACCGAGAACAAGGTCAACAAGTTAGAGTTTTGTCGTGTCGTCCTTGTATTATCGACTGGCCTGGAAAGCATTTCTACTAGCAATTTTCAACTTCATGCGTGAAGTTTTCGAATAGACTAATCTCCATATATACGGGGGAGTTGCAAAGCTCACAGAGACAGTCACGGTTGTATTTCATCCCAAACTTGGCAAAGATATTGTATTGCCCCAAAGCTGGAAAAATATCCATTCCTTTACACCGCACAATCTTTTCTCGAGATGTCATCCACATGGTCGACGCCCACATGTGCTTTATTGTCATCATCATCCTCCCTTAGAACTTGGAACGTGGTTGTGCGCCATTTCCTGGCCGGAACACGCATCTAGAACAGTTTGGCGATTTACCAATTTGAGTTGTTTCAGCAACACAGAACCAAACCCATACCAAGGAAGTGATTATCGTTCCAGCGTAAGCAAACCCAAATATTGGTCCAAGGCCGGCGTCGTAATAGATGTATGGCGCTGTGAATGTGATGACCCATGCGGTCGGATACAATGTCGTGGTAGAGATTGACATGATCTTGCTCTGGTTCGGACCGACTGCCATCTCCCTGGCCACCGTGTATGCCACAGTAGACAGTCCGTAGTTGATCACCGCCACAACAACAAAAGAGGATACCGCAATAACCTATTATGCTCCAATGCCTCCAATGAGAACAAAAGCCACGAACATTGCGAGTGGGCCCTATGACCCTAAAGCCCTAGGCCCCAATGGCTAATTGTTTGCAATTGCTCGCTTCTCCTCCTCGTGATATGGATTAGCTCTTTTTTTTCCGCCACGAAGCAGGACCTGGTCCGCCAGGCCCATGATTCAATCCGGGGGATGTGCTTAGCTTGTATATTGGCCAGATTCTCCTCGGCTGAGCGGCCTACTCGCCAACGGAAGTAGTCATAGATGAAGGCCGATGCACCGCCTGAAAATCGACTGGTTGATCAATTAAGTCAGAGTTAAAGAATGCAAACAGAATCGGTGAGAGGGGTGACCCCTGTGCCGGTCCTGCATTCGCTGGCGAAGCGACCTCGGTGCGGAAGTCATCGAAGCCGATGCTGGCAAGCGGTCGCTCATAAAGCTCGCGATCCACTTTCTAACGACGGTCGTGATCCCCTTTGACCGGAGTCCGGTGTCAAGACTGATTGTATTGACCCCATTTAAGACTCCTTTCAGATCGAATACAACGAGTGTTACTACGCCTAGTTTGTACTATGCTCGGTCTATAGTATTAGAAGGAACAAATAAGTCCTGCCCTGTGGTCCTGCCCGGCCGGCCACCGAATTGTGCATCCGGTAACAAACCGTGTTTCTCCGCGAGGTACGACAGCCGTCGAGCTATGACTGCTTCGAGGATTGTACCGAGTGTGTTAAGGAGCGAAATCGGGCGGTAGGCCCGGGGAACAGTGTAGTCTGGCTTCCCTAGATTACGTAACACCACGATATTTGCTTCTCGCCATCGCCTTGAGTAGTACCCTAGCTGGATTGATGTTGTGAAAATGTTGGTTATGAGATGCTTTGAGAGTTCCCTAGAGATTCTTCCACACCAAGGTTGGGAGTCCATCCTCGCCCGGTGCTGTGGCGCCTTTAGCTGCCCTGAGAGATCGCTAGATTTCCAGTTCCCTGATCGGTGGCCAGGGTAATTCCAGTGGGGCTTGAATTCGGGGGTCTTCATCAGGCTCCTCCATCTTGGGGAAAAAGCAGTCCATAAAGGCCCTTGCCTTGTCTTCGTTCTCCACCACTTCTTGAGAGCCTACATACAGGGCGGGTATACAGCTCCAGGCTTAGATTTCATGTAAGTGGCGGCTTTCTAGAGCATGCCTTCCCCCGCTCCATCGATCAAGGACTCATACTTGCGAAGTCATTGCCCAGGTCGGTAATTCCTTATCACCACGTGTTACGATAAACCCCCGACGACGTCATAACCCAGTGTCGGTCTCTTTATGTCAGCGCGGCTTCATTCTCGAAAATTATTCACAAATTCGTTTTATTTGTATACTTAATACATATATTCAAAATGTCCGTCATACCCTGCATCCGCTCTGTTCGTCGCTCCTCACTCCTCCGCATTGGAGGTCTCCAATCGCACCACATCATGCAACCCTCCATACAAGGACTGGTTCCGGGCTCTTGGTCTTTGCGCAGCTTGTCCAGCTCTGGCAAAGCACGTCTTAGCCACATCTCATTCCAATCGCAATTTTACATCCGATCATCGCTCCCAAGGCCCACAGCGAGGACCTACGCCGATCGAAAAGGATCCACCGGCAAAGCCGAAGCCGACCTCCTAGTCGAGGAACTACAAGAGCTGTACGAAGTCGCCAAAGACGAGTTCGAAATTGCCACTGAAAGCACCGACTCATCTACCATCTACGCCGCATCGGACCGCGAGTCTGCCCGCGATGCTCTCAACCAGCTGTCCACCGTGTACGCACTCTACACTGCTCGTCCTGGGGAATTTGAGAACGAGACGGATGAGTCGTTGTCTGCGGGAGAAGAGGCGGGGGAGAGTGCTATTATCGAGACACAGTACAATCCAGCGGAGGTCCCGCAGGGTGTTAAGGATGAGGTGCGTCGTCGGGTTGGACATCGAATTCGGGAGTTGAAGAATGCTGTTGAGGCGCTCGAGCAGAGGGCTACGGAGGATTGAGCGTGCTTTGTGTGGCTGTTTGAATTCAGGTCGATCACTCCTGAGGTGCAAGGATTGTGTGGCTTCCATTTTTGGATGCGGCAGTTGTATATTTCAGGTACCCATGTATGTTATGGTCCAAAGGAGCAAAATAAATAAAGCATTGTGTATCTTGAGACTGCGAATTCTATACCTGACGTGCGAGTTCATGAAAGCAAATGAAAATATAATAAAATCACCTAGGAAATGTATAACCCGGGTAAATCAAACAGTTGATCAGTGCGGGATCTAAAACAATATCTCAATTATATCATTGGCGGAGAGTCCCGGCAACATCAAGGCCAGGTGGTATCAACTTTTGTTGGGGGTTCTCGAAAATCCACAAAACGCCAGACACAAAGTCTTCCTAAGCCATCCATAGTACGCCCGGCCACAAATAGCGCCGTAATCTGTTGGGTCGTAAGACATGACAATCGCATACAATGATGCGTTGAAAGGTGTGGTTCGTTAGACCAGAGTGAAGGGAGTCATAGTGAAGTGTTCAGGGTTCGGTGAGGAGAGTGACAAGCAGGATTCCTGTTTATGCGTTGTTCTCTGGTGGCGTTTCAATTGGTCTACGGGGAATTGATGTTAGCATGTAGGCCATCAAAACAAGGCTCAGATCATAGAACTTACCAGGGCGTGTGAAGCTCTTAGTGCAGCCTGGGAAAAGGCATTTATGTCTTCGCTCGCCGTGGGCTACATGTAGTTAGTAAAATAAGCTAAAACTTCTGAAACGGAAGGAGTATCATACTAAGTCTGTGACTAGACATATTCGAAGACTGGTTTAATGTTAGAACACGAACGAGTATACAACATGGAGATATAGAAACTCACGTCGCCCGTGGTGAAGTTGCATCCTGGCCAGGTGCATTTGAAAGGCTTTTCGCCAGTGTGGGTTCGCGAATGTGTTTCTGAGATGGTTAGCGGTGGATTCGACAATGAACTTGAGGACGACATACTCAATTCGCTGCTATCTGTAAATGATTTATTGCAGTGTTTGCATGTGTATGGCTTGTCGCCGCGGTGACTGCGCTCATGTCGGTCTAATGTCGCTTGTCTAGCAAACGCCTTGCCACACACTGAGCACGAAAAATTCTTATCTGTAAAGATGCCATTCTGTTAGTACATTTGCCCTACTATCGATAGATAGAGTGATGATATATATGACATACAGTTGCTGTGTGTAAGGAAATGGCCTTGAAGCTTGGACTTCTGCGAGAAGGGCTTGTCCGGACGATGACATCCTTCCCAGCAGCAGTAGTACCCATTGCCCTTCGGACCATTCACGGTATTCATATGACTGGCAACAAGGTGCTCCTGAAGAGCACCACAGTCGGCAAACGTAGCACCGCAGGCAGCCTTGATCCCATGAACATCCACTGCCCACTTGCAGATATGCAGCGTACTGTCAGACGGGGAAAAGTCCGGTGTGGTAAGCACGGACGAGGAATCACCGTCGAGAGGTGGTGGGGTTTCTCCTGGGCTGGAAATGAAATGGGAGCTGATGCTTGAGCGAGACTGTCGGGAATATGGGGAATATGGGTGAGAATGAGTATGGGTGTGAGGTCGGCAGCGATGATGGTTTCGGTGAGGTCCTTTGCGTATAGTTTGCAAGTCAAAATCATTAGGATTTTTGAAATGATTGTGGACATGGTGATGTACAGGATGTAAGCAATTGTATGCGTCTGATGTGTCGATTTTGGGCTTGTCGAAGGCACCGAGACCGTTCTGGGGCGCAGGCACGTGTTGATTTTCACATATCGAGAAGTCGGAACACATACCGAGCATGTGGAAAACTTCCGCTGGGTTGACGTCGGTCTGAGTGGGAACAGGAGGCGCCACTAACATCCCTTGCCAATCTTTCTGGAAGTCACGGCACTCGAAGTGGTTGGATACCTCTTGCTCGCAATGGGTAGCATGGGTTTGGTACGAGGATAGTAAGTTTTCGTGTTGATATGGGTTGACAACACCAGGGAAAGGATGTTGCATGGCTTTTGGCGTATGGCCAACGAGATGATTTTCCATTACAGAAGAAGGGAAAATCCCCGTGTCTAGCGGCAGCGGAGTGTTGAGTTCAAACAGAGCGTCAAAGCCGCAGTCTTGAGCCGCAGTACCATCACAGCAGTGGTCTTCGAAGCACAGAGGGTCAATACTTTCACAGTGGTTGTCCTCGCAGTTATCCTCTTCACAGTGGTTGGTATCACAATGATCTTCACCACAGTGGGTATCGTCGCAGTTATCATCATCGCATTTGTCGTTCTCGCAGTGAGTGACTGAGCATACAGTGGAAGTGTCACAGCCCATAAATCCGTCACATACTGACCCACAGTCTAGCGCGCAGTCATCTACATCACAGCAGGCCTCGTCGACTTCGCAGGGGGGCAGCGGTGTCTGGGTCTCATGGCTTGAACAATTCCAATGATGCTGAAGAGCATTACCCGTAGGATTTACCGTAGCCTTGCCATCAATGTGGAAGGCTTCCCAGTTGCACTCAAGGCAGAAATCGCCTTGTTGGGTTTGGGACGCCATGGTGCACGGTTCACTTCAGGTGATATAGGGCAGGTCTTGGGGTCGAAATCGAACGGGGTTGGCCAGGAGCAGTATCGTCACAACAGCGTATAGAGCGATCGATTTGGGGATATTGCAGTCGAGGAACCGAGCAGTGTGCGACCGCAAGTGGGACAATGAATGCCAGCCAGGTACAATATCGTACTGCAAAGAGCACGCAACCACGAGGTAAATTGCCACCTAGTGTGTGCGTCGTTCCCAATAAGATTTCAGGTTGTACTGCCGAATGATATCCTCTCACAACCTAGTCTCACAATCGGGTCAGGCGCTTGGACTAGACTAGTTGAGAATACGCGCAATCGGAGAATTGACCGAGATCGACAGGAAAAGCAAAAAGGAGGACCTTGGAGTCGCAGATGCAGGATCAAATCGAAAGTATTTTAAGAGGATCCAAGGGCATAGCTCGATGTCGACTGGGACCCCTCAGTGCAGCCGTGAGGACCTTCGGGACGCAGGAGAGGATGGGGACCTTGGGGGTTAGGCGTCATGATTTTCGAGCGAATCGTAGAGCCTGCTTTGGCGATCAATGTCGGCAAATTTCTGATATATGTGACATGGAGTCAAAACTGCGGGAAACAGAGAGCTGAGATTATTAGAAACTGGGAAATGTTCCCCAGCATTCCAATGAAGAATTCCTTCCCCCCGCGGATATGATTTCCCCTTGACAGGCAGATTATGACTAAGCTTATTCCGCCCCTCTGGCCCGACGGCTCTAATCTGGTATTGATTATGTAGCTTGTCTGCAGTTTGTATCTGGTTTATAGCAGAAAGTTGCATCAGTTGTTAGATTTTACACAACTGAGTCATATGAACCTTCAATGTATGACACTATACCGAATTGCGCAGCTTGACTTACTGAAATCAATGTCGGATTCAAGTCACCGCCTTTGCCCCGGATCGACTATCAGCTTATCGCAATGCTCCAACATCCACTTGCGATGACCCGCGAACAACATACCCGTGGAGAACTTGATTCACAACTAGCATAGCAGCTGCGAAACCTACCTTACAGAAGTCTACTTCATTTAATTGACTTCCAAACACCAACTTGGCAGCATAGCCGACGGTGTAATCAAACATCCTTTCCTATTCTCCGCCACCCCAAACTAACCGCAACAACCCTCCGATCCCTGCGGCCCATTACACAATCACAATGGGCAACATCTGCTCCCGGTCTTCCAATGAGGCAGACCCCTTCAGTCAACCAGGCCGTGTAGTCGGCACCAACTCAGGGACGAGTGCCGCACCCCGCGCCCCACTTCCGGCCAAGACAAACTGGAAGGCTACACCCGGTCGCACTCTGGGTGAGAGCAATACAGGTGGCAGTACTCCTGGAATAGATGAGGCACGTGCAAATGCTGCAATTGCCGCACAGGTATGACAACTCGTTTCCCACAAAGACATAATGCGTAGGGCTGCGATTGCTGACTTGTGGGGCTTTATAGAAACGCGCGGAGGGCGCCTCTGCCAATAAAGGGAAATTGGGCTCAAAGCTGGCTGCTCAGAAGGCACAGACTCAGGCGCAGACATTGGATCAAGTCAGTCGTACAGAGAGGGCTGCGCGAGATGTGGATGGGGCCGAGGCTGCAAGGAGATGGGAATAGGCATCTATGCGACATTTTATTTGATCACGACTGCCATTATATCCCGGCGATCTTTTTGTTAGCGTTCTGTTTGTGGGATTATTATCTCTGTTTCTAGCGTATGTTTGGGTCTTTGGTTGCAGCTCGTTGACTTGTTCTTCGTTGGTGGAATTATGCAATCAAGCATCTCTTTGATAACTATGTATTTTGCATGATGTAATGATGCTGGTCTCGTCACTCCCATTAGCCGATGTTTCTCCAATTCCACTACTGGTTAATCATCAAGGGACTCTTTAGCTTCAGCCTCTACATAAATGAAGGAACAAGGATGTCGTACAATCATTCAGTTATTGAATACATATCGGAGCCTACCATGAACTAAAGCTTGACTTAAAGAACATTGTAACGGCCACCCACCGGAGCGCGCGCCTCACCCTCTGAGGCTGCCAGTGTTGCATCCTTGAGCAGGCGTCTGAGCTCGTGTATGGCGGTGGTGACTGATATCTCCGTCTCGCCCTCAACCAGAATATACAGCTTGGGAAGCTCCCCGGGACCGGGTTCCTTCCCTGCCGCGTAGAAATTGCCCTTGGTGGTGATGGAGGTTCCGGATGCTTCCAAGATCTTTGCCACGTTCGTGCGGTTTGTGACGGCCCAACGTGCTTTTTCTGTATAATGAAAGTAAATGGTAAGTGATTGTCTCAAAGATAAGAGGAATACGGGTTAACTTACGAGGGAAATCGTTGATTTCCAGCGTAGCATGGAAGGCTCCGGCATCAGGCCCGCGGTTATCAATAGGCACGCCGGATCTCATCACACCCGCACGACTCAAACGTGCGTTGATCTCTGCAACCGCGGAACCCACCTTGTCCAATGGGTTCTTTGAAGCATTCGCCGGTGCTCTCTCTGTACGATGCACGACGATCTTACCATCAAGATCAATACCCTTCGGTACACCCGGCATAGAAGCTGAAGCTGTAGGTGATGGAGCCGCTGTGTCGGCAGCGGATCGGACAGCTGAAAGAGCCTTGTTGAATCGATCATCTGACTCCTGCTCAGTCTCAAGTTTGTCATCTTCATCGTCATTATCATCCCCGGTTTTGTATGCTTTCCGCTCACGGAGTCGCGCAGTTTCACGTTCCATATTAAGACGATCCAGACCTTTACCACCGAATCCATGGCGGGAGAAATTCTTCTCTTTGCCAGACTTGACCTTCTCCATGAACCCATCAACCAGCTTTTGGAGAGGCTCGGGGACTTCCTGTCCACTTTGTTTGAGAGCCTTTGCAATATCCAACGCATACCGATCCTGTTCTTCGGTGACGAACGTGACGGCGGTTCCAGTGTTACCAGCCCGTCCAGTACGGCCGGCACGATGGACATAATCCTCCAAGTGATTAGGTGCGTCATAGTTGACGACGAGCTTGAGCTGCTTGACATCCAGCCCACGAGCAGCAACTGACGTTGCGACCAGAATAGGGAAAATGCCGGCCTTGAACTCTTGAATCGTGCTGTCACGATCAATCTGGTCCTTTCCGCCATGAATCGACATGCATGGATAACCCTTATACATCAATTGCTTGAGCAAGTCATCCGCCGCCTCTTGACGGTCCACGAAAATCAACGTGCGATAGTCTTCATTCGCGTCATCTTCGTACAAATTTCCCAGGAGCTCCAACAGGCGGAAGAACTTCTGGTCGTTATTACGGACCTCAACAATCTGCGTGATTTCGGGAGCCACAACACTCCGGCCACCCACTGTGATCTCGACTGGCTGGTTCAAAGTTTTCCGGGCCAATGCTTCCATACTCTTAGGGAACGTGGCCGAAAAAAGGACAGTCTGCCTATCCGGTCGGATGCTCTCCATGATCTTCACAACTTGTGGCCCAAAGCCCATGTCGAACATGCGGTCGCCCTCGTCGAGGACGACATACGTGACACGGCGAAGATTGAGGACCCGCCCTTGGTTTGCAGCTAGCAGATCAATGAGACGACCAGCAGTACATACAATGATTTCCGCGCCTCGTTTCAGCTCGGCAATCTGGTCTTTGATTGGCGCTCCGCCATATGCGCAGACAGCACGAAGACCCAAGGCCTTCAAGAAAGGCTTGCAGTCTTTATGAATTTGAGTGGCCAGTTCACGGGTGGGTGACAAGATCATAGCGATGGGACCCTCCATACTAGCCAGCGGCCGTTGGTCTTTGATATGTCGGAACATCGGAACAAGGAAGGCACCGGTCTTTCCTGAGCCAGTTTTTGCCACGCCGATGACATCGCGACCGGACATGATCGTGGGAATTGCTTGCGCTTGAATGGATGTGAGGTTTTCCCACCCAAGCTTGTGAACGACATCTAATGTCTGCACTCCTAAACCGCATTGCGACCACTTTTGAACGGGAGTAGGGACGTTGACACCGCGGACTTTGATCCCATCCAGTTCAAGGCGCAAGTTTGCTATCTCCTCCTCGGTCATCTCGGCAAGGTTGGAGGGTTCAGTGTAAAACTGCTTGCGGAATGGCTCATATTCGATCTTGTTGTGATCGATATCAGGAATCTCTCGCTTCTTTTTCTTAATTGCTGCCATGGCGAGTACATCTTCGGCCTTCTCATCACCCACTGCAGTCACATCCACATCTTCATCGTCGTTAAACATCGCCTCTGGTTGTTGGTGTGTGTTCTTCTTGGCAAAGGTGGCCCCGACTTTCTTTTCAGCCGGCGCCGAGTCTTGCAGTTCAGCCATGAACGCATCCAGTGGATCCACTTCTTCGGCATCGTCAACGTCCATGGGGGTAGAATCGGCCTGCGCATTCGTCGAATCCACCATATTGACATCATCAGTGTGACTCTGGAGCCGTTCATCTCGGCGTTCAGCTGCGGCATGCGCTACGGCTGCCGCTTGTTCTTCTGTTTCTTCGCCTTGCATGTCTACATCGTCGTCTTCACCGGTATCGTCCACCTGTGCACTCACATCGAGAGGCAGGGTCGGCAATCTTTCGAGCTTCTTGCGTGTGGATTGCTCATCCCCATCGCCAAAGCCCAGAGTTTTAGAAGCAGTAGATTTCTCTGTTTCAGAAGGTTGTTTCACACCCAGGCCAAATCCGCTGACATTACCTTTGGCTTTCAATGGACCAGAGAGCGTGGCCGGCGCAGCAGGAGGTATTTTGGATTTTGTCGCAAACGGAGCTTTGGCAGATGTCGGGACAGCGACATCTGTACCAAGTACTGCGGGAGCAGCAGCGGTAGTCGCGGTGGATGATTTGACGATGGCCTTTGGATCAAACTTCAACTTTCCGGGAAATGTGGTAGGAGGAGCTGGAGGCGCAACTGATTTACGGTCAATCGCTTCTAGGATCTTTTTGGGATCAAGTGATGCCTGTTCTTTTTGCTTCTTTTCGCGTTCGGCGGCTTGTTTCTGTTTCCATGCTTCAAGCTTCGCAAGTCTTTCGGCTTTCTTCTCCTCGTCTGTCTGGGCAGTTGGGGCCGGTGTGGACGGCTTTGATGGCTGCGGAATAGTATTAGGACCGAGGTTTCGGCATAATGCAAATTTCGGGGAACTTACCTCTCGGGTTCTGGACCTGGACCGTCGGCTCGGAGCACGGTCACGGTTGTCATCCCGTCTAGACTTGGGCTTCAAATCAGCAGAATCATCTAAGCGCCTGCGGTCCCGATCGCGGGAGTCATCTCGCCTGGGACGGTAATCTCTATCACGACTTCTGCGGCGGATATCATGGTCATCATCTCGGCGCCGTTCTCGGGATCGGTCTCTTCGAGCTGGCCGATAAGTATCTTCGTCGCGCCGTTCTATGGGGAGGTCTCGTCGGCGGTATGCATCTCTATCGCGAGGGCGATCATGGCCACGGTAACGTCTCTGGATATCACAAGAATGGTCAGAGATTGGAAGAGAAGATGTGAATTTGTGATGCGCCACACGTACCTCTGGGCTGCGGGATCTGCGGTAACCGCGCCCATCATCCCGTCTGGTTCTGTCATATCGATCATCCTCTCTGCGAGGCCGTCGGGATGAAGAGTATGTGCTGCCTACAGGTGATGGTGAGCGAGTATCCCCGTGGCGAGCCATTGTTGCAGGCTGATTAGTGAGTGTTACTGGAACGCAAAATCACCCGGGTCACGGAGCGAAGGAAGAGGGAGACAGAAGGAGAAAGCGCCCCGCGAGAAAATATTGTGAGGCAACAATTCAGGCTTCAGGCCACCGAGAGAGAAGATCTTGTGAGCTGTTTGTCTATGGCATCGTCACTGCGCAAACCGTCTGAATTGAAGAAACAGATTACATAATACCATGTGATTGAGCTAGGCCCGATGCGGACAGGTACATCACAGCAAGCGCGACTCCTGCTCCGCTTGCGTCAACAGCTCCTCTATCGATTTCTAGCATTTGAAGATTCAATTGCTAATTTGTTTCATCTTTGCTTTTATAATTTTAACTCGCTCTAGCTGAACCGGCTTCGATAATCACTTCATGTCTTGGCAGTCCGCAGCTCGGGGGGCTTCCTCCGCACCCTACAACGCGATACCCTCCCTCGCCGTACTAGTGTGATCGACTTGCAGAACCAGTTCGGTCGCGTTTGTCTAGCAGCCAACTCTGGTCTGGCGCGTCCACAGGTCCAACCTATTTCCTCCATCCAATCGTTGTTCCAATCGCATTCGTTCGCGACTGCTTCTACCCCTCCCAAGGCCAAGAGCTCCAAGAAAGCCGACAGCGAACCGAAGAAGAAAAGGGTTCTCAGCGAGAAACAACAGGAAGTTCAGAATCGCAAGAAACACAACACTCATATCAAAGAGCTCAAGGCGACTGGCCTGGTCCAGCGGCCTAAGAGGCTGCCCACCTCTGCCTACACTCTTGCTGTTTGTGAGAAGCTGCGCGAGATCAAGGGTGAATACAAGCAACCGGAAGCATTCCTGGTCGCTATAGAGCATGGGAAATCCATCAGCGGATCTGAGTTGGAGGTATGTGCCCTTGGGCTTCTCCGTATACGCTAGGAGTGACGTACTAACCCCCAAATATAGAGACTGCAAGCTCAGGCCAAGGCGAACATCGCCGCCAACGCCGCCGCCTTTGACGCGTGGGTTAAGACGCACACGCCTCTCCAGATCAAGGAGGCCAACACTGCCCGCCTAACTCTTTCGCGTCTTGGCAAGAAGCATTACACTCCCATCAAAGATGACCGCCAGCCCAAGAAACCTAAATCCGCCTACATTTTATACTTGGCGGACCGTATTGATACCGATAGCTACCAGGGAAAGCCCGGCACAGAGACCTTCACAGCCATTGCTGAGGAATGGAGTAGACTACCCCAGTCGGAGAAAGATGTAAGGACACTTGAAACAATTGACATATGCCGAATTGCCGGAGCTGACAATGAATCTAGCGCTATCACAAATTGCAAGTCGAAGATCGCGAACGGTATGAGCGAGAGCACCAGCGGGTGTACGGTCAACCGGCACCCAAGAGCTCTCTGTATGACTCGGAAGACTCCACTTGAACGTGAGCCTGAACTTGATTTGTTCCGGGAATTGCCATCGGAATGGTATTGATCTAGTTGAGATTTCTTTCTGAGTTAGCTCAGTTTGGGCTTCCAAGCTTGTTTGCCATATGTTTTCAATTCCCCATATGGCCTGATTCCCGTTTTCTTATTGTATTCTAGTTCGTCCTATCAAACCGTGTTTCTCTATACTGATTGTCTTTTGTTTGGTCGAGCTGTGGCAGGCGGTGCCGCAATAGGATATCGTAATCAACCCATGGAGAGTTTACCATCTCCAATTCCAATTCAATTTCATGACAGTGGCTTTATTAAATCAATGAGTCAGAGACAAACAAGACCCTTGCGAACCTTTCTGCCGCACACTCTCCACCAACCCCGCACTGGGCCCTTTTATTTTTTTTGGCTCCGACGCGAAAGTGGCGGTGTGAAAGGATGTGTTGCGCTTGCAGGTGGCCCTTTTAGTCTAGGACTTGCATTGAGTAATTGGGCTCGAGGAGAATTTTTCAACATATACGGAATACTTCATGCAACTTACTCCGTAAAACACATGCTGTTTATGGGTAAACTCGAGGGAAATATTGCAGGTACAAACGGAGCTATACGATGTATAGCAGAACGAAGTTAGGTATGTGATTGTCAGTGTACGTGAGACGGAATATGTATAGTGCTTTATACTTCTATCCAATTGGCTTTTAAGTGTATAGTACCATGGTGCCCGATATCACAATCCATGGACTTGAAGTTGGGAACCGTGGAATTGTTCATCGCGGGGTCTGTGCAACAGGCTCTCGAGTATACGCGCATGCATATTGTAGACTCTTGACAAAAGTCTACACCTACATATTTTGGTATACATATGTATAGAGTACATATCGTCAGTTCCAGGCTTACTCGCATTCTTCGCAGAGTATGTACTTGACCCTTTGGTGTTCCCCAGCCATCTGTGTTTTTTTTTCCTATCTCCTAGGGATGTTCATATAAGTATCTTGTTCAAGTCGAATGTCTCGAGCAACTTCTATGTTAATATCAAAACTCCCTCGACTGCATCAATGAAATAAACATATCAAACAAGTATATTGTACAGAGGGAGTACATACATTAAAAGTTTGCGGGCTAAATGGGATGATCTTCACCTCCACCGCCTGAACTTATCCCTGCCTCTCCAGAAGATCCCCTCCCCAGTCGAACTTTTCCTTATTTTTCTCCCTTGGCTCCCTTGACTCCTTGAAACTCCTTGTGTTCATTTTACAGCAGGCTCAGCTTTACAGACTGTGTTACCGTTCCCTAATCCGTTTGGATATCACCTATCAGCATTAAAAAACAACTAAAGTCGCGCCGGTCGTGCACGGAGGCTACCTGACTTGAACTTGACTTGATATATTTGCCTAATAGTCTCACAGTACGCGCTTGCACAATCTTGCTACACTAATATCGTACCATCGCAACTCCACGCCGAGAAATACCGTGATCGATTGGGACAACATCCCCCCACCAGGACTCGAATCTAACCCACCCACCGATGAGTTCGCTATTTAATATCGCTGAGTTGCCACATCAGTGATTGGACCAGCCGTGAACTCGGCGCATGGGATATTCGACATGGAAGCAATTGAGGGGTCTTATCGCGTATGCGCGGGGAAGAATAACACTGCGGAGGATGATGCAAACTACGCACCAAACGTGAAAATGGCGGAGAAACTCCTCGCTGAGGTCTGGACTACTTTCTCCAGTGCCCGAGCGAGTTTTTACATACCAGGTAACTGGGTGCACCAAAAAGTAGATTTGGTTACCGGATTCAGTTCTTGCTTTCCGACTCGCTCGTCAGAGCCACCGTCGTACGACCAGCCTCCGCCTCCCTACGACGATGTGATCCATGATCTTCCACCTGAATACTCTGCCCTACCTCCCCTCGCGCAGCGCACATCGACGGCTGTTCCCCTCGTGCCAAAGACTCGTCAAAAATCGCATAATCAGTCCTCCTCGCTGCTGAAAGATCGCATGCTGGATGTACGAATTGATTTTGAGAATCCTATTGGAGTTCGGGAACATAAAAAGAAAAAGACCGCGGCTGCAAAGAAAGCAGTGCCGCCTCCTACTCCCCCTCCTCCTCCTCCTCCACCAGCAGGAGGGGATGACAATTCCAACGGTGACGGTGATGCCGGTGGGGGTGGGGGTGATTCGGGCGACACTGGAGGCGGCGACGGGGGAGATGGCGGTGACGATTGGGGCGATTGGAATGTGAGCGGAAAGAAGGATAAAAAGAAGAAAGAGCAAGAAGAGGAAGAGAAAAAAGCCAAGGAAGAGGAAGAGAGACTGGCCAAGGAAGAGGAAGAGAGACTGGCTAGGGAAAAGGAAGAAGAAGAAAGACAAGCTAAGGAGGAGGAAGAGCGAAAAGCTACTGAAGCCGCGGCTGCCAACAATCTTAGCTGGGCTGAGGATGACGGTGGTGGGGGTGATGACTCGTGGGCTGCCTTCACCAATGTAGGAAAAAGCAAGAAAGGAAAGGTAAGACCACCTCTTCCGCTGTACATGACGGACATCTAAGTAAAATTACAGGGCAATGTTGCACCCCCTGGTGGGTTCCAGGACATAAGTCTAGATGGGGCCGCACCACAATTGGATTTGAGCTTGGATAGTGCGGCTCCTAAGACCGGCGGAACTGGGTTTAGCTTTGGGGGATGGGGCAAAGACTGGAACACCGGTGGTAGTCTCGATCCTCTTGGAGATGCTCCTCCTGAATCCAAGGACAACAACCCATGGGGACTACCCAAAAAAGCACCAGCGACTAGCGATTTCGATTTCGACTTGGGCTCCGCACCCGCCGAAACCAAGCAAGAAGACAACTGGGCTGGAGGAGGTTGGGACGTAAGCAAAGATAAGAAGAAGGGCACAGCCGATCCAGAGCCCGAACCCGAGCCTCCTGCGCCTCCTGCCCCTGCACCCAGAGTCGATTTCACGCAGGAAGCCTGGTATCTAGGTCTCTCCAAGAGGGAGCAGCGTAAAGCGAAGAAGGAGATGGAGAGGAAATGGAAAGATGAGGACGAAGCTGCAGTGAAATTGGCAGAAGAGTTGGCAGCAGCTAAGGCGGCTGAACCTGAACCCGAACCGGAGCCCGAACCTGAACCTGTACCTGAACCCGAACCTGAACCGGTGATCGAGGAGACTAAACCAGCCGAGGATAACGACTGGGGTTGGGGTATCCCAGTGAAGACCAAAGATAAGAAGAAGAAGAAGATCGACCTGTTAGCTGATCCGGAGCCTATCATCGACGAGCCACCCAAACCCAAAGAAGCAGTTGACCCCTTTGCCGCTTGGGGGGTTTCAAAGGATAAGAAGAAAAGCAAAGGCAAAGCCGAGCCCGTCCCTGAACCAGAGCCTGTTCCGGAACCTGAACCCGAACCAGAACCAGAGCCGGAGCCGGAGCCAGAACCAGAACCAGTACCAGAGCCCGAGCCCGAGGCGCCAAAGGTGCCGGATGAGCCTCTATACGCAAATTGGCGCGAGATATCGTCTAAGGAACGCAAGAAGCGAGAGAAACAACTGATGCGCAAGGGCTTGCCTATTCCTGGCAAGGATTTTGAGCTCCCATCTGACAAGCCACCTGAAGAAGTGCCTGAACCGATTATTGAACCGGAGCCAGCACCAGAACCAATACCGGAGCCTGAGCCAGAGCCTGAGCCAGAACCAGAACCCGAACCGGTGCTTGAGCCTGAGCCAGAGCCTGAGCCTGAACCAGAGAAACCAGCTGAAGAAGATTCTTGGGGAATCTGGGGGCCAACAAAGGACAAGAAAAAGAAGAAGAAGGGGAAGGAGATCGAAGAACCTCCTCCACGTGCGCCGACACCACCTTCTCAGGGTCTGAGTCCAGAGCCGGAAGCTTTCCATGATAATACCGATGATGTTTGGGCTGAGCTAGCCCCGAAGACCTCTAAGGGCTCAAAGAAGACCACGAAAGCCATCGAGCCTCCTCCCAAGGAGGAAAAGGCATCTAAAGGGTTCTGGTCGAGTCTGACTGGGGGATCTACGAGCAAAACTAAATCGACAAAGAAAGTGAAGGAGGAGAAGGAACCTGAGATCATAGAAGAGGAAGACCTGCTTATTGATGTTGAGGATAACCCCCCAGAGCCTGAACCAGAGCCAGCGCCTGAGCCTGAGCCTGAACCGGAACCTGAGCCTGAGCCTGAGCCTCCTGCCCCCGAAAAGACCAAGTCCAAGTCTTCCAAGCTTAGTGTTGCTGAACGCATCAAAGCCCTCGAGCAGGCCAAGAAGGACAAGGCAAAGGCAGAAAAATTAAGCTCGAAGAGCAAATCCAAGGAAAAGAAGGTCGAACCGGAACCTGAGCCAGAGCCACAGCCTGAACCTCCCGTAGAGGAGCCCGCTCCGACAAAAAAGAGTTCAAAGTTCAAGTCTAAGACAGGAGAGGCTCTTGAGTCTGAAGAAAGGAAAGTTTCCAAGGACTCTATTCCTGGAAGCTTCCCAGACTTTGGAGATGAGCCTGACCCTGAACCCGAACCTGAACCTGAGCCAGAACCTGAGCCTGAGCCTGAGCCCGAGCCCGAGCCAGAACCGGAACCGGAACCTGAGCCACCCGCTCCAGATCTTTCAAAAATGTCGAAAAAGGAACTCAAGAAATACAAAAAGGCCGAAGCTGAGAAAGCGGCAGCAGCAGCTGCCGCTGCCGCTGCGGCTCCCAGGGAGCCAACCCCACCACCCGATGAAACACGTGAACTAGACCCGGAGCCCGAACCAGTAGCAGTGCCAGAGCCAGAGCCAGTGCCAGAGCCTGAAGCTGACCCTGCACCTGCGGACGAACCCGGGCCTGAACCTGGAACTGAGGCTGTGCCTGAGGAGACAGAAAAGGACAAAGGCGCCCCTCCTGTGCCTCCACCGGAGCCTACCGAAGAGCCACCGAAGTCCTCCAAGAAGGAGCGACCACGCCCTGAGCGCACTACAACCACGTCTTCATGGGGCTTTTGGGGGGCTGCACCGCCTCCAAAGAAGTCGAGTAAGAAGGAAAAGATCCCGGAGGAAGCAGAAGCTCCAAAGAAGTTGACTAAGAAGGAAAAGCTCCCGGAGGAAGCAGAGCCTCCCAAGAAACTGAGTAAGAAGGAAAAAGTCCAAGAGGAAGTTGAGCCTCCAAGTAAAAAAGAATCTACTCGGGAGCGTTCTCCTGCAGTGCGGACAAAATCAACAAAATCCCGACCCAAAGACCCTGAGCCAGAAGTGGAAAGGTCTTCGTCTGACCGGGAAAAGCGCCGAGAACGAGAGGGGCGGCCAAAGAATCAACGTGGCGTCGCCTTGGCCAACATGGTACTGGGTACACCCCAGTCCAAAAGCAAATCGACTCGCAAACCTGGTTCTTCCTCAAAACCTGTATCCAGGCGTCCATCATTTGACATGGATGACAAACCGGATGCAGCACTGGATGAGAAGCCTGAGGTTTCTGACAAAGCAGCCAAGCTGATGGGTATGGATCCCTCCAAATCGCGACGCGAGCGCCCGCGCACGGACAGGCGGAAGTCAGGTATGTTTTATTTCACTCTCGTTTCTAATTCAATCTCGCTGACTTCATTCAAAACAGTTCGAGATCCGTATGCAATCGAGGATGATGACCTCGTTATGGTTGATATCGAGGATGCCGAGGGTCACTCACCCAAGGAGAGCTCCAAGGGCTCACGGCGCAAGTCGAAGAGACAGGTATGTCCGGATGGCCGGAGTATTCTTTGTCCGCTGTACTAATTGACGATCCTTCATAGCCGCGGCCCAGGCCTGATGACGAGGATGATGCTGTCCTGGTTGATCCATATCAAGCATACCCCACCGCAGAAGTTATGTCAGGGCCCGAAGATATGACCTTTGTTGATGCACCTCCAAGAGAACGCCGTCTGAAGCGCGCCAACACCGCGCCGCCGAAGAAACAAGAGACGGGTGGATTGATGGGGCTCCTGGATTCTTTCAGAAAAACCACACGCCCAGACCGCCCAGAACGCCCAGAGATGCCTGAAAGACGAAAGTCGCGCTCGTATCGTGATGACGATGCAAGATATCCGGCAGAAATGGAGCGCGACGGCGCTCGCAGATCGCGCCGCGAAGAGCGACGCCGAGGATCTGTCCGACCCGACACCGATGCCGAAGGATTCATGACGGACGCCTACGGTGTAGCACCAGGTGGCGACACAGAAGCCGAAGAAGCGGAAGCTCGACGCGCAGCACGACAGGCACGACGGGGATCCCGGAAGGCACCCTCCGACTCTCGTGAAAACGAAGCTCGGGAAGCAGAGGAACGGCGCGCGAGGCGAAAAGAACGGGCACGCGAACAGCGTGCTCGCGAAGAGGAAGAGGAAGAACGTCTACGAGAGGAAGACCGTCTACGGGAAGAAAAGCGGGCCCGACGCGCTGCACGCGAAGAACGTCGTGCTCGAGAAGAGCAAGCGGCTCGCGAAGCCGAAGCAGCAGAACGCCGCGAGCGCCGGCGAATGCGCGAAGAGGAGATGATGGCCGCGAGAGCGAATCGTCGTCGTGAACGGGAGCAGAGGATTCCTTATGATATCTATCCCGATGAACGTGAAACAGACCGTCGGGGTGCTCGTAGCTCTCGCGCGTTTGAAGAACCGGCCCCTCGTCGTCGCAAGTCTAAGGTCGCCCCTGAGCCAACTCGGGAGCCGCTCATGACTGGTGGTTTGAATCCTGGCCGCGGTGCGAAAGATAAGATTTCCTCGTGGGTTTACCAACAGAGTGATGAGCCTCCGGAGCCACCGGAGATTGTCCCCACTCTTATTGATATGCCTCCTCTTGCAGCTGATGACGGAGCCAATGCCCATTCTCTTTCGTCGGACGAGGAAGCTCGTCGCGCTCTGCGCCGTAAGGCACGTCGCCGTGCTAAGTATGAGGAAGAAATTGATGATGCTCGTTCTCGGCATCGTGGCTCTCGTCGTGATGGCGTGAAGAGCAGCTCTGGAAGTGGTGATTATGAACGTGATCGTGGGATGAGGTCCCAGCCGGGGAGCAGACAAGGTGCTCCACCGAGTTCTGGTGCTAAGAAGCCTAGTTGGTTCCGCAAATTGACGAACCTGTAAACCAGCAATTCGGTTCTTCATCCTTGTGGGAACTTGTTCGATTTTTTATGTATGGATATTAGTTGCAGCGTTTTGTTCTTTTTTTTTTTGGCTATTTATAACATGATAAAAGCCCAGACAGACCCGATGTGATGACATGTATGAAGCTCATATGATACTATGACCCAGCAATATACGCAATTTGGATTCTTTATTATCTGCTGGTCGTTTAGTGACATAGCTGTAGTAATGAGGCTAAACGGACTACAAATTCATGCAATTCTAAGTCAATGGTGCCTGATCCCCAAGGTGTCACCCATGACCTCTTTGATATTCCTCTTTCTCTCAATCAGATCTACAGGAAATAACCTCAACGCCATTCATTCCAATAATTCCAGCCCCAGAACATGTGTTACTCCCATCGCCAAAGTCTCCTCCAACCTGGATAAGTCCGAATACCCCCATATCCCACCTCATCGAGGTACATGAATCTTCTATATGCATCCCATACATTATGTTCAACCAACTGACTTCACCAGGCCCGTCCCCCCAGGTCCCAAACTTGACCCATCACCCCCCACCACAGCTCGTGGGCCCGCTTTCATCAAAGTCAACCGCAAGCGCAAGCGCAAACCTCGAGACTTGCACATCAAATCCATCACTCAGTCATATCTCGCTGATCCCATACCCAGGATGTCCGCCCCCGAGCCCGTTGCTGAGTTCCAAAACCAACGAAAAGCCTTCCTCTCGTGGTTTGGAGAACAATCCCGTCTGATCAGACACCAACCAAAGTCCGACACCATTGCTGAAGTCAAAGTCAACCTCCGTGATAATGGCAATGAGCACCTAAACCGACTGGTGAGAGCTGCAATTGTGATGGCATTTGAGGCGAGAGATCATATCTGCGTGACAGCAAAACCACCTGGGTTCTACGATGTTGAGGTTCCGAAAATGTGCAAAGTGCTTCAGCTAAGACTGCCCCAGCTGGCTGCGAGGCTTGGGATCAACCCTAAATGTGACATGTGTGTTCATTTCACTATTGAGAATATTCTGGTGGAGCCGGGATTCTAGGTGGTAGGAATAGGTGTGAATGACAATGGATGTCTGTTTATTATTCTACCTTTTTCTTGTAGACATTGGGGTAAGGATCATCGTTGCATCTATACATACATATAGCCTACGTATATGTAGTGTCAGGTGTTTGATGAAGTAGTGATGTAGCTCCAGCCCTGGGATTTTGATAGAATTGAAGCTACTCAACATGGATATTATGATAGATTCGTGATACTTGCACATCCCTGGTTATACGTAGAAAGGCTCTCTGTGCGGTTTACGCTCTTCCCCGACTTTTTCTGCTGCCCAGCTATACAATATTGAGAAGGGAGAGAAAATATCTATAAAAAAAGATAGCTAAAAAGACCCTCCGAACAGACTAGCAAATGAATTACCAAAAAGCCATCACGGGGCTGCGCAAGTGGCCGGCTATTCTTGTAATGATATTTGGATATTCGGGTCGGCAAAACAACTTCGAGAACAGTGAGCTTTAGCTGACAGAGACGCAACATGTAATGAAGCTGCGGGTCAGATATGATAAGGGCTTGTATATAGTAGGTTGGACCCAAAAGCCTGGCAGAGCAAGAAGAGGAGAGAAGAAGGATTGATTCTCTACAAACAGGTAGGATGCTAACTAAATAACTAGCTACGTGAAATCTGACAAGCCAAACATCAAGCATGTGATACAACACCGGCCATATCTGCTTCTCAACATTCTACGTGATACTCTACATTAATAATACATCTTTATGAAAACCTATTGGTACCTTGTCTTATATTGTTCTATAGTCCTATGTTAGCTCTGAAGTCACGGTTAGTGTGGATCGCCCGCTAGGTATTCATCTAGTCGTGAATGTCTGAATCTCCAGTGCGGTCCTTTCCACCCATCTGCTCCCACTGCTTTGAGGGAGTGTTAGTATCCTTCTCATGGTACTCTGGAGGAAGCTGTGATAGGATCTCGTCAAGCTCACTGCAGTACTGAACAATCTCAGTGGCAGTTTCGGGATCGCATTTAAGTTCCTCGAACCTGGGAATAGTCGTAGTCTTGCGGACAGTCTCAGTGCTAGGGGCAGCTCCAGTGCCGCTGGTTGGTGCTCGAATAGGACCAGCGGGGCCCTCGCGCTGCGATACTCGACCATCGTGGTAAATGCGGATCGAACGACGCTCGCCGCCAACCTCGCGCTCAGTGATAAAACCGTTGTTTCTTGTTCCACTAGAACCGGATTTATCGGGTTGCTTGCCATCTTTAGCCATCTTTGCGGTGAAGAAGGTCTATTTATCTGCAGCAAAAATGATTAGCTCTTATAGTCTAGATAGACTGTGTTAATAGACTCGACAAACGGAATGTTCCTAAAAGGCCACGGAAATGACGATCATTATATAGTTCGGCTCATGGTATCTCTGAATGGGCGAACAACAAAGCCTTTATCCTTTGATTGTTGTAGTGTCTTTCTTCGAGTCCTTTGTACTAGGATTCCCATAGTACAGTAACAAGGGTTGGTTTTTCTTTTTTTTTAATGGGTTACACCTCAAATAAAATGGCAAAAAATGATGTCTTTGTTCCTAATAAGGTCAAAGAACGCACATCTTTCGCTCACTATCTGGTGTTTAAACTGCTTAGATGTCTATCTATGTCTACCATCGCGGCATAAGCAAAAACTGACGAAATCTTGTCCCTCTCTTAGTGGCCAGCCATTTTCAAGTCTATATGTTACTACCAGGGGACCAAATATGTCTTCCACACGAACCATATTTCACCGTGGTGGCCTCCCTATCATCGATAAATATGGCTTGTTCCGAGGCACGTTGTGGCTTACAGTGAGATTTTTGAACAAAGACCGCCACTGTTCTGACAATGAATTGATGAATCTCACAATTCAACGTCTCCAACTCGGAGAGTTCACAGTCGACTCTGAACCTGTACACCAGGGGAGGGGATTTTGCATATCATTTCCAGTCTCAATTTACGGCGCTAGCCGTAGCGAGTGTCTCGCCATTGTTATAAGACTTGCGGACTGCTATAGGGAGGATATCATATCTGGGGACATTGCTATTGACCGGGACTTTCTTTTCAGAAGTAGGGCTTTCGTCGGGTAAAGAAAGTTCTGGTAAGAAATCATCTAATAAAGTAGCATCCTCAAGATTGGCAGGCTCTCACATCCATCTAATTAAGCCCATGTATCAGTATGCTCCACCACACGAGGACAACGAGGCTTCTGAGATCAGGGCACGATGCATGAGAAACAGTGTGGGTGAGTGAATAAGGGGGAACAGGATGGGCCCCGGCGTAGAATGTGCACAATCCATACTGCTATAACAAAAAATCAGGGTAGCTATTAGGAATCTGCCTTTGTTTACATTCTTCTTTTTTCTATGCGGTGAATAACTGCAGAACATGGGGTACTCAGGTGATCTGCGGAACCCTGAGAACTCATGTCTCCTAAGGACCCTCTAGAGATGGTTGTTACCTAAACTAAGTTGTATAGGGTTAAACACCCTTCATCCTTAATTGGTAGTACATATTTAGGTGCTTTCCTTTGGAGGGATTTCGGGAGGAATTTTGAAGGCGATATATAACATTTGGTTGTGGCTATATATATTGCTTGTGTGGGCCCGCTGTCTGACCAAACTAATGTATGTAGTGTTTTCTTTTGAACATTGGAAATAAAAATCTACTTAAAATCTAAATGGATTTGAAGGGTTACATAGAAAAGTATAATTTGGTGAAATAAAAACATATGAAACTGTATCGGGCTATAAAATTGGGGATAAAAGTATGTATATATGTCTGGATGGAAAGAACCAGTATCGGCAACAAATTCGACTCAACGACAAAGATCTTCCCTCACATATTTGCATATGAAAATGCTCAATGCATCGAGCCCATAAGCCTTCCAGTATCTCTGAGAGTAACGTGGAACTCCTTAATCTCATCTGCAGGTGTCTCGATGATATATCGCCAGAGGGTCCAGATATCCTGAGAATCAGAGACGGTATCGGGATCCTCTTGTTCGATCTCAAACCCCCTGACTTCTCCATCAAATCGCGATCCAAAGAATTGGACCAAGGCAAGATCAACCGGGGCAGGAGGGATCTCAGAAGAAAATTGAGTAAATCCGAATTTCTTCACCTGCACCTGGATCTTATTCCACTGGGGTCGCCATTTCTCGAATGCCACTGTCCATTCCCGATCAGTGCCTGCATCCGCTAGTGTAGCGCACATGGTCCAGAGGAAATGAGATATGTTAATCCAGCCATCAGACTTACCCGAGGCACCTAGGAACCTGTCTTCTTCACGCCGAACCCTGAAGCGAAATAAGCCGGGGACTTCTTTCTTGGATTTCAGTCCTAGTACCACTGACATCGGTACTAAGTCGAAAGCTTCGGAGGTGTTGTCTGAACCAGATCCCTCGTCATCTGCATCCCAGCTTTCGTCAGTGTCCACGAGGGTGTCCATAGGGATGTCCGAGCCTTGGTATTTATCTTGCCGTTTAGATGTGTGCAACATGATTGGATTTTGTGATGGCTTGAAGGGATTGTATAGAGGCATTGAAATACAGAAGTAGAGTGTTGGTTATCGGTTATGTGCAAGGTGGGAATATAGTTTATATAGTTGAAAACTCCCGGCATACTATTATGTTTGAGCTCAGAGACCCCCTTTGTTCTCTTTTGAATCTTTCAAAGATAGCCTCGAGAGACTAAAATACAATGTATTTTGCAAAGTGGAGTTCCTTCTTTGCTTTGTTCAATACCAGCTCATTATTTATGTCTTTACAATGGAACCAAAGAGATAAAGAAAAAGTCCCTGGACACAAAGAAGGATCCTCTTCTCAAGCCTGAGTGTCAATGATGGAAATTTGTGAGTCGAGTATCCATGAGCCTTTGCACTGACAGCGATGGTAGCGTGTCGAAATGGTTTATCACCACACAGTCCCTTTTCACTACACGACTTCCTCTCCTTCGGTGGTTTGGTTTCCGAGTTTCCCATTGATATGGTCCCGCTCCTTCCGTCGATTCTCTAGACAAAACCGTCCTCCTTCATACAGGCTGAGATAAAACCCCAAGGCAATCGCCGTCCAACCAGCACGTATCAGCCCGCCCTTGTACAAACCACGGATGCCCTCATAACGTATGATATCACGGCCCATAGAAATGAGAGATTTGCCAGGTTTGATCTTGGATTGCGCCTCCAAAGACACCCCTCCACTGCCACGAGTACTTTGATCTTGGGGACTGCCACCAGAATCACTTGCCGAAAGCATGATGCGGGTCTTAATCACGTCAATTGGTGTAGTCACCGTTGCCGCGACTGTCCCCGAAAATGCTGCAGCTATACCCGTCAAGCCAGCCCGTTCAACAAGCTGTTCTGACTGTTCCGATGGGGGTTGGCTGGTGTTGCTGCGACTCGCTTTGCGTTGTCTCCGTCGACTAATCAGACGTGAACGCACATACTCAAAGAGTGGGAATTGTAACGCTGTGGTTGGGAGGTTTCGACCAACCAGTGCTGTATACCCACTCCAGAGACGCCAAGGATGACGTCGAAATCGCAAAAGTACTTGTCCCATGGCAGATTTGTTTGTTTGGCGACCTTGGATCATCTGCGCATTTTGTTTTAGTACCTCCGCTGGTGTGAGCATGAGACATGACACCATCTCCCCGATTGAAGAGGCTATTCCATGCATAATGGGAGTAGGGAGAGAATGTGTGAAGGGCAAGCAGAGACTGTTCAGAGAACCCTTGGGTGCAGTCGCCCGGCCACATGTTATACCGGTGGGAGGTTTTGTTGCGGAGTTGTACATAATGTTCTTCACACCTTCGTATGTGGTAAAGAATGCGCCAGCTAGATCGACGTAAGATAGGATCGTCAGTGTGATGGTCCCTATTTCAGTTCATCAATAAGAGCCAATACGTACAAGCTGGAATTGTCGAGAAAACCACACTCCAAACGCCTTGGTACAACCCTCGAAAGAGTACTTTGCGCTGCACTGCTCCTGTGCGCGCATCTTTGAAGACCTTCTCATAGTTTGGAGATTGCACACGGGTCTTGAGTGTGTCGAAGGGGTAGACGACAAAATCGACTACGACTGCCGCAAATGCCCCTGCCTAAGAAGGAAATTCCAGTTAGTGATTGAACTCTGAAACATGTATCATGTGTCAAATTTAGGAACTCGTGTAGTTGGACTAGAGATACTCACAACCCAAATATCGGAACTAGTGTTGTACATGGAGAAAGTACGGAATAAAGAGCTCGCAGGGCAGTGGTACAGACATTGTGAATTTAAACATCCCAGATAAGAAAGTCATTCGTAAACAATCCCACCAGAGGATTCGCTGGACGCTTATCGATATCGATATGATGAGGGATGACATCATCTACAATATTGTCACGTGGTCTCAAGTAGAAGGTGAGAACTTGTCTGCGAGAGTAGCGCTTAACTAGTTACTACACCTCCCGAGTTAACTAGTTCAATTTGTACTGACTTGAACAAAACATTCTTGGAACTGTGGAGGTGTTTCGCTCCAGCGTTGTCTATTTTTATTGAAACCTTTTAATTATCTAAAAAAACCTTCAGATACCACCATCATATCGCAACACAGAGATAATATACACGGTCTGCACAGTTTTATCTAGAGGAAGCCACTAGGCCCACCCCAGTTACCCTTGATCATGTAGTTGTAGTACACCCAAGGGAAGAAGTCCTTCTTCAGATAATAGAACGTACGACGGGGTTCGGCCTGGTCAATACCAAAGATGTCTCCAAATGTCTCCTTGGGCACTCCGCCGTACTTGAACTCAGCAAGAAGAACCTTGCCGTACTGAGTCAAGAGCGGGCACGAGGTGTATCCATCGTAAGAAGCATCGAGTTCCTTACCCTCCATGCTTTGCAAAAGGTTGCGAACGAGAACTGGTGACTCAGCAGTGATCGCTGCAGCAGTCTTGGATGTGGGCAAACTGGAAGCATCACCGGCGGACCAGATATTGGGGAACTTCTTGTGGCGGGTACTGTGGTCGTCGACATCGACGAATCCGGCCTCGTTGGCCAGGGCGCTGTTCTTGACGAAGCCATGGGCACCCATCTTGGGGGTGACGTGCAACAGGTCGAATTGTCTGGTGACCTCTCCCTCGGGAGAGGCAAAGATCGCAGCCTTGCCATCAATAGCAAGGAGATCGTGCTGGAACAATCCCTCAACGCCGCGGTCCTTCCGCATCTGCTCGAGGACAGCGCTATACTTGGGCACACCGAACATCATTGGGAGACCGGTTGCAAAGCTAATATTGACGGGCGAGCCAGAGGGGTTGGTAGGGTTGTAGAGGCCAGCTCGTTTCCAATGATCCAACGCAAGCCACATGATCTTCTGCGGAGCGCCAGCACACTTGACCACACCGGCTGGCTGAGTGAAGATGGCCTTTCCTTCACGGAAGTTTTCAATGTTGCGGAAAGCCTTGTCACATGTGTCGTAGCTATAGATGGTCGAAACCGCTGAGTTCCGATCTGCAAGCGCCTCGGGGAGACCCTTGATAGCGCCATAGTTGATGCTAAGACCGGGCACCACGACCAGATGCTCGTAGTTGATCTTGTCGCCATTCTCAAGAGTGAGCGCATTTTCAGTGGGAGCGAAGGCGCCAACACCCTCGTTATAGAACTTGAACTTGGGATCAATTAAGCTGTTCAATGGCCTGCGCAGCTCCGTTTTGTCCTTGAGGCCACCGCCAACCATTGTCCAACCTGGTTGGTAGTGATGCCACGCAGCTGGATCAATCACAGCAATGTCGTCCTGTGCGAATTTGCCAGAGTGCAGGAGCTGGTGGCTGATGGTGAGACCAGCAGTACCACCGCCGACCACTACAATCTTATGGTTGCGTCCGGAGCTCACAGGAGACGCGGTTGCGAGACTCCTCCATTGAGCGACGGAGCGCTTGGCAGCAACTACTGTGCGACGCTGAAACATGTTTGAATATTAGGTAAAGTGTGACCTTGGAAAAAGAGCCCTGAAGCATATAAAATAGTTAAACTTACGATGTCGTGATTTCGGATTAACCCCTTCCGATACCGGGGATCGGCCTGTATTCGCCGACGCTTTCGGTGTTCACCCCTGAGACAAACAGACGATAATATTTACATAACTATCTCATGTTCTATTTCAGATATGTTCATTTGGACTTCGAACATATCTCACTTTAGGGCTGGTGGATAGCTTATGGACCCGATTTTAAAGTGTGATCTTGATTCATATAGGAGGATTAAGGCGTCAGCAACATCTAAAATGTACTTCGCTATCATCATGTGCCCCCGGAGTTGAAAAAAAGAATCCCGAACGTATCCATGGATGATGTCGTGGATCCGGCGATGTCACTGACTCTTTTAATCGGCGACCGACATGCTCGCCGACCCTAAATCGCCATTCGCCAATCGCCGACCCACGTATTTCAAGTATGGCAACCACAGCTCTTACATATTGCATTCCTCAACTATTTTTGTTATTCAAATCAAATATATCATGATCAGCTTTTGGCAGCAATCATCAAGCATCGGCCGGCAATGGTCGTCAGATCTTTTCAAATTGTCTAGCAGGCCCATTCGAACTTCAATGGTGGCCGGCTTTGGACAATTGCGTCATATACAACAAGCGGCACAAACAGGTGTATCCCATACCCCAACATCTTCAAGAAATGGCATTTCGATCAAGGAGACGGGTCATCAATTACGAAAAGGACAACCGGCTCATAGCTTGAGCCAACCATTCTCACCACGTTCATGTTCCACCCCTATCAACCGACCAATCCCACGTCAAGTCTCATACAGCACTGCATCCAGTATATCTACTGAGCCTGTGATTAACAGCATCTTCGAACCCGTAACTGGAACATGGCAGTATCTCATCGCCGATCCGTCGACATCAGCAGCTGTCATCCTCGACCCAGTCTTGAACTACGATCCCGCCACTCAGGCCGTGACCACTCACACTGCCGACTCGTTGCTCTCTTCTATCAAGGAACAGGGCTATAAGATTGATAAGATTCTCGAAACGCACGCTCATGCAGATCACCTGAGTGCAGCATCTTATCTCCAAAAGCGTCTTGCCCAGGATCAAGATCATAAGCCGCCCATCTGCATTGGCAAGCGTATTGAACAGGTACAAAAGCTGTTCGCGGAAAGATATGGTGTTCCAGAAAAGGAAATTACAGGCGTCTTTGACAAGCTTTTTGATGATGATGAGACCTTTACGATTGGAAACCTGAAAGGAACAGCTATTCATCTACCGGGGCACACCCCGGATCATCTTGGTTACATGATTGGAGGTAATTATCTGCCCACAAGAACAACCTTGTTACACATCTGCTGACAACCATTTCTCAGATAATCTATTCTGCGGCGATTCTATCTTCCATGTAGACATCGGCACTGCACGCTGTGACTTCCCCGGCGGCGATGCCACTGACCTCTACCAATCGGCTCGAAAGCTTCTGAGCTTCCCTGACCACTTCAAGATCTGGACAGGTCATGATTATCCCCCGGATGGACGTAATGAGCCCGTGCCTTGGGTGAATGTTCAGGATCACAAGAAGCTGAATAAACACCTTCAAGAGAATATCTGTGAAGAGGAGTTTGTGACTTTGCGAAAGGAACGTGATGCAGGATTGGCTGCACCCAAGCTGCTCCACCAATCTTTGCAGATTAACATTCGAGCTGGACATCTTCCTTCGCCAACGAAGTTTGGTCATCGGTTGCTTCATGTTCCATTGAAGGTCACAGGAGAAGCATGGTAACCGATATATGCGACAACAAAAGGAGCAGTGTGCATATTCGCCGACTCAGGGGTTGTAAGATACTGAAAAGATGTACATTTGGCGGGCCGCAAAAACTTGGTTGTTCAACTACATGTATTTTTATATTACCTACTCAAGTGACATCAAATAAAATATTGTCATCCAAGTTTCGATGGCCTTGCTCATCTATATGACTAGCCTCCGTTGGTCCATGTGTAGAGTATGATTCCCAATCTGCCTAGAGAACTATGAGCAAGGCTAAGATGAATTCTGTAATGTAAGCAGCCCTGAACGTTCCATCCCCTAACGTTCAGCAACAGAGATGAGAATTGATCATTCACACCTCATGAAGTTCTTCATAGTTGCACAACCCATTGTCTCTTTGCTGTGTCCAGTCCCTTCTTCTCGTTCTTTTGATATCTCAATGGCCTTTGTGTTTAAATGTATCCAGAGACAAGGAAGACAAGATATAAACAAAGGATCTTTTGGATACTTCCATTGTTGTCATCTTCCAAGCGATACTTGATCGGATATTCGAACTTGACTACTCAAACTGCATAAATAGCCTCGATTCTTACCTCAATATCTTCTTGTCACCAAGCAACAGTATCTCCAGCAATCCTCCCAGATCTCACAGACGCCACAGATCTAACAGATCCATACTAACTTTCTATTACCCCCATCAGCCCCATTACCCTTCACCATGGCTGATAGTATCGCTGCCGTCGACAGCGTCTACAGCGCGGACCGGCACTACTACATGCAGCTTCTAGAGCGCCAGGTTATGGAGCTCCGGGCTCACCCCGATCTTCGCACTCGGGTGCTTGATGGGCTTCGAGAGCTTTCTCTGCTGACACCTGGCTGTATTGAGGCTGCACTTGTTACTGGTGACGCCGTCTTCCATCAGCTGTGCAGCACTATTAAGCCTTATATCCTCGCCGCGATTGCCACTCTCTCTGAGGACAATGCGGATCCTGCTAGTGGATTGATGGTTGCCGATCAGCTTGAGAAGGTAGTTCCCTGGGATATTCGGGATCCCCTTACCTTCGGCGGTCCACCCACATGGCGGTCATCATGATGGATGCCATCACTGATAGATGTCCGATTTCATAGATGTCCGATTTCATAGATCAATTTAACATTGCTTTTGTCTTAGATCACTTTGTCCCATCCGTAGATTATCCTATTGTAAGAAAAAAAGTACGTAAGAATTTGACCTGTTCAATGTGTTTGTTATATTCTAAACAAAAATAAAGATTTCCTTCTATGATCGAACACAAGTCGATACGACGCAGAAGTTTAATGCACAGAGACTCAGCTCCGCTCATAGAAGAAAAAAGAAACAGGAAGTCATATTAACATCCAAAATAGAGAACATTTTCCCTCCCTACGCCGTAAAAAGGTCATGCAATCCCAGAAGCGTCGTCTCTCCCCTTCGCAATCATCAACGTTTAGTTCGAGGTCTCGTTGGGCAGAAGGTTGCCCTTGATGGCAAACATCTTGCCCGTGCTGGACGAGACGAAGCTGTCGACCTGGCGCGCGTACTGGTCCACCTGGCGGGTGTTGAGCATGCTCTCCAGACGGCTGGGCTCGGCGGGGAGCTTGAACAGATGCTGCCACTCGTCCTCGGGGAGCAGGGGCTGGTTGAGAGTGGCACGGGTGGCGTTCTCTTGTGCGCGCTTCTGCTTCCAGGCATTGATCTTCTGCTGCTCGCGGCCGAGCACACGCTGGTAGTATTGGTAGTTGTTGACCTCGGTGTTGTGGGTCTCAATGCTGTCCAGAAGGAGATCGCAGTTCTTCTCCAGGAAGGGATCGATGCTGAGGGACAGGTTGTCGAGGTTGGGGGTGAGGGTAGAGGTTTTGGCGAAGGGGCTGGACTCGAGGGCAGCCAGGGAGGGGGAAGCTCAGTGGAGGCTGTGGAAGTCGGGCACTGCAGCTGGTGGATGAAAGAGGTGATCAGGTGGGAGTTGTGGAGCTTGACGGGCAGTTCCTCGAAGATGTCGGGGTGGCGCAGGTTAGTCTTTTGGAGGCTGCAATTGTTGTCAGTATTCAAGTTCTTCATAAAAATTTGGAAATTTCCCGGATCATTGTACGTACTCCTCGGAAGTGAACTTGTTCTCCTTGAACGCAGCCATGAACTTGGAGGACAGGCGGAAGGCCCGGAGGCTGAGGCTACCCTGGGCACTACGGCTGACATCGTGAACGAGGGCGACTGTGCGTTCGTTCAACTGGCTCTGGTAGTAGAATTGGTTCTCGATCACGTTCATGTTGACAAAGTTGCCCATGTTGGCGCTGGTGTACCATCCGACGCTGTTGGCATCAGTGTTGACCTCGCGCAGCATGCGGATCATCTCTGCAGAGTAGGCGGCGTTTGCCTTGGCACGAGGAGCGGCAGCGGCCGGGTTGGGAGCGGCGTTGTCAAAGTGCGACTCAGCGGGGACTTCGACGACGGGGAATGGGAAAGTGTTGGTGATCTCGAGGGTGCCATCGACATCCATACCGACGATAGCGCCGGTCGCAGTGGAGGGGAAGGTCTGGGAGCAGTGCTTGATGATTTTCATCACCACCTGGAAGATCCGACGTCAGTATTTCTGGCTGGTGAGGATTGGGGGAGATTTTCGTCGGGGAGCCCATACCAAGGCCTCGACCTGAACGGCCACGAGGGGAGCTGGAGTTCTGCGAGTTGGTTAGCATCATGTCATCGCACAAAAAAAGGTCATCACTTACTCGGCCATTGTCAAAGATTGCAACAGTTGGACGGTTGTTAAGGTCGAGACGGGTGGACTTGGAGGGTTTGTGTGAAAGGGACCATTAATTCCTGATCGGGCTTAGCGTGTTAGAAATACACACCGAAATATGTTACATAGCTTCAATATGTACATGGAGGGGCAATACAGTATTATTACAGTTTCTGGAACTTCATTGGGGAATTCTCATTCGACCAGAGATTTGTGTTATATTTTGGGCGAGAAAAATACAGACACAGGGGAAGAAAAACAAACAAAATAACCAGGCGAAATGGAAGAAGCAAGGTCAAAGGTGTACTTACAATATATCAGACAGCCAAGTGATAACATGTTCTGCACGATGCTCCAACCAGCCCGTAATCTATCGCCATGTCCCACTTCCCCATAAATCAAGACGGAACTCCGCAAGACACCATGTCGGATCACTCTAGTACACAAACTGTAGTCTATGGCCGAGTCCATAATCTACAAAGCATCGCCGTCACAGCTTTAGCTCCACCCAAAGATGGCTACTGGGTGATGTACACAAGTCCCCAGCACGATCCTATCCCAAAGCAATGACTAACGCCTGTCTAGCTTCATCCATGGTGGCGCTTGGCGGGATCCAGCCGTTACATCGTCCTCATTCGATGCGACGAAATCCATACTTCGCGACAGTAGCCTGCCTATCGCCGGATTCGCCTCGATCTCGTACCGTCTCAGCGCACATCCAAATTACCCACAAGACCCAACAAATACAGCCCCGAAGGACTTCCAAGATGCGAAACACCCTGATCACATCCGCGACGTGGAGGCAGCGCTAGCTTTCCTCCAGAATACATACGCATTCGGTACGCGTTACATCCTGGTTGGCCACAGTTGCGGCGCAACGCTGGCCTTCCAAGCTGTGATGGGCGCGGTATCGCATCATCGTGAACAGGCATTTGTTGGATCCTCAGATAATTCCGATAAGAGTATCGGGTTTGTCTCTGCCTCTCCCGGTCCCCTGCCACCTGCATTGACGGCGCAACCCACTGCCATTGTCGGTGTGGCGGGTATCTACGATCTGCGACGGCTGCGGGATACACATGCTGATATCTCCGCTTACCAAGAATTTATTGCGGGGGCGTTTGGAGCGGATGAGGTGCTCTGGGATGGCATATCGCCGGCTCAGATGGCTGGCTCTCGTGGAGTGGAAGGCGGGTGGAAGTCTGGAAGGTTAGCTGTCCTGGCGCATTCCAAGGACGACGAGTTGGTGGACGGGTCTCAGGCGGAGGCCATGAAGGAGACTTTGAAAAATTGGGAGCAGACTGAGGCACAGATACCCAAGCAAGAGTTGTCACACGGTGGTAGACGGGTCTGCGTTTTGTCGATCAACGGTGCTCATGACGAGGCATGGGAGAATGGCGAGCAACTGGCTCGCGCGGTATCGTTTGCATTCGAGCAATTGCAAGATATGGGGCTGGCTCCCTAGTTCTAATGCCGATATGGACTTACTTGTTGAATTATCTAATCAGCAACTGCAAATAGATCATGCGGAATGAAATATACGTGTTCGTGTTCAGTTATGAGTTTATCATCTCTTACTATCCGGTCATACCCACTTGAGAATCACCTTTATTACAAGGATAAAATAAAAGTGATGTGGTTTCGATTGAGTCACCCTTCACTGGGTAGACTAGTCAAGTAATTCAAGTATAAGGATCTACTCTGGGCGACGAAATTCAATGGGAATGGATTCAATAACTACAAATACAGTCAGAGAGGAAGTGCTCCCCTCCCCCCCCTCCTTTCCTCTTATCCATCCCTCCGGTAAAAAATGAAGAAAAAAAAACTCGAATTCAACCATGAAATTCAAATTCTCCCCCTATGCCACGCGAGTAGCGGCGTCACCGAGGAGCTTCCCCTTGGCTGGGGCCGTGTTGCCCTCAGCGTACTCCTCATCGTACTCGAAGGCGTCGTCATCGCTCTCGCTGTCCTCGATGAACCGGTGGTTGATGTCCACCTCGGCGAGACGCCACTTGAGCTCCTCGCGCTGGTTGTCCTGGTAGCGGGCAAGGGCAGCTGCGGCGTGGACCTTGAAGCCGTAGATCCGGGGTTCATAACGACGACTGCTCTTCTCGGGATTGAGAGCGGGATACACCTGGAACAAGATGGAGTGGAACGAGGTACCGAAGTATGCGCCGTCAATGGACGAGTGGCGTGACGACTTGGGGTTGTAAATGTCCTCGCACTTGGGGCAATACAGCTTGACAGTGCTGATATTCGGAAGGTCTGACTCTCCGAGAGGAAGCAGTGCGTGTCCATCACACATCACACGTGGGCACTTGCCGAAGTCACTCTTCTTGTACTTCTCGAGCTGCAGCGAGGTTAGTACGTTGAGATTATGGGAAACAACAACTTGACGAGTTCAACATACCATTTTGGCAAGACCACGAGTGGTAACAATGTACCGGGCATGAACCAAGCCATAGAGGTGACGGGCAGACTTTTCAATTTGCTCACGCAGATCGTCATCGGCATCAAGATCGAAAACGTCGGTCACAAGATCAAGAGCATATTGGTAGTAGGAAACTTCAGTGTTCAAACCGGTGAGGTTGAATCGATCGGTCAGGTAATCCTCGTCGATTTCGCAAAAGTATTCATTGCCGCGGGATGAGACAAACTGGAAATACATGATTGCGATTAGCACGGCCATAATAAAAATTGCGCAACGGTATCGACTAGAGCTAGAGGAAGAGTAATCAGGAGAGCGAGACTTCGACGACCCTCCACATCCAGGGCCACGGCGTGAGGTGCCGGATTGGCTTTTGGTGGATTGATGTCCATTTCCACTGGGGTTAAACCCCGAGTCAGGGGGATCTCGGGGGTCTCGGGGGTCATAAGAGCGATTGGGACCAAGAAGTGAGAGATTCATGTTGGTCATAATGTGAACACGGAGCAACATGAGGTAAGCCTCGGTAATGAACAGAGCGATGAAGATATCTATCAGGGCATCGTCCATATCGCCAGCACGCGCACTGTGTGTCGCACGTTGCAACAACAGAATGAGACAAACTTGCAGGAAGCCGATCACACTCTTGAGCGCCCAGTTAAACAACGGGCTGGCCATGACGAGATAGAGAGTGAAGGAAAGCAAGACACAAGGCCGGAAGATGAAGCGGTTGACAGAAGAGAAGAGAAGAGATCGGAGAATCGGAGAGAAGAAGAAACAGGCGGCTTTTATTTATATTGGGGCAGGCAGCGCACCACTGTACGTGGGTGCAGGTCGCCGGAGGCGATAAGCGTAACGTTTACCCTCATCGCCGCGGCGACAAGGGTCGAGCGTAACGCTATCAAGGAACGTAATTATCGCATTGTCGTCCCCGGAAACGGTTCAATCGCCGCGGCAACAATGGCGACCAAGGCAACGGCATAATCTGCTTCATTCGTGTTGCGCAAGGCAGCGCCGTCTTGTGCTTCATTCGATGGCCCATTCGACCCCCCAACCCACGATGCCCAGCACCCGCCGTAACGTCTCGCTCACTCAAGAGAAACCATAGAAAAGAATTTCACTTACCCAGTCGCGCCAGTAGCTGGTATAATCACTATCTGTTTCACTGTTGAAGTCCTCCATCGTAATAATCTCGTGGTGAAGTCACAAATGTGTGTCGGTCTCTCTCTCTCTCTCGGAGTGTTCGTGTGATAGTCAGGTGGGGTGATCAAGCCCAGGGTACTGTACCCAAACCTGCAGAACTGTGAGATGCGATAGCTTTGTATCCACGATGATCTCAATAAGCACAGAATATTTTGTCAGGGAATTGTCGATGGTTATGATGTTCTGGACGGGTATGTAGTGGGGAAGGTATCCCGCAATCCTTATCGATACTCTTCGCCTAGCGGGCGGTCAGGCATACTGCTATTCAGACCGCCTTTTAGCACTCCATAACATCCACGTGCACGTGCCTGGTCCAGTTGCCGTACTTCTAACGGAAAAGGTTGTTACATGTTAATTCGAGATAGCTTCTATGATATATGATGCGCTTATAATGCTTCATCTTCGTTACAGCTTCTCCATCTCTGGACCAGGTTAACCAGGCGACCCCGCGTATATTCTTCACTCAGCATTTCAGGAAGTAAGAAGCCTTCATAATCATTATCTGGACGTCAGGCTTTCTCTTTCGAGAGTAATTACTCTGGCGCTCAACACTAGCACTGCTAGATAGGATCAAGATGGGCAAATATCCCATCCTATTTCTGCAAGGATCGGGTCTTCTTTTTCACATTTCTTCCAGTATACTCGAGAAACTTTTTCTAGATATCGGGTGATCTCCTCTACCTGACCCACATCATCACGTAGCGTGGTCCTCGAATAGCAGAACATCGTGAGCTCTGCATCTTCAACGGTCTTTGCAGCCCTCTTCATACTAATTGGCCTACGCGACGAACTCCAGTCGATACCGTAGGAGGCACATATGAAGTCCAAATAAACAAGCAGACCTGCCAAGTGTGGTCTGTGCCCTCATCACGACCCGAACCTTATCCCTCGGGTACCACGGAGTAATCAAGATCCGAAACCAGTATATACCATGGATACGTCGAGGAGTATATGGGCTGATGGCAGGTTTTCTAAGGCTATGATGAGCGCAAAATCTACACCACTTATCTATTACACGGTTGCTTCATAACTCAAAATCGAAATTGACTCTTCCTATTCCACTATCAAAATGAAACCTTGACTTCAACACAACATCCCCGTTGAATATACTTAGCACTCCTGGAGTTACTAGGGCTATCTAACTATACCTGATTCCACCGATTTAAAACGAGGGGTTAGCATTCTCCACAAGCTGGGCGAAGTATGCCTGCAAAGTAGTTAGTATTGTATAAACAATCACCACCAATCAGGTCACTCTTACCTGGAACCAAGAACCAGCTTCAGGGGCAGGCTTAAGAGCATCGTCAAGTCCACAGTGGGCATCGTAGCGAGTCGCGCTGGTATCCGAAGTGCCATCACTCTCACCGCCAGGCTTGATCCAGACAAAGGCATCGGCCAAAGCATCACCTGTCTCAGTAGTGGGGCGGACACCGAAACCGGTTCCCATGACATTGCACCAATCGCCCCAGGCGGTTTGCTTAGTGGGCTGGACTCCATTGCGGCCTAGATCAGAACAGTCAGCGGGGGGTCTTTAATTCATCGGAGGAAGAAGTCGATATAATGCTCCTTGAACATTAGAAAGGCTTATGATTACGTACCAGTATCAGTAATGAAGTGGGCATCCCAGCCAGCAGTCTTGAGGAGGGGAGCAAGGGCGTTGATGTATTTCTTCTCATCGCAGTTCTCATCTCCCTGGGTGTATGCGGGGCAGGTAGCGAGAGACCAGGCGTTGTAGTTGGAAACGTTGGTGGCGAGACCGCGGAGAGAGGCGGGCTTTCCGTTCCTGGTGTAGACACCAGCGTAGAGCTCAGCTGAGGGGGGCAGATTGGCGGGCCAGCCCAACCATCCGGCGTGTCCTATCTCAATGGTTAGCATACCCATGAGGGGCGATTATATCCAATGGATTCTTACCAGCATCGAGGTACATGGCAACATTGGGCAAGTTCAACTGAGTGACAGCGTAATCAGTGCACTCGAGGTATGCGTCATGTGCGCCGGCGCACTTGGGCACATTCATGTTGGTAACCAAGTTGGCCAATGAATCAGGTTCTGAGAACATATCAGCACTGGCTATTCCCAGCTTCTACACGCCACACGCCAACGCTAACAATTCAGCAGGGTCTACTCACCAATGACAAGAATAGTCTGAATATCAGAGTACTCGACCAGGATCTCACGGATGGCGTCGATGTACGCCTTGTACTTGGCGACACCACCATCATCAATGGAGTACTCTCCGTTACTGGCCAAAGCAGCGCAGTCACGATCGGGCAGATCGTAAACAACGAACTGGCCAGCAAACGGCGGGCTAGCACCGTCAGCGTTCTTAGCTTTGATATCAGCCAAGAACTCGCCCATCATCGGCACCTTGTCAGCAGTATCCCTATAAAGCAATATTAATATCTGCTCGGGATGTATGGGATATTAATGTGATGAACTCACATCCAATAGAAAGATGGAACTTCGGCGGCAGCACTTGCGGCAACCTTAGCAGGTCCCGTCATGGATGGCAAGGCCGAGGCGGAAACTTCGGATGCATAGAACGGGTTCGCGTAAAGCTGGTGTCCCTCGAAGGGGTTCGCATTGGCGGAAGGCGCAGCGGTGACAGTTGCGCGAGCAGCAAGGTCGACTGCAGCTGCCGCTGCGGAAGAAGCCAGCAGAGGCACGAAGGGAATGAAGGACCGCATATTGGCAGTCTTGAAAAGAATGGATGTGGATGTTGCTAGTTGCTGATTGTTTTCAATAATTGAGCAGGAATTCAATCTCTTTATATACCCCAGCGAGGTGCATGTCTTGTCGCCCTTGCGGAGATTGAAGCCGTGAACCCGAAAAGGACGTCACACCATCTTGAGGTATTCTAGTAGGCTCAGAATTGTCTCCGTTCAAGTGACCTTTTCCAGACATTGCCAAGACATGTGTACGGCAAAGACGTCAGAGAATAGCGTGTTTTGCCCTATGCGTGGTTAAATCTGGGTAAGTATTGTACCATCTGGGGTAGATGGAACACTCTACCAGTCAACAGAAAGTAATCTTCAGCCTTGAAACCACTGTAAATTTCCTAGATGGTCAAGGGGAGGGGTTGTAATGTAATTCGAAGCCCCCGCGGAATTGATCCTCCGCCCCCAAACAGGATAGTCATGGTCGATCTTCCCCAGACTCGGCGCGGGAGGACCATATTGAGCTCGGTCCACCTTGCGAGGTTAAATTCTCCATCTTGGCTGCTTAACTGATTACCTTAGTAGAGGAGGTTTCATGGCTGTCAGAATGGTAAGCAGAAGGGCGTTGGAACATATTGATTTCGCCTGATTGAAGAAAAGATTCGAGAAACCGAGAAACCGCTGCAATGGATACTTCTGGCAAACGTCAAATTTGAGATAGAGAAGTAGACAAGACAATGAAAGTCAATGATCATGCAGGAAAGCACCTGTACCTTTCGACAAGCCACATTATCCCCCCCCGGGGACCCCGCACCCGTGTTCTTCAGCCGGATTAGTTACTAGTCTGTAAGTGAAACGAGTATATTTCAGGAAATTAAAAAGGGCTAACAGGATACTTTTGCCGTATAACCATCAAAGAGGCTGAATCAAGTTGACCAGGCTGAAATAACGGCTGTTTCCAGGGCTGTTTTACCACGTCAGCAGTGGCATTGATTTCTTAAAAGTAAGCAGTTTTAGATATAAGCTCATTCAATTGATCAAGTATAACACAAAAGGGGTGTTGAAGAGTGGAGTGGTATCTGTTTCATCATCGTGTAGTCCCGGTTTCAGCCTGGGATTTGTGCAAAAAAAAAAAAATGAAAAATGAAAAAAATGACAAGAGGAAGGAGAGGCACGAAGAAAAGCGATCAGGAGACAGTAAAGACCCAATAAGAGCATCCGGTCAACGCTTAGCTTGATCACACTCAGCTAAGAACTTGTAAATTCCCTCCACACCTTCGTACGCAGAGTTGCTCTCTGGTTCGCCAGCGCTGGAGACTTCGGGGAAGAAAGGCTGATCTCCAAGCTCACTGATGTTGATACTAGAGTAGCTCTTGGTCGAAGATTTCCATGGATTGGCACCAAATAGCTCACTATCTTCGAAGCTGATGGCATTACCCGAATCCCGACTGCCACCTGGAGATGATGGCGTGCGGCTTTCTGGTGTCATCATCCCTTGCCAGTCAAGATCCGCTGGATACTGAGGGTGCAACTTTGGGGCTTTTTCAAAGTAATAGTCTGTGTCGGAGGAAGTGGCGATGCTCGGTGCGAAGGGAAACAAAAGAGCCAAATCAGCGCCAGTGCGAATATCAAAATCCTCATCCTGGGCGACTAGGCCTCGCTGAATCCCAACCTCACAACACAGCTGCTCGACAGTTTCTACATCACAGCCGGGGAACCGCACCCGGATCGTTGATCGGTCGTGAAGAGAGATCGGAAGATCACCAAGTGATGAGAGACGTTTGAGGTCATTCATGACTGCGGAGAAATCTTTCAAAGCACGGGCAAAATCGGCAGAAAGCAGATCCATGAGACCCTCAGAGTTCAGAGAGTCACACGAGGCAGAACGGTCCTGCTTACCAAGACCACCGAGGGCAGTGATGGTGGGGGAAACTTGGAAGTCAATGAACGAGCCAGGGGTGGTATGCACGTTGGCATTCATCTTCCGCTCCGCCTGGTCCTGTAGCGTGCTGACTGCCTTATACCGCTTCTCTCCAGTGCGGGGATCGATGCCGTCGAAGCGGACTTTCTGCCCAGACAGAAAGAAGGCACGGACACCCTGCGATACATTCTGAATAACTTGCGCAGGTGCGGCAGGCCCATGTGAAAAGTATCTAGCTCCGCCAAAACGGCCAGCTCCAGCAGCATACCCTCCTGCAGTCCGACCAAGGGTGCCACCGGTCAGATTGGGACGAAGAGTAGACGCGAAAGGTGCACGGCTGCTGAGTCGACTGATATTCGCCGCAACGCGAGAGGTATTCCGGGTAGCAGCAGCGGCATCGGCTCCTAGTCCAGATCGAATCGTAGAGGCGAAGGCGCCGGCCGCACGGGTCGAGAAGTGGCGACTGCGGGCTTGACGGATAGCAGCGGCACGGCTGATTGGCTGGCTAGGATTGATTCGGGCATAGGCTGGTTGGTATCGCACCGGATGATATTGTGTAGTCTCTGGTAGTTTGGAACGTATAGCCTTGGAGGCTTTTGCGTAGGCAAACCTGACAGATGGTTAGTCAATGGCTCATTGTAACTCGATATAAAGGGAAAAGGAGACGTACCTTGCTACTCTCCATATTTTAGGAAGCAGCAGGTGCCCTGCTGAAGGCGCCATGGTGGTATTTCAGTGATGAATAATTCAATCAAGATGATGGAACAGATGAAGAGGTGAAGGATGCCTGATGATGGGGTATGGATCCTTATCTCTCCGCCTCAGACACGAGGCTCCGCAGTGGCTTTGTGACGCCACCTGCGTGATCAAAATTACATGTTTGTTCTGTTTGCCCTGTATGTTATGTTTGACATTATGATGACATTGGAATGGATTCATGCGTTTTCTGTTGCCAACCAAAATATGATTTTTTTTGGGTACAGCAAGACTATTTTGGTAATTACAGCTTATGTACTTGATAGAAAGTATTTGTTACATCAAATTGATTCTTTTGGTATCAAAAGCCTATGTACTCATCAAACATTCATAATTTTCGACATATTTACTCGTCATCGCCAAAGAACACCTTAATGGGGAGCCATGCGTCACCACAGACCTTGAAGCGGTCCTTAAGGTTGTCGAGCTCGTTAATCTCATCGGGGGTCAATTCCCAGCCGTTGATATCAAAGTTGCCCTCAATGCGAGACTTGTTGACGGACTTGGGAATGACACTCCAGCCCTTGGTGATACCCCACACGAGGAGAACCTGCTGAGGAGTCTTGCCCTTCTTCTCGGCGAGCTTCAGGAGGGTGGGGTCCTTGTACAAAGGAGAGTCGGTTGAGCCGAGGCAGGAGTAACCGGTGGAGTGGATGCCCTTGGAGGTGTTGTAGGCGACCAGCTTGGGGGAGGGGTTGTTAGGGTGCAGCTCGATCTGGTTGACGGCGGGAACGATCTTGCAGCTGGGGTCGTTCAGGAGCTTCTCAAGGTTCTTGATGCCGAAGTTGGAGACACCGATGTTGCGGACCTTGCCAGTGGCAGGCAGCTTCTGGACTTCTTGCCTGTAATGAACATGCATTAGCACTAGTTCCCCACTGGATGGACAAATTGGGTCATTTATTCACTTACCAGGTCTTGATGAAGTCCCAGTCGGGGAGGTGCTTGGACAGGTCCTCGGGGTCGGTAGAGCTGGGCCAGTGAACCAAGTAAAGGTCGACGTAATCGGTACCGAGGTCCTTGAGGGAGGAATCAATGCCCTCAGCCACACGCTTGTGCCAGGGGTTGTCCAGCTTGGTGGTGAGCCAGATCTGGTCGCGGGGGACACCGGAGTCCTTAATACCAGCACCGACCTCGGCCTCGTTTCCGTAAGCCAGAGCAGTGTCAATGTGGCGGTAACCGGCGAGAAGGGCGTCCCTCACGGCCACGCGGACCTCATTGGGCTTCGATTGCCATGTTCCCAGACCGATGGCGGGGATCTTGTCGCCGGTGTTAAGGGTGTAAGTCTTCCTGTAGAGAGAGAATAGTTAGTGCGATGATCTGGGGAAGCGTATCGCTATTTCAAGGACTTACTGAGTGTGTTGGTTCGACATTTTGATATATTTTGAATGGAATATGGAAAAGAGAAGTTTTAAGAGGCGAGGTGGTCTTTATATAATGTGCCGATGTAAAGTGGGCAGGTCCAAGAGCGATGATGTCGTTGGGGGGAGAAGAGGGGAGGTGGGGGGGGATTGGTCGTATTGGTCGTATTGGACATTATTCTCATTACTCCAACAGAGCCCGTGGAAGTGATCAAGAATTACCCGACTGGCCAATATCCACTTGATCACTTATATCGTCATACTGGAGCCCTGGGGAGGATTCTGAGGGTATAACCAACTCAAGGGACACCAAAGGACCTTCTATTCTGGCTAAATGCAACGTTTCCACTCTAACCCAACCACATCTTTCAATTGTGATCGACAACCCAATTCATCCAATTCTCCGAATTCTCCTATGTGAAACTCGGAAACTTCTCGGTCTCATTCTACATATTATTCGCCCGCGTTTCGGTCTATTCCACACGACCCCACATCCCATCCCCCCTGCCGGATAATTTCACATTCCGACCGACCATTATACCCGAGTGCTGCATCCCGAGTACCCCATACCATTTTACCCAGCCCCTCACTATGTCATCAGGTTTCGTTTCATCCGGAACAAACGAGCAACCCATCGAGCGTGACGATGAGTGGCTCCGAGCGGAACAGGAGCTAGAGGAAGAGCGGAGGCGGAAGGCCGAGATAGGAAAGCAGGATGGCGGCAAAAGTCTCTTTGAGGTATTGGAGCAGAATAAAAGTGAGCCAACTCGGTTGCCTGGCCCCTGTCTGCATTGAGAGAAACGAGCGGACAATTCATCCACGGAATCTGGCTAACATGTTAGGGTGATTTTCCTCGGTTATTATACAGTGGCCAAACAAGAAGCTTTTGAAGAGAAATCCCGTCTCAGAAACCAATTCCGCTCCCTCGATGAAGACGAAGTCGACTTCCTAGATTCCGTTCTCGAGTCAACACGCGCCCGGGAGGCCGCGGTGAAGAAGGAGACGGCGGATCAACTTGAAGCCTTCCGCCGACAACGCGAGGAGGCACAGAAAGCACTGCTCGAATCAACCTCGTCGGATGTAACACCCGTGCAAGGGGAAGATTGGGCCGCGCTCGCTCGCAAGAGACGGCGTGATAAACAAAGGGACTTATTGATTCCAGGGAAGAAGCGCAAGGCTTCGGCTACCGAGAACGCCGCTGGGAAGGACACAAACGATGGGAAAGACTCACAGGGACAGGCTGGGGCTGGCAGTTCAAGTACCAAGAGGCTGGATCAAGAGACTTCCAAGTCCAATGAAGCCGCACCTGCTTCTGTCGCAGCGTCTCAAACTACAAACCCTGCCACACAGCCCAAGGTGGTAACAGATATAGAAAAGGGGCAACTAAAGACAAACAGCCCGACAAAACCACCTGCGGTTTCGCTTGGGTTGGGAGGATACAGTTCGGACTCGGAATAATCGGCCGACATCCATGACCTGGAGGGTTAGTTAGCACAAATATCTAGGCTACGGCTGTATGATATAGATAAAATTAATGATGAAAGAAGCAAATATCTCTACAAGTATACTAGGATCGCACCCGTATCTATAGATCATCGCTAATACCCCGTGCCGACGTTCGAAGTCATTGTCTGAGTGCCTTAATCCTAATTCCAATCCCTTCCACCTGCTCGTATAACCAAAATACCAGAAATAAAGAATGAGCCGAAACTGTAAGGTTGATATATTCAGAGAACTAGATTCAAATTATTGTGGTCCCCAAACTGCCGTACGATTCAATAATAATCGAGTCGGGCGTCCACTCTTCACCATTTTACATTTCACTCCATGAGTATATGTAACAACTTCACGATTATCTCGATACCAAACCAACTGGACTTTCCACACATGCAATGCGAAGGTTCCTTACAAAGTCCTCCTATGACCCTGTTCTACTCAACATGCATCGCGTTTTGCTTCACCTCCTGCTCCTCCGCCTTCCGCTCCAGATCATGAGTCATGTACTCTTCTCTGCGAGTTCCAGGTACGATCCATGGAGCATTTACAAACATCTGGTTCATTTCCTCGAGAGGCACGCGCTTTGTCTCCGGAAGCAAAAGCCAGAAGAAAAGGGCGTTGGTGAGGTTGCAGACAACAAAGAGGATATAGAAACGATACCCAATATTCGTCATTGCGATGGGAGTGACCTGACCGATCATCGTGTTGAAAGCGAACGAAATCATAGTGGCAATCGAGACACCCTTGGCACGTGTGCGAGTGTCGAACACTTCAGCGGGGATAATCCAGGACAGTGGACCACAGGTTGCGGAGAAGGAGAAATTGTACAACCAAGTCATAATGATAAAGCCCCAATGAGCGCCGCTGTTGTTGGTTGTTGGAGGGAACTGTGCGAGCAGCACAGTTGCAATGATGAAGGTCAGACAGTTGCCGAGGTTTCCGCCGATTAGAGTCCAGCGACGGCCGAAGCGATCAATGTACATCATGCAAAGGAACTGCCCAAACAATGCGATGATGGAGTTGATTGCCTGGTACTTCAATGTGTCTTCATCGGAGATACCGATTTGACCGTAGATCTGGGGTGAGTAGTATCTATTCACGAAATATATCAGCCGAGTGCTTCTATGTTGACCAAGCGTGATGGTGAATTGTTGTACACTTACTGAATGGCAGATACACCAGTCATCTGGACCGAGGCTTGCAATGCACAGCAGAGGAACAGCCGACGGAACGAGGAGCGATTGGTGAACAACTCGAAATAAGACTTGGCCTCGTTCTCATGCTCAAATGTGATGCTCTCTTGAATCTGAGCAAACTCTGCCTGGACCCAAGCATCGTTTTCGTTCCCATGGGCATGCAGCTTGGCCAATGTGCGCAATCCCTCTTCGGCGCGATTGTGATCGATGAGCCAGCGAGGCGACTAGAGAAACGTTAGTCATTGCAGTTGATATGATCGAGGCCAGACTTACCTCGGGGAAGAAAGTGATCAAAACACCCAAGAACACCGCAGGAGCAATCTGCAAGCCGAGAGGCAGTCGCCATTGTGCAGAGTCAGTCGCTGCAAAGCCAGTGTACGTTCCATATCCAATCCACCCAGCACAGAGCGCTCCAATACCGAGCATGAATTGCTGCAAGGAGGTAACTCGGCCCCGGATGCTGGGGTGACAGATCTCGGCTTGGTAGAGAGGGATCATCATTGTGAGGAAACCGACGCTAATAATCATCGTTAGTGTTTGTTTGGGTGCTTTTGTCACAAAGGTCACATACCCTAACCCGGCCAGGAATCGTCCACTGTATAGATAGTCAATTGTGACCGCACCGGTTTGGAGACCCCCTCCGAGAGTGAAGATGAAGCATCCCAATGAAATGGTCCGTCGTCTTCCTAGGTAATCACCACTGGGACCCGCAAGGCCGGCACCGATACATGCACCAGCAGTGAACAGAGACACAATTAATCCTCTGGAAAGTCGTTAGATATTTTCAATATTTCCACATATGTGAGACTGACGTTTGGGTATCGTTTGCCTCGAATTTGCTTGAAAATGATTCACAGACCAGCACTGCGGCGATAACACCCAGATCATCTGCGATTATGTCAGATCCCGTATGTCAGAAAGGGAGGTTGGAAAAACATACATCCATAGAGAAATGATCCAAGAGACGCAAACACGCCGACCAGGAACTATATATCAAATCATGAGCGCGGTCTTCTTAGCGGGCTGAGTCCCTTCATACCTGGTACCATGACGGCGAGAGACGCATGGTTATGAGAAGTGGATATTTTTATAGAGGAATCTGGGGTTGAAGATCTATCTCCACATGTCACTTATTCCCCTGGGGAGCTTCTCTACATATACAGAGGGAATACATGGTGACAAATGGGGCAGTTACTTCGGAGAATCGCATGCTATGGAAGTCAAGGCTTAAACTACACTAACGCGTGGTGTAAACGGGGAGAAATGCGGAGAGTTCACCAATCGCTTCATTCTGTCATTCAAAATAGTCTAGGACGAGGTATTCCAAGCAGCTAGCACGCGCGGAATTGGCAAAGAAATGTGGCGGGGAATCTCGTCTGTGATTGACGGAAGATCTCCAAACCTTGTTCCATGCCGGGGTATCGTGAAGGTCAACTGTCAACTGATTGGCTTATCGGTCCATCATTGGCTTAGCAAGATAACCAAGGGCTTCGTCTCGTTTTTCCGGTCACTACAGGGGTGACTAACGCCAATACAGTCACCCGGTTCTCGCGACTCTCCCCGCAGGAGTTTTGCCGCTTCAAGGCCGAAAAGATCGGTTATTTACAATCTTCTGGGATCAGAGACATTCTCGCTTGTTTAATTGTCATAATCAAATCGCGCCCTTCAGGATTTAACGAGAACACATTTCCCCTGTGAATCGGATCCCAGGTAAATCGTTTATTTACAGAGACGCCGCCAACATAAACAGTAAAAACAAACTTTCGAACGTACAAAAGATGACGACCTTTACCAAGTTGGAGGATCATGAGACGCCCCTCATCTCCGTGCACCCGTCCAGGCGCATTTCCAAAATCAACCCGAACATTTATGCCGGCTTTACCGAGTAAGCCATCGCGGACTCCCTGTTTCATGACATGGACTGACTAGTTCCACAGGCACATGGGACGGTGTATCTATGGTGGCATCTATGATCCCGGAAACCCGCTCTCGGACGAAAAAGGATTCCGCAAGGACGTTCTGGAGGCGTTGAAGGGGCTCAACATCCCTGTCGTTCGGTATCCCGGTGGAAACTTCTGTGCGACCTATCACTGGCTTGATGGTGTTGGTCCTAGAGATCAGCGGCCAGCACGGTATGATCACATCTCATGTCACCTTTTGGTAGAGCTTTGCTGATGTTGACCTGCCAGACCTGAACTTGCTTGGCTCGGAACCGAGACAAACCAATTTGGCACTGATGAGTTCATGCAATGGTGTGAGGCTCTAGGCACGGAGCCGTACCTTTGCTTCAACTTTGGTACTGGTACCCTGGATGAAGGTATGTTCTTACTCCACTCCACTTTGACATGATAGAATTCTGATGTTGGATTTAGCCTTGGGCTGGGTTGAATACTGCAATGGAACCGGTAATACTTACTATGCCAACCTGCGAAGGAAGAATGGTCGTGAGGAGCCCTACAATGTATGTTCCGATAAATGCAACCTGCTGGGCTATATTCAGTCTAACAACCTGAGCAGGTCAAGTACTGGGCCCTCGGAAATGAGTGTTGGGGCCCCTGGCAGGTGGAGCAGATGACCAAAGAAGCATATGCTCACAAGGCGATCCAATGGGCCAAAGGTAATATTTCCATTTTGTTATCAGCAGAAAGGTCGCGCTAAAATGTTTTTCTCACAGCTCTCAAACTCTTGGATCCCACCCTCATCCTGATCCTCTGCGGTCAAGATGGCACTGCATCATGGGATTACTACACACTAAACCAGTGTCTCGTGCCCGCCCATTCTGCACTGTCAACCAGCTCGGTCCCTTTGATTGACATGCACAGCATCCATCTTTACACATCCTCATCATCCCACCTGCCAAATGTCACAGCACCACTGGCAGCCGAGCGCGCAATTGAAATCACCTCCTCCTTGATTGATCTCGCCAGAGTTGAGAACCAAGTTCCCCCCGAGCAGCTTCGCCCGACAATCTGCTTCGACGAGTGGAACGTCTGGGATCCAATCCGCGCAGAGGGAAGTCAAGGAGCGGAAGAAAGCTACACGCTCTCTGACGCGCTCGCCGTGGCCGTCTGGTTGAACGTCTTTGTCCGAAAGAGCAAGGATGTTAGCATGGCGTGTATCGCACAGACCGTTAACGTTATCTCGCCTTTGATGACTACCCCAGAAGGAATCACCAAGCAGACCACCTGGTGGCCGCTTTGGCTTTTCTCGCGATACATGCGCGGCTGGACCGTTGGAAGCCATGTCTCCTGTGGAACGTACGAGGGTGAGACATCTCCCAAGTGGATTCGAAGTGTCAAGGATACGCCCTGGCTGGATGTCAGTGCCACTCTGGGAGATGATGGGTTTGTCAATGTTGCTGTTGTGAATATCCATGACACTGAAGACTTGGAAAGTCGGGTTGAGGGGCCTCATGGAGAGGTTTCTGTGTTCACGGTCACAGCGAGCGATTTGTTCGTGACCAATATGAAGGGCAAGGATGAAGTAGCCATTCAGGAGTCGACCTGGGATGGAAGCGGGATGTATAAGTTCCCGCGACACTCGCTTACTCTACTGAGATGGAAGGCTGAGTGAGTTAACCAAGATGGTATTATGAGGACAGCAATAGACTTTATGCAATAGATATCAAATTGGTTCAATTCGTTCTTATGATCGGGCAAAGTCCAGTAATTCTATCTTGGCTCTAACCATAGTTCACGTCATGGACAGTCCCATCACCATTAACATAGACATTGAGTCTAAATTCAATCGGGCATCGTCAGTAACATGTTGGCTTCATGGGACTTTGCAATGAGGCATTACCTGTTCGGAATATAATCTTCTGTCTGCGCGTCACCCGGCTTCAATATCCGGTGAGATTTAGGAAGATCTTTTTTCGCAAAAGACTAGCTAGCAGTTAGAATATTATGTTTTATTTCGACGATGTCTCAAAAGGTGACGCACTGTCTCATTACTGGTGTCACTAATCGTCTTGCCCATCAGCTTGTTGATCCACTCGGGCTTGTCGCCCATTGAGGAGTTGATTCCTGGAACAACGAGTGGCATAATGACTTGTTTTAAAAAATTAATTCCTTCGAATGGAAATATGTGTAAAAGGAACAAGATCGAACGTAAAGTATGTCGGGGATATAACCCATCTCCCATCAATGACGTAATATCCTGATTAGGGCTAGCGTCTTATCATGCGCCTCTCAGCTCAGCAGGTAACACACTTTTTCTTAATTGGCTTCACCACAGAAATGATGTCAAGCCAAAGGCGCATCAAGATTCAAATGGTACGTCCCTTTTCGATAGAGTCTATAGGGATTCGTGTTGAGGATGACAGATGAAAAGATCGGAAATGCACAATGCTGAGTCATGATCTGTCCACGCGGGGTACCGGGGTCTCAACAAGGCACTCCGACGAGGTGTATAACATGTGCCAGTGCTCGAGAGGCATACCGGTGGCTAATATTGTAAGCGTCAAAGTACAGATTCAATCATAGTAATAGGCATGTGAGGTCTCGAAGGTCCAACCAAGCTACCAGTTCTTCGGCCAGTCCTGGAGGGCAGGTGAACCCCAACTATACCTTCGACCATTGATTATTCGTACTCGGTTGAGGCTCGCAGATAATAAACCATGATATAATTCTTTATAGTAGAGCTCGTCGTTGATAACCAAGAGGAATTCCCAAAGGACACACCCCACTTGCGTCTGGGATGGCCCTACGGCCTCGAGATATATACTGCACTCGCTGCTGAATGAACTTGACAAACCCGCCAATTCTGTTGTAACCCACAGTAATTTCCAAAACGCCCTATATACAGCCTGCAATCCACCGGTAAATACTGTTAGAATAAAAAGTACTACCTCGGTGTTCATCCATACCAGAACTATATCGCGTCGAAGATTATCGCAATGATCATGCCATGAAGGAATTCCGCCTTGTAAACGCGTTATCTAGGGAGTTAAGATCTTTACAAGTTAACCCCGTAGCTAAACTACGATCTCGGCCAATTTTCTGTAGGCTTACCTGGCGGGTCAAAGTCAACATCGTATTGCGACTCCCGTGGATCATCTTGCGTAATACTGGCGCAATACCTTCTGTTTAACATACTTTTGCTTACTGATGCGATCGAAGGAATTGCGCTTACTTGAATTAGTAGGAAAATCTAAGTAAAACATCTAATCTGACGCGGAAAAGGATGGTTATCAACTTGCGTGCTAAGACGCAATCGCTTACCATCTTGCGTCATGCTTCAAGATGCCAAATCGTCTCGGAGATACTGCGATGCTGAAGTATTAAAGAAAACTGATATGCCACAATATGATAGTCAGAACGGTATCTGACAAGAAATCAAGAACGTCAAAGGATAAAAAAAAGCCACTATGCCGGAATTCATCAGCCTCACGTTCCCAAACGCATCTACGGAGATAGATCCGATTCCCAACGCCTCGATTGATCCAGAGTACCTTACTCGCTACGCTCGCAATCTTGATGATTATGGTTACAACTACACACTGGTCCCCTACGACTCATCATCATATGATCCATTCACCATCGGAGCAACCATTTTGTCTGTGACCAAAAAGCTCAAGGTCATCATTGCTCTACGACCCAACACATTGTACCCCACAGTCGCAGCAAAGGCGCTAGCCACACTCGATCAACTCAGCTCCGGTCGCGTCGTTGTCCACTTCATCGCAGGAGGCAGTGATGCAGAACAAGCCAAGGAAGGTGACTTCCTAAGCAAGGATGAACGCTACGGACGCCTCGAGGACTACATTAAGATTCTCCGCCGTGCATGGAAGTCCGACGAGCCATTCGACTGGGACAGCAAATACTACCAGTTCAAGCAATTCAGCAACCGCGTTCGGCCTACCAACGGCCCAATTCCCGTCTCTGTCGGCGGCTCCTCGGACGAAGCATACCGCATCGGAGGCTCCCTGGCTGACATCTTTGGACTTTGGGGTGAACCTTTGAAAGAAACAAAGGACCAGATTGATCGCATCTATGCTGAGGCAGCCAAGGCCGGCCGACCGGACTCGGACAGACCACGCATCTGGGTGACATTCCGTCCTATTATCGCAGAGACTGAGGACCTCGCATGGGCCAAGGCACACAAGACTCTCGATGCTCTGAATACCAACCGAGCAAAGGGACAAGGAAAGGCACCCCCGAACGCCCCACCCCCACAGAATGCAGGCTCTCAGCGGCTTCTTGATATTGCTGCTCGTGGCGAGGTCCAGGACCGAGCTCTTTGGTATCCTACTGTTACCGCGACTAATGCACGTGGTGCATCCACTGCTTTGGTTGGATCGCCCCAGACTGTCGTCGAATCCCTTCTTGACTACATTGATCTTGGGGCCGATCTTATCTCCATCCGAGGATATGATAATCTTAACGACGCCATTGATTATGGACGGTTCGTACTTCCCAAAGTTCGTGAAACGTTGCAGGAACGGGAGAATGGTGCTTCAAATTAAATAATGAATGTGAGAACTGGTTTTAGCATATATCATTGCACGTCACTTGCATATGTACCTTTTTATCATGTCGAAAGATTACTCAATGAATCAAAGTCTAGTAACCAAAGATCAACCACTAGTAACATTATGCTCGTCAGTATTATCCGCTGGCATTAAAAGCGACAGTATAGTACGGCAGGTTCTTGGGTTCATCGCGCCAACTAGGATTTTCGCTGGCAGAAGGTTAACCAGCTGCCATGAATCAACGTTATGTAGTCTCTTAAGGGGTGTCCTACTAACAATACCATAGGGCAGTTAATCGTTATATTCTAAAAATTATAGTAGGGCTAGACTTTCTGTACGGGATGTACGAGCGATTTAGATATCATACGTATTCAGAGTAGGGCATATATTGACTTTAGCAAACTATCGCTTTAAAATGGAGAAATAATCTCATGTTTATAACGGCTTGTACGTAGGTTGGCACTATAGACCAAAATGTCTGCCGTAGTCTAATATAGCATTGGTAGATATGTCAACATGATCTTTCTTAAACTTCATATCCGCAAGGCCTCTTCAATTCCTCCAGTCGTGTGTTAGCGCTCGATGTATGTACTGCAAGGTATGTCATGATGCTCGGAGACTACGTTCCGAGAGATAAGAGACAGGGTCTTATGTGGTTCTAGAACCGACGACGGTCTTAATTGTACGCTCCATAATTCCGTATCTTGTCCCCGTCTCTGTCGTTTACGGATTCCGTATGTAGAAGTGACATCCTATATCCGTAACCTTTCAATGCAGACGAAGAAGAGTGGGAAGGTTGGAAAAGTGAAAAGGCAAGAGTGTATGAAACGAGAGATGTTCAACACAACATGATTTGTAAATTGGGCCACTTCAGAAGCCCAGATGATACATAACTGTAATCACCCCAATCTCAACCAATAATGCTGGGGAGCCTTAATGTTATACAGCCACCGAGCAAAGCAAACAAAATCAGGTATGTAAACCCACATCATCATCATCATCATCATCATCATCATCATCAGATCCCATTTCTCACATTTCCCTCTTTCATATTCCTACATATCCTTTCATCGCATTCTTTCATTAACTTTTCTCTTCTTTCATCTCCTGCAAACAGACCTATCACCTGGTACCCACCCATGCACGCCAAGACTCGGCCCGAACCGAAGCCTTTAGCCCCACGTGCCGCTCACGACTGGTCGAGCGAGACTCGATCTACAATTGATTAAATCCCTGCGAAGATGGTAATGAAAACTATCACATGCGAGGCGCGTGTCAGCGCCGAGGACCATGTATCCAAACCCGACCTCTCTCCATTCGATCTTGATAAACCTGGAGTTGATGGAAACTCCTACAATCCCCCTCACTGTGCCTATCCGTCCTGGATTCAACAGCTGGAGCAGGGTGTTGCGGACTACGAAAAGTTCATACGCTGGGTCAAGCATGATCCCAGTCGGGTATACTACACAATTGTTTCTGCCCAGGCGGAATACGAGAAACTCCAGCAACAGATTGTGAAGCACGCCAACGGTGGACTTGAAGCTCACCGAGCTCGTCCCGTTCCCGCAGCCCCCGATGCTGCTGAACTCGAACACCTCGCCGAGTCCATTAAAAGTCATAATGACGACTTGAAGATGAAGCACCATTGTGTAGCTGGAGAAGCAATTTCCTACGCAAACGGACTTGGTCGCCTCCGACTTGACGAACAAACTCGCGCGGGCCCTGGGGTGGTTGCTTCGATTGAAACTCCTCACTGACGCCAATTCAATGAATTTAGCTTTGCTGCTGAGAGTGTTGAAGGGGATATTGAGCCCCGGATCAGCAATTCCACCCTCCCCGATCCCGAAAAACTTGACGATGGACTGCACCCTCCCTTTGAGAGCTGGCTCATTGACATGCAAGGCAAGCTTTTTTTTCAACGCCGACCACTACCCCACCGAAAAATACAAGATGGTTTACATTGCATCCCGAACCACTGGAATAGCCCATGTGTACCTAAACCTCCGTTTGCGACAGGATGCCATGTATCCGTACACTACAGCCCAGCACATGTTCGATGACCTTGAATGGAAATTCGGCGACCTGAACGATGCAGCCGAAGCTTGCAATGGGCTCGACAGACCAAACATGAAACCCACAGACGACTTTCATACCTTCCTATGCATGTTTTTGTACAAGTCCGGTGCAAACAGAACGCGTTTCGGGTGCCTGAAGCGCGAGCTCTATGACCGCCTGACCCAAGATCTGAAGAGAGCCGTCATGCCCGCAACTCTTGACAATGGCATAAAATTTGACGAGTTTACAAAGCTATGCGGACAGGAAGAAAGACTTCTAGGGCATGGGCACACCCAGAACAAGAAAGGGGTTTGGAAGAAGGGAAAAAAGGTGACATCTCGGGCCCACGAGCTATCAGGCAGCATAGAAGGAATAGCGAGTGCTCTGGCAACTGGAGATAGCAAGTGGTAGTGGTAGTTAGGGATAGATACTTGGTCCTAGCCAAGGACATTCAATATTAGGATACAATAACTTAATCAAAAGTTTGAGGGCCTGGTCAAGTCTAAAATTCTGATAGTTGTCTTACCAGCCCGCCCCAATTAGTAGTAGGGGTGAGTCTGTCCCTCAATACAGAAAGATCCCTGAAAATAGAAATTGTAAGAATTAGTATAGAAGGGACATATAAAAGAATTTTACTTCCTTGAGAATACTCAATATTTCTTCCTAAACCTACTATTAAATGAAAGGGATTTCTTTTACACTATATATGCAGTACTATACCTTCCCTAATTCTTTCTAGGGATGTGATCATTCCTATTATACTTATGCTATATTTATGTACATTTTGTATGGATATGACATATAAAAGATACCATAACTAACTTCTATATTATGGATAATTTTTGTATTGTGGGATGCACCCATACAAAAGTTATGGGAAAATACGGTAGGACGGCTACATTTCTAACATCGAATTGAATATAATTAGCCTCTCCCGTCCATCTCAATCGATAGCAAATGAAGCTAGCAAATCCTGTCTGATCTTCATCATCCAGTCAAATCCCTAGAAGGAAGTATTCAACAAAGACCTCAAACATCCTCAACATCGAAACGAATATGTAGTTTGTGAAGATCAAGAGCAGTGTGGAAAGTAGCAATTCGTCCAATCCGTTTTACACCCTGGCCATACGTACCTAGAATAAAATATGCAATAACCTTACCCACAGGCGTACCCATAATAGCGCTAAACTCTGGCGAGGAGCGGTTCCAGGTTTGAGTCTTTGCAGAAGGATAGCCAAGTCCTTCTTGGGAAGGGTAAATCTGTTCCTCTATAAATGGCTCAGTCTCACATTCCTGTACTTCGTCCATAAATATATACTTCAGACTGTCCAACCGAAAGTGTGTTTCATAGGCAAGCTTGATAAGCTCCGACACATACGGATCGTTCGACCCATGGAGTCTTCTCATAGAATAGAGGAAAAAGACGCCTGGTCCCATCGTCGAAACCAGTGCCGTAATTCCTTCTTTAGTCTTGATGATCGAGTGTCGGAAAGACGGGGACTGTGTGGGATCTGGAGTATGTGGAATTAGATCTCCAACTGGAAGACCAAGACCCACCATAGAGGCGATATATTCTGGTGATAACCATTCTCTTTCGTGCTCATCGGTCCAGAGAGGTCGTTGCAGAGTTTCCAATTTGAGTGTACTCATGGGGATCGGGCATCCAGGTTCATTGGCATTTTCCATCCATCGGATCAGCTTATCCCCATACGGCTCAAATCGGGGATACTTAAAAGCCATTGTAAGATAGAGATAGTATGAAAAATTGGAAACAGGGTGCATTGAGTAAATAACACATATAAAAACCATAAGCAACAAGGCAAACTTGAACAATGGCATTGTGAAGCACACTTGATTGATTAAATTATCAGGACTCAAACAGTCAAAGAAACAAAGAGATAAGAATAGCATGCATGGATTCCCTTGGTATTGTCATGAACAAAGCAGATAATGTCTTTTATGTGAGCCCCTTTCACCTTTCCCTTTGACCGAATATATGGTAACTTGAAGCTCTCGGCTTCATTACACAACTAGACTGTCTGACATGCATAAACTCATCTTTTAAATAATTTACTGACAGCATTATAATCACTGCTGGCCACAGATTTCTCATTATCTTGCCCAAAAAAAACCATCCAAGTGCTGGTGCTGCTCTTGAATTTATAGGGACCTAGGGAATCACTTGGACATGTACATACATACTTCCGAAAATGGAAAGTGGGTCCACACCACGTGCTAGTATATGTCGACGTCGTTTATTTCAGTGTACAGCCCATACATAGTAACGATAGGCATTTCTAATTTTGTGTTATTTGTTGTCTTCTACCCTCCAGGATGAACATCTACTGACAGCACCGGGGGATAAAGCGAGATGACTAAAAAGTCATTCGAAAACCCACTAAAGCAAACGCGTGGCTAGGAGAACGGCAATGAGAAGAAAGCCATTGTACAAGTAAATACTTGCGATAACAAGGCCAACCTTTGGACCAAGGTGATCAAGCTTGAACCATAGCCAAGAACTAGCGCTGTTGTAGAGTTTCTAGAATGATGGCTAGGCTAGGTTCCCGATCGCGTCCTGACCAGGCCGCCTTGTACAGTTGATAGTTCAAGTATCTCGCGCCTCGCGCCTGTCTCGCGTTTCTCTACACCATAACTCTCACAACAAGTGTTTGTAGACTCATCTTTCTTTCTTCGCGCTTCTGATACTAGTCAGATTGACATTCATAGCAGGTATGTTCATGTTCTTGTGCACAAACATTACTCTAATCTCAAGCTCATCTCACTCTTTACTAGACAAGGTAACGACCTGTATTTGACATCAATCATGGACACCATTTCTACGCTGTGGCAGCTGGACACCATCGGCCGAGCCATGGACTATGTCACCAATTCTAGGGACGAGCATCTTCGTCTCCAGAATTTCATCGACAATAAGTTCCTTGGCGATTCGCACACATCGGAATGGATCGATTCGCTTCACCCTCGCTCAGGCAATGTCTTGTTGCAAGTCCCTCTTAGTCCTGAAAACGTTGTTGAATACGCCGTCGATGTGGCAGCTCGGGTTTTCACAGCCTGGTCCAACACATTGCCTTCCCAGCGATCCAATCTTCTGCTGCGAATTGCGGACATTTTGGAAGAGAAGAAGGAGACATTTTCTGTATGGGAAAGCATTGATCAAGGCAAACAGCTCAATCGGGCTCGCTGTGAAGTTGACCGTGCTATTGAGCTTTTCCGGTTCGTTCATTCACCTTCTACATATGAGTTGATCTAACATTTATCAGATACTTTGCGAGATACATAGTACACGATGAGAATACTGCGGTGCATCTCAACAGGGCTCCAAAACAGTCGACCCTGACATACGAACAACGATTGCCAGTCGGAGTTTACGCTATTATCACTTCATCAAACATGCCGTTTTACCTTTTGGCTTCGAAGATTGCCCCCTGCCTTGCCTTTGGGTGCACAGGTGTGGCCAAGCCAAGTGAACACACTAGCATTACTGCCTTTTGTAAGTGACTAGATCCTTTGGTGTTTGAACAACTGCGCTTACCATAAGTATAGTACTTGCCGAAGTGCTCTTCCAAGCCGAGCTACCACCTGGTGTGATGAACATCGTTTTCGGAAATGGACCTGACACCGGCTCAACTCTGGTAGGATCGCCCCTCATACAGGGAATTTCGTTTACTGGGGAGGCCGAAACAGGAATTCAGATTCGAAAGGACACTGTGGTCGACATTCACAAATGCTTGTCTCTCGAGCTCCGGGGTAGTAGTCCAACCCTAGTCTTTGGAGATGTTGACCTCGATGAGGCAGTTGCTACAGCAGCTTATGCAGCGTTCGAAAACAGCGGACAGCTCTGTCTGGGCGGTTCTCGGATCTACGTCTACCGATCGATTTACAAGGCTTTTGTCACCAAGCTAATCCGATTTGTCCTTGAGCATTACCAGGTGGCCAGGGACCTTGGTCCGGTTGTTTCTCGAGAGCATTATGACAAGATTCGATCCCACCTTGTTCAGGCCAATGAAGAACATGTCAGGTTTGAGATTGGTGAGATCCCCAAGGAAGCTCCGAATGATGGTTTCTGGGTCAGTCCGACAGTCTTGAGTTACATACACCCTGGTAGTTCCTTGGTTCAAAAGGAGATCTTTGGGCCTGTGGCCGCTGTGCATTCATTTGATACAGAAGCGGAAGTGATCAACCTGTGCAATGCCAATCCCAACGGAATGGGAGCTGTGATCTTGACCGATGACCTGTCTCGCATGCGCCGAGTTGGAGAACATCTTGAAGCAGGGCTTACATGGGGAAGTTGCTGGCTGGGTCGTGAGCTCGGTGCGGGATTGAGCGACCCGAAGGCGGCTGGCACGGGGCGCGGAGGCGCACGTAGCCGGGATGTCTTTACACGACTAAAATCGGTACATGTCCCATCTTACTAAAGGTAGGACGGAGGTATTGCAGAGAGATCTCATGTCGCCAATGAAGATGATGATTTAGGGGAGGATGGAAGTGAGATCGCAGGTGTTGTGGAAGGGGTAGCCCAGGGGTAGCATTGCTTTTGTACATAGCAACCACGGGGCAGCTCAATAGGTTCATTGACAACCCGACCGTCTCAGTTCTGGCAATTTGTGCTACGATATTGAAGCCAAATATGCGGATATGAGTGCACGTCTCGACAAGTTGGCCCAGAAGCTATGTGGTATTGTTTAGTTTCTCTTCATATTGCTAGTCATGTTAGTTTATTTTGATGTCTTTCTGTTGCTTATTACTCCCGACAAGCCAGATCTCCATGGTTGAATCTTTAGGATTACCCGAATAGGAAACTTTTGGTATCAGGGTAGATGAGAAGCTTGGGGAAAGCTTGCTCAACGTTTAGGTACAGACTGCCTATTCTTTGTCCGTTCTCTAGGCAACAGATAGTCTTCTGAAGCAACTATCCAATTTGCTGCCACAGAACACATCTCACTGTCCTATGTCCTTTGGGAGAAAACACTTCCAAGGTTGGGTGAGAGGTGTTCGCCAGTAAACTTGCTTCGCAACATTCTTCGACATTTTGAGCCTGCATTGCATAGTTCCCTCTATATCTGGCTCCCCAGAGGCCTATTCTAAACTTAACATAAAGAATAATCCTTGGTTGTTAACGAAAGACCGTACCTATTACTATAGTTCCCTGGATTTACGCTTGATATAACCTGTAGTCAATACCATTGTTCCCACGAAGCGATTTTCTTTGTCTCTTTGTATTGCTTGAAGCTCTTTGTCACTTTATTTTTGTCCTCTTTGCCGGTCTCTACTCTCTTTGTGCTAACTCCTCTAACCCCTCGGTATCTTTATGGCCCACCCGGGTCCTTGAGTATTTTATTTATGTCGACGAGTTGATTGTTTCTTCTTTTAATAGCTCCCATCTACTCAATTATGAAGGATGGTTCACCAGGACTATATAATTCTCAAGGTTTTCCTGTCTTCATTACAAATATTCATTCGAGACAGCACAACCAACCGCATCTGAGTCCAAAATTATCTCACTTTTCTACACATCAGACAAAATAAAATTCATATAATGGCACATCAACCATCAAGCCCACGCATGCCATCGCGACAAGGCCCAGCGGTACGCAAGCTAGGGTCAGACAAGCGTAAACGCAACGAGGACGATGACAGTGTCTCTCCTCCTGCCCCAACTCGACGACGTCTAACCTCTAGCTCCATAGAATCTGCAGAATCGGTGTTATTTCAACTATCCTCCGAACCCCCAGACTCCCCAGGATCCCCGACATCCCCTGTCCCGTATCCCCTGCCAGATGGCAACAGTTCACTAAGTGATGGAAAGATACCCAGTACGCCCGCTAGCCTTGCAAGTGATGATAGAGACCCTGTGACGGACGAACAAGTCTGTGAATATCACCGAAAGGGAGGCGAGTACCAAGGATGGATTGCCGACCCAACTCTAGGTGGATGCAGATGTCCGCGAGCCACCAAATCATTGTTCGAATTATTCAACAACAAGAATAAGAGAGAGAGATTTCTTTGTCCGCATAACCATTTCGACAACCCACCTCTCTCTATCCGCGAGGACTTGGGGGAATTAGGTTTCCCAACAAGAACCTACAAGTTCCGCTATGTAAGCCTGTTAGTGCATGGCTTTGACGAGGATGGCTACAGAAGGGAATCCGATTATCAACATACTATCGCAGAAGGCGTTATTATCGGTGAATGCCTTTTCAGATTCACTGGACCTCATTGGTCAGATATCGCCATTGCTCAATATAAATTTGACCATCCTATCGATACTCTCAACTATCTTTATTTTACTAATGTCCAGAACGACGAGACTCTACCCTACGTGCAAGAGATTCTCTACCCAAGACATGATGTGGACTGGCCTGTGTATAAGGAACTTAAGAAACAAGTATGGGAGTATGGTACAGATGAGTATAAAGAGATTCTAGGTACAAAGCTGGGGAATGCAGCGGCCTGTCTTGTGCTAGGGGCTTGGGATAGAGGTACGCATCGCATTGCTAGAGTTCTCACTCTCGGCCGTGAGTACAAGATACACCTACGATTTGATATTGAGCCAATCCCTACGTCGGAACCTTGATCCCATTCATGGAGGTGTGTGGGCTTTGATAAAATAATAACTTGATATAGATGTATTCCGTGAGTCCCGGCTATCTCATCCAGTGAATCGGTCAACTTAACACCAGCACAAGTGTCCTGGTGACTCCTGTTCCTCGAATGGTGATTGCTATTTGCCTTCGGAGCAAAGGCGATGCAGATCACGCAGATGCGAAGGAATCTAAGTGGTTTCATTTGGGAAGGCTAGTAATGCCTGGCTTGGGTGTGTGCGTTTGAATCAAGTCAGACAGAAAGAAAGGAAAATTACTAGAAGCATCGGGAAACTGCGACATTCGACTTTAGGGTATACCTAGTGAGCACTATGAATTGGGGGTAGTTCTCTATAGTTAGTCAATTTGGTACTTATTAGTTAAAGAAGTTGACATGCCAGATTACTGTGAAATTATTATCTGATTGTTCTTACTATCAACAAAACTCTCCTTAATTATCTATCTTGCTCATCCCCTGAATATGGATTTTCATCCGGCACATCACCATTTTGCCGGCTTGGGAGCGGCGAAAGAGTCGATGTCGGGGACAGAGACGTCCATGACGGCGACCTGATTGGGAGATTCAAGCCTAGACCTTGGACACCTGCAGAACCAAACCGGGGTGCCGAGCCAGAAAATGAGCCTTTCACGGGAGACCGAGAGTTGGATCGCAGACCAACTCGAGAAATTGCGCGCCGAAGCATCTCACCTGAAGCATCCAAAGCAATAAGGAAGCGGGCCAGTTCAGCACACAGCTCCCAGTCTCCCTTCTGGGAGGCTAGAGCAATCAAACGAACAACGTATTCTTCGATGCGGCCATCATGCCCTTGCTCCTCATCCTCGAAGGCTTGCAGCACAAGGAGGTATCCAACTGCAGTTTTGAGGGAGTCGAGTTTCAAGGCCTGTTCAAATAGATCCTTGGGTGGAGGCAGGTAGGTAAATAATGTGCGCCATGATCGAAGCTCTGTTTTCCGTGTGCATTGTACAACAATCTCAAGGTAATCCCTGGGGGGAAGGGAGGCTTGGAGGAACGCAATGACAGTTGGGAGAAGCGGTTCCGCTCGTGCTTGTGGATCCTCACTCTTGTTTGCTCGACTCTCATTGTCCACTTCGTCGTCCAGCACGTGATGAAGTAGGATTTCCAATCCATGAGCGAAGTAAGATAAATGGGAAAAGTGGCGACAGAGAGCGAGAGCCGCAGGTGTTCCAATACTGGTCAGGCCATATTGGAGGAAATATGGTAAGAAAAGGTGTGTCTGGGGCGCACGAGTCAGTATAGAATGTTATAGATAGAGAAACTAACATACCCGGATGGCGAATTTCAGAACAGTGAATGTTACATCGCGTCGTTGCATCATTTCCGATTCAACGCCGAGGACAAGACCTTTGTTCAGCAAAACAGACAATGGATAAAAGTCTAAGGGGACGTTGAGTGGCGCCGGCACCATCTCCTCCTGCAGAACATCTTGAACATCATTCCAAGCTAGCAAGTTTTGGCCGCGGAACATCCAAAGAGAGTCCCGGAGCGACAGACTTCTGTGAGGTGGCTCCAGTGCCATATCGACCGAGGGACTGGCGGGTAGAGATTCATCAACCTGCGAGGGAAAATTGAAGGAAATCTGGTCACGCATCAAGATATAATACTCGACATCATGGGATATGACGCGCATGTCATACTTCAGGTCGCCCGCATCTGAGACCGTGGGCTGCAACAATACTAGGTTGCCATCCACAAGAAGAATCACCGACGCGACCTTTACGTCTTGAGATGGATCACCGTTTCCTGCTTTTTTGTCAGTGGTTTACTTAGATAACTACATAATAAACAAGATAACTCACGCATTTGCTCCTCGGGCAATACCCAGCTGATTGATCGAACGCGAGTGGGTGCCCGGACAATCCCATTGAAAGCGATCTGTCCAACAGGGACAAGAGTGATTTGAGGCTGTGTCGAATTAATGATATAATGGTACAAAATGTTATCGTATGTATAAACCAAGAGGGAATCTTCCCCAGAGGTTCCAATGTACACGACTGGTGATGGGAGATATTCGATGAACATAATCGAATTGTTACCGAGAGAAGCCTCGCGCGAATAAAGACGAATCTTTCAATCCAAGTCAGTCATATAGGGGACTAATGTAGGCAGCAGAAATATCGTACCTCGTATGACCCGTCGCTCTCCACCGCTGCGATCAGTATGTGGCCGTACCAACACATACCTCCTCGCACAGCAAAGGAGTTTTCGGCAATTGAATCCTCAAATACCTTCCATCGGCCACTGTTGACACTGTAATGTGCAAGGCCACGCCGACCTGCAATTGCAATATACCGTCCATCCTGAGACACGACGCAAGATCGAATTGGCCACTGAGAATGAAGATATGCCGGAGGATACTGGGCATGATGCCATAATGAATCCTTTCCTGAGATTGTCATGAGATCTGGAAGATCGTGCCCGCGGTAGAGGATACACTCAGTCCCAGTCTGCAGCAGGCCTCTAGCCAAGTTTGCAGACGAAAAACAACCAGTCAAAGCACTGCGAGCTGTCTCGAGAACCCACAGACGACGGTCGTTATGCCCAGTGAGAATGATGTCCGAACCTCCGCCAATCCAACATCCATCTGACACACCGGTTAGCCAATCCTCTGAATTAGCCGTCGCCAACGCAGTGTCCACCGAAAAGCTATTTCCTCCAGGCTTCCCAAATACACTCCATGTTGTCCAGCCATTCTCAAACCCAGCAAAGAGACAATATCCATCCGGAGAATAGCTCATGAAAGTTAAAGCCCCAGTGGTTCTGGGCGATGCTGGTAGCTGGAGCTTTTGTGAAAGTGGAATGTTGCCCATGTAATCTTTCGCAGTGTACACTAAGACATCACCGTTTGCGCAGCTCACAGTCAATAGGGAAAAGCGTGCATTTACGGCCACCTTCACAGCCTTTTCGCTGTCATTCTTCGGATTATGGAAGCAATGTCCATGGAATAGTTTCTTGGCTTGTTCGGGATCCTCATGTAACCCTGTATCTCGTTGCACGGCATATGCCTGGCCACTACTGGTAATCCAGATAAGGAGATTCATCGCACGATCGTAAACCATGTCCACGATCGAGACCTTCTTCGAGATCCCTAGGATACGACTTAATAGCTCAGATGTTGTTTGTGTTGCTCCCGCCCCGGCCGTCCATCGAATGCATTGCATCGCCGGTGGTTTCACAGTGGCGACAATAAGCTCTTGATCTAGCGCCAGCGCCTTGACGATTCCCGACTCGATCTTGATGGCCATTCGGAAGCGGATGCTGATGTCCCCAACCACATTGGCCTCTTCAACTGCCGAAAATTGGGCTAATTGATGACGACGGTGGTGTGTGGACTGATCAAATCGCTGCTGGTAGACTTGAGTTGTTGGATCCGATGCCACCGAGTATGTGAGTAGGTACCCATTGAGGGTCTGTACAACCAGGATCGTCGAATCTGGGCGCATGAGGAGTGAAACATTTGGTCCGTATGTTTTTAGAGAGAATCGAGATCGAGAAATTGCTGTAACGACTGCTGTTGGCTGCCAGAATTGTCAGTTTCCAGCTCAGACTTTCCTCATGAACCACAACAGTTGACATACCCGAGTCTGCCAAAGAGCAATTGATGATTCTGACATTGTGACAAACATCTGGCCAGATCGAGAGACACATATGTCCCTAATAGCTTCACTTCCCCATTCTGATTTGCCAGTGTCCGTGGACGAGTTGGATTGCGACTCATGGGGTTGGGTGTCTAGGGACTTATGTTGACCATCATCCCCTTTTGCTTCCGCGTTTTCGTCAAAGGTATTGGAATCATTTGTTGGAGTTGTATTCAAGATTTCGCGATCCTCATCAGAGGGGGCATAGGCAATATCGGGCCCATTGACCGCGTAGACCCGGGGAACTCCATGAGGCCAGTACATGGCTCAGGTCGAGTTCAGGGGTTAAGTTGGACAATGAAGCTCACATGGAGTCATCTCCAAGGAAGTAATTCTCCGTCAGCAACGCAGACAAGAATCTCCAAAGCACAAATTCAAATGTAAAGTTATAAAGTCCAAACAACGCGGATGGAAACAGACCGGGGAAACGATAAGCTACGATCACGTGCAACAGCTCTTCCCCCGCATTGCCTCACCTGTTTTTTTCTTCCATCTCGGTCATTCCGGAACGCTGTCTATCTTTCATTCATATTTATTGAAAGATTGTTATAATGGTAAGCTTCTCGCCTATCGTGTTTGATTCATGGAACTAATGGATGGTAGGCTCCAACAGAAAGCAACAAGCGCTTGGCCTTGGCCATCATCGATTTCCTTGGCTCCAGCCTGAAAGATGGCACCCTCACCGCTGACGATGCCGAGTCAATTGAGATTGCTCAGTCTTGTATCGCGGATACCTTCAAGGTTGACCCCACCGATGAGGCTGCTGTGAAGGATGCCGTGGGCGGACAATCGTTGGTCGGAATCTACAGCGTCTACGAGAAGCTGCGCAATAAGTCAACCCCGCAGTCGACCGCAGGAGCTCAGACTGCCCAGGCAGAGAAGCCCAAGGTCGGTGTGCCCACACCGGAATCCGATAAGTTGAAGTCCGAGGGCAATGCTCTCATGGCTAAGAAGGACTACGCCGGCGCCATTGCGCAATACACCAAGGCCCTCGAGATCGCCCCGGCCAACCCCATCTATCTCTCCAACCGCGCCGCCGCGTTTTCCGCTTCGGGCCAGCACGAGAAGGCTGCTACCGATGCTGAGGTTGCTGCCACCGCCGATCCCAAGTACTCCAAGGCGTGGAGCCGCTTGGGTCTCGCTCGCTTCGATATGGGTGACTACCATGCCGCCAAGGAGGCATACGAGAAGGGTATTGAGGCAGAGGGCAACGGTGGCAGTGATGCCATGAAGCGTGGCTTGGAGACATCGACACGCAAGCTTGAAGAGAGCAGCCGGACCACCGAGCCTCCATCTGAGGAGTTGGACACTGCTCCTGGTGCCTCGCGTGGTGGTGGCGGTGGCATGCCTGATCTGTCTTCCCTCGCTAGCATGCTCGGTGGTGGAGGCGGCGGTGGTGCTGGTGGTATGCCCGATCTGGGCTCCCTGATGAGCAACCCTATGTTCTCCAGCATGGCACAAAACCTCATGAGCAACCCCGATATGCTTGGCAACCTGATGAGCAACCCCCGTCTCCGCCAGATGGCCGAAAGCTTTGGCCAGGGTGGTGGCATGCCTGACATGTCCAGCCTGATGAGCGATCCTAACATCGCGGATATGTAAGTCTATGAAATATCCCCAGGACTTGGCTTCAAAAATTTCATTACTGACAATTGGATTACAGGGCTAAGAACATGATGGGTGGCGGTGCCGGTCCCGGTGCTGGTGCTGGTGACCAGAAGTAAATCTCTGGTTCAATGATTGATGCCATGAAATTGAAAGACGCAATCTGATATACCATCTAGCAAATTCACTTTTCAAAGCGTTCCTTAGAAAGAAAAAAAAGTCGCTTCTTTTCCTCTTGGGCGTGTCTCCACTATTAGATACAGCTCTGGCCATGTTTACCTCGATCAAATGTCGATTGAGAATATCCAGAGTCCATCTATTTGTACCGTATTTGATGTAACCCGCCAAGTGCATGTGGGAAATCAGGAATCGCCTATTTTACCTGGTTTATCTCGTCGTTCTCCTTCTCATCCACTAGATCAAGGATTGTAAAGGTCATTTGTAAATGAGATGTTTTTCTATCTGATTAACCCTCGCCATCTTCTTGATGACTGCTTGTTCAGGCCTCCCGCCTGAGATCAGACCTCATTCGGGGCCTAAAGAAATCCTAGTTTGTTCAATATAACTGCAGTTCTACCTTTCTTCATTCTTTCTTGGGAGCCCAAGACTATATAATTAGCTATACCAAGCGTATAATCCTGGAGTCCTGCGATTGCAGCTCTGCTGGCACCTGATTCGGGTCGCGAAGGCCTCGAGGTTGTTGCCGGGGATGGCCACCATAAAAGAGAAAGACAGATGACCTCTAGAAATCACACTTATATATTGATCAGACGAAGCGAGAGATCTTGAGGCAGCCATCACATGGAGCCAAACAGTGCAGGAGCCCCGTGTATGCAAGGTTATCATCCAAACAAGCCCATCAGATGAGCCTGTCGTTCCTGTTTCTACTGCAGGAGTTTCTCTGGCAACACTCGAGTCACTGGTGAGCCTCATCGCGAATCACGACAAGCCGGTTCCAGTTCCCATCTATTGATTGTTTCGATCCTCGTCGAGGCACGCCAAGAAAGACATCTTCTGTTCCTCGACATTGCCATCAATCCGGACCTCAGAATTCAGCGGAGTAATGGTTTGGAAGGGATACAAATAAGAAAAGCCAGCACATACATGCCTTACAATTATATGAATTCCCTATCGGCGTTCAATTCCTCTGCAAACAGTCCCGCTTGCATACATCCAGGAAGTCAGAGATATATATCTTGTTACAGTCGGGTCAAGTCAAGGTAGAGCTTATGGCAAAAGTTTTTAGTTTAGAAATGTCTGTTTATATATATTTACATGATTTTCAGGATCCTCATATGTTGGTGACCTATTCCGGCCCCAACAGAAACCAAAACCAACAACCCAATGCAGTCATACACGGTGGCGAGGGGAGAGTTGAAACAAAATGCACAAAGACGCCAGGAGAACACCTCAAGAACCAGAGAAATGCCATCAGATAAAATCCAACGCGTCCTAGTCTATGGGAAGGATGGATCATTCAAATCTGAGCGGACTGAGCCGTAAGTCGTCAGAGTAAGACTTGAGGCAAAATGTCAGACTAAATGAAACATTAATACATGAAGAAAGGAAAATCGATTACCCAGCGAAGGCCCGAATTCGCAATCACTGGAACAGGCATAACCGTAACAGGTGCCAGGATCCACCTGGCTTGATATCAAACAGTTGTATTGTACAGTTGAAAGGGGTGGAGTGGAAGTCAAGATGCAAGGAGTTGAGGTCCACGAGGGAGTGTGCCCACGATAAGATAGAGAAAGGTGTGGCAGTATAGAATGTAGAGGGATAGATTGCCCTTTTAGATGTAGTCACGGGCAGCCTTCTGCAGCTCGATCAATCTCCAGCCACGAGTTTCGGGGTTGTTGACTTCATCAGGAATACGAGTCAATCCGATGGCGTAGGTGACCAGCTGCACCTTGTCATCTGTACCAGCGGCAAGCTCACCGGTCTTGATCTTGCGGTAGACGTGAATCTCCTGTGTACGGCAAGTGACGACAAACACGGGAATGTCACCGGGGTCCAAGATACGGGCGTGAGAGATATCCACACCACGGATGTCCAAAATGCGGCCATCCGACTTGAGTCCGGCAGTGGTGTATTGCTTTGCGAGAGCAGCGTAGACGTGGAACTGGGCATCTGAAAGCCAGAGCTTGAGTGTCTCAACATCTCCCTTGACATAAGCGTCGAGGACCTCTGGCAACATGTAGTCACGCATTTCGCGCAGGAAAGGCTCCATCTGGAAGTTGGGATCAATCTCCCGGAACTTCTTGATGACCATGGCGGTCTCGTTTTCGGCGAAGAAGCCAGCAACACGATCGGAGATGCTGCGTGCTGTGCTGATTAGGGGGTTTTCGGACTCCTGGTAGTTCTCCTTGATTGTGAAGAGCTTCTGCATCAATGGGTTGGAATCCTTGAAGTCTTTCCAGGAATCTTTCCAGGCGGAATCTTTGTGGAGAGTGATGTTGGTACCGGCACTAGAGATAGCTCAGTCAGAAACACCAAAAATAAAAACTTGTGATCATCGAAACTTACTTGGGGTCTTCGACTCGATCCTCAACACGAACAGACTTTCCAGACTTGAGATCTTGCTCCTCTCGACGCTGTCGCTGCTTGCGACGTTCCTCCTTCTCGACCCAACCACCGTAGCGTGAGCTGCTGCCATCATCAATGGCGTCCTTCACACTCTTATATGCTTCGGTTTCCCGAACGGGTCTCGTGGCCTTCTCGAGGCCCTCTCCGGTTGCGTTGACACCTTTTCGGACGCCCTTCACAACACTGGTATTCCATGTCCAAGCAGCTCCCTTTCCAATGACTTGACCGGTTGTCTTGATGGCTGTGGAGGTTTTGGAGGACGTAGCATTTGATGCAGCCTCGTAGGCAGCGCGCGCACGTCTCACGTTCTCATTCTCGGTGAACTGGTGAGCGGAGGACGCCAGAGCTTTAGTGGACTCCTCCCATTCCTTGGAGGCCTTGAATTCGCTCTGCAGGGTCTCACGGAACACCTGCCAAGGAGACTTGTCTCCATGGGGTGGTGGCGGAACCTTCTCTTCGTTCTTCTCTTTTTTCTCCTCCTTGGACTCCTCGCCCTGGGTTTCGGACTTTTGGTCCTCGCTCTGCTTTCCTTCCTGTTGCTTTTGCTGTTGCTGCCAAAGGGAAGTTGCGGAGTGGAATGACCGGGTCAAAGGGAGAGCGGCGAACGGCGAGACAAGTTGAGAAACGGGGTGGGAAGGGGAGTGAAGGATGGCTCGTTGGCTCTTAGCGGATTGAGTGAATGGTTGAGCTGAGACGGTCGAATATGATCCGGCGCGAGACAACCGCTGAGATGATGCTCTGACGGACGGTGCCTGGGACCGCAAGGAAACGGCTCGTGCCGCAGACATCTTGGCCGGAATCATGCTCTGGAGCGTTGATGCGATGAGATAACAAAATAGAATTAAATATGAGGGTGGAGGAAAGATGAATTCCAGCCCAGCCTGGACGCGATATGAAGAAGGTGATGGGGAGAGGCAAAGATCTCGGGGAAGGGAAAAAGTGCAGATGCCAAGACTTCGAAAAACTTCCAGCGTTTCCCTTCGGTCCGACAACGGCTCTACACCACCCGCGCCTTGTGGTCATCTCGGCACTTTGCATTGGTGATTTGTGTTCAATTGATTAGTTGTTTATAATTCACTGCTGCTTTACTTATTCGCTACCCGTCCTTTCTCGCAAATCCCGGCCACCACGATGAGCTCCTTTTCGATGAGGACGTTGACCAAGGCCTTGCCCTCAGTGTGCCGCCAATCTCAACCTCGAACCTCCTCCTTGAACATCACACGTCTATTCTCCCAGCAAAGCACACGTCCTGCGCGCAATGATGGCAGCGAGATTGAGAAGCAGATGCTGAACCAAGAACCCGAGACACCTTCCGGTTCCGCGTCGCCACTTTCTGCAATCACACAAATGATGCAGGGCAAGAGATCTGGCGCACCGCCCTCGCGCGGTAGGTCTGACTACTCCAGGATGGCCGAAAGCCTTGAAGCCGACATGATCAAGAATCCCTACGCCGACCGAGCTCCTCCCCACCACCTGCACGTCTACTGCCACAAGCACAACACAATCCTCACCTTGACACGACCAAACGGCAACCCTCTTCTGTCCATTGGATGTGGTCAAATTGGTTTCCGCAAAGCCGGTCGCTCTGGCTTTGACCCAGCATACCAATTGTCTGCTCATTTCATGACCCAGATTCAGGAAAAGGGCTTCCTGCTGGAGATCGAGCGGTTGGAGGTTATCTTCCGTGGGTTTGGAAAGGGCCGTGAGGCGTTTACAAAGGTCCTCTTGGGCAACGAGGGACGACACGTCCGGGGACTTGTTGCGCGAGTGTCCGACTCCACTCGACTGAAGTTCGGTGGTACTCGCAGCAGACACGTGCGTAGACTGGGTTGATCTCCCTTCACAGGAGAGACCGTGTTTTTGTTTTAGGTTGGCTGCTTGTGTGCGGCACTGTACTGGATTGCATTGTGCGGAGAGACCACGGCAGTCCTTTTTGTGTTTTTATCTACATGGCGTGCCTGTTGCCATCTATTCTCTGTATATTAGAAATATCATGACAGGACTACACAAAAACCATCTGCAAGACCCCTGTAAATGGATACTGCCATAATAAAATCCGGGGAATTAGCAAATCTCCGAAGCTGTTTAGGAGGATGCGCAAGCTGCAGTGTATTGAATGGAAGAATTACCAAATGCGGTATAGCGCCCATCATCCTGTCGATCACGTTCTCGATTCACCCGCGACACATGTGCTTCTGCTTCAACTCTTATCCTTGTGGCTTCTTGTTTTCTGCGATCTAGCATTGTGATTTTATTCAAGCTTATTTGCAGTTCTATCCACTAAACCAAACGAGCCACTCTAACTTCATACTGAGCTACTGCCTGTTGCATGCAAGCTGCCCTTCCCCGCGAAATCTGACGGCGCACCTATCCACTGCTGCGGAGATTTGAGACGGACGGCTTGATGATTGCTAGAGACGTTCGACTGGGCCGTCCAAAACCGTTTGGATGCACCCTCTAAACCCTTTCCTCCGTGCCTTCTTTCGAAGCACTGTTCCTGGCCAGTGTATACCGGTCGAGAATCATGTAGGTGGATGTTGTGAATCTGTTGTCGGATCATCCGGAGTGTCTAATTGGTGTTTCGTGTGCTTCCCAGGTCTTGCTTGTTCCAACGACAGAATCTCTCATCGGTTCACGCGACCGGGAGTCCAACCTGCTATATTCCGATCTTGTCGCGTCAGAGGAGTTTCTAGGGAGCCATGTGCTTCGCATCCCAATTCATACCGGCTCTGCGAATTCCAAAGAGGAGAATAATGTGCGCGAAAACCGAGGGAAGGCAAAGCAGGTGACCACATTCAATGGGAGGACGGTGATCATCAAGGACAACTCAGTATACAGCAACAAAGGTGAGAGCCCTTACCGATGAATGCGCTCACCCGAATATGTTAGCTAATATAGGTAAATTTCTATCAGGATTCAAGTCACTCACACAAGCTCAACTGCTTTCCGACGTGCTTTATTACACTCCATCCAGCGACTCGCGGCCATGGCTGATTTACTACATCTCGCGCCCGTTGATCGGAACATATGACCCTGGGAAGATCTTACCAGCCGCAGTCCCTGGGACTGACACCAGGATCGCACCAATACCCCCGGACAAGAAATATGGAAACGGAGATTCAATTGGGACTCCACCAAAACAAGAGATCAAATCATTTGGGGAACTGCTAGCAAACTACCCGATGATAGCTAGACAAATGCATCCGGGCCTGGAAAGATTATTCAAAGAATTTGGAAAGGAACTTGGTAAACCACTGCCGCCTCCTCCTTCACGATCGCCATCTGCATCCGGCATTGAACGCGTTCACAAGCTGTCCCGCACCGAGTCTTGGACAGACGAAAGCTCTTCCATCCGCAGCTGGTCGTCACGCAGTAGAGGGCGACTGCCCTTCAACTCTGAGGAATACTTTGAGGATGACGAAGACCTCATGCGTCGAAGCTTGGAAACTGCGGTGACTGCTGCTATTGATCTTTTCCGCCTTGTTGACAAGCAGCAATTATCGTTGCTCGGTGCGACTACTGACCTCACTGGTCCTCTAGTGGAGCGACTAATAGAACGTTATGTTGCCGAACAAGTCCATGAGCCGCTGCTTTTCCCTCGTCTCTGTTCGTTCCGCCAGCCAGAGGACACAGAGCTGGATGCCCGCATCCGCCAGATGGAGAGCATCGATGTGTCCCAAGTCGGAATATCCGTTGAAGGTGGACACGAAGGGAAGCGAGAATTGATTCGCCGACTTGGGCGAGCCGTGGAAGAATTTCGGAAGATGAACGAGGCTCGATGTCCCCATGATATGCTGAACACCCTCCTTGGGACAGTGAAGGTCATCTCCTTCCCTGGAAGTTATGATCAAATGGACGGCACGCCCTCTGAAAAGGGAACTTCTTCTGTCACGATTAACGCTGATGTCTTGGTGTCATTGTTGCTTATTGTTGTCATACGTTCTCAAGTACGGCATCTACAAGCTCGATTGTTGTACATGCAGCACTTTATCTACATCGACGACGTTGATAATGGCGAGATGGGGTATGCTTTAAGCACATTTGAAGCTGTTTTGATGTATCTCGTAACCGACTCCGCCGGGCTACGGCGCGCCAGCGCTCGCAACAGACGTTTGTGGCAAGCAACGAAGGCTGGCAAAATATCGGATATGAAATCTATACTGGAACCGAACGAGGATCACGAATCAATAGACGACACGACTCCGCCGGAACCGGAGCGAAAGTCTGTACTGTTCCAAACAGATGAAGCTGAGGAGTTGGATGATCTCCCTCTTGAGAACTCTTACACGGGTCATACGAATGGCGACTCATACCGGGATGAAGCTGTTGTCGATGCACCGCCGCTATCCCATGTGTTTCCATTCCAAACTTGGGATGATCCTTCGATTATCCAAGAATCTCACCCGCACCGCCCAATCAAGAAGGTCTCAATGGACGTTCGCAGCTTATCGGAATCATCAGGTATCTCATTCATCTCCAGGACCGCAACCCTCGGGTCCATGGCCAGTGGGATTGACGGTGACAGTTCGATTGAGACCTTGACAAAAACCCAAGATCCTACTGGTCATTCCATACCGATGATGGCAGTAGAGGCCCGTCAGGCTGAGGCTTTGAAGTACCTGTTGACTCTAGAAGAATACTACCCCTCGGAAGAAATCATCCAAGACACCAACGTCGATGGGACCACGCTATTAAATGCTGCGGTGCAACTCGCACACACTGAGATAGTCAATATCCTCTTGGACTTCCTATTTTCAAAGACAGATACAAGCGTGGTTGCATTTTACTTGGCCAAAGCCGACGTCCACGGTCGCACTGTTGCCCATTACCTTTTCAGCACACCCTCGCTGCTAGGGAGACTTGGTAGCATCATCCCATGGCGACAACAAGACAAGCATGGACAGACACCGCTCTTTGCACTCTGTCGATCGTATGACCACCCAGAATACAAATCAATGGTTCAAACCGCTTTGACTGCAGCGCAATGGGCACAAGGTGACAACAAACCGCTTCAGCTTGATAACCATGTCGATATCAAGGGTAACACACTGCTGCATATCGTTGGTGATCCTGAGATTACCCGGCGCATATTGCAGGAGAGCGATTGCGATCCCAACGCGACCAACGACAAGAGATTTACGCCATTGATGATGGCCAGCAAATACGGGCGAGTTGATCAAGTTCGCATTCTCTTCTTAGACCCAAGAGTCGACGTTCATATCAAAGAAGCGCGTGGTTTAACAGCTGTGGAATTGGCTAAAGATGATGAGGTGCGAAATCGCATTGATGACTTGATCCTGTTGTCTCATCCTCCATCGGCTTGCGGAGATCCTTCGGGCCGTGTCACAACGGTCGTGCGATCGTATTTCGTCGAGGACGCAACCGTGCGCTTCATCCTCAAATCCGGCGCGCCCTTTCCTCCCTCTGAAACTATGGCATCCTCGCGGCCCGGATCGACAACATACACCGTTACGACCTGCCGCCGTAATTTCTCCGACTTTGAGAATTTGGCTAAATGGCTTGCAGTGGAACATCCAGCATCTTACATGCCGTCTCTCTCGGATTTCCGGAACCCATTCCAGATCCACTCGAAGCCATCGCGGTCTGTACTCCATGATCTCCAGGAAAGGCTGGACCGGTTCCTGAAGACGCTTCTCGCCCATCCAACCTTTTCAACTCACGAAATGCTGTGGGAGTTCTTCCTCGTTCCTGAACTTCAGCCTGAGATGGTGGCCGACCGGTCGCACCGCAAGGCTGCCGTGCTCACGGAGACCATCGCGGACGAATACGCTCCGGTCTCACTAGAGGGCATGCGCGACACAGAACAGTTCATCACCCACGCCCAGGAGATGGTGCGCGGTGTACATGTCAACACGCGTTCCCTGATTCGCCGCGGGCACGCATTGCAGAATGCAACATCCGATCTCGCTGATGCGGTGATGATATGCTCATCTGTCCTTGCTACCCTCCGGGCGCCCACCAATGTACTTCCAGTCTCACACATCGAGGCCTTTGCTCGTTACGCCAGCTACCTATCGACCTCTCGGTCCGACTCCTCTCCTCTCCTCCAGTATTTGGCAGCCCTTTCCTCGGTCGACAACACGACAGCTGCAATTCTCATCTCTTTATCCCGTCCACTAACCCTCATGTCCTCCCTCTCTTCAACAAACCGCCATATCTCTCGCTCTCGCTCCTCTCTCCTCTCTTCCTCCCTCCCCCGCAAATTCAATATAAACCTACCAGGCTTCGAAGAGTCTCGCCAAAAGTCTGTCCGTGACCTCGAACAGAAGATTCGCGATGGCGAATCCGAGTCCACTCGACTGGCCAAGGAGATCTCGTGGAACAAGGATGTCGTGGTTGGCGAACTCGCCGGCTGGACATCATGGCGGGAAAAGGTCGGGCGTGAGGCCATCCGAGCATTTGTCAAGGATACCCTTGTACGGGAAAAGGAGCGCGGCAAACGCCTTGAACGGTGTTTGCGCAGTGTACGCGATATGAATGCATGAAGATGAAGATGCCATATCCGGATAGATCTCAAGTACTTTTCTTTTTGTGTTTCTTTCTACTTTCTACCTGTACATCTCATGGCGAACATGTGTTCGAGAATGTTGCTTATGTGTTGCTTTTTAATTGTCGGTTTTATGTCTGAAGCGTCTCCTGGACTGGAATAGCGAGGCGCGTGGAGGTGGGACTTCCCCTTTGTTTTTTTTTGTAGCTCAGACAATGAAATATAATGATCATTGATTTCTTGCCCCAGTCACTTAGGCCTAATAGGGAGGGGCGATGCCACAGGGCTGTCCTGGCTCCATTTTGTCACTTCCTGTCTAACTGAATCCTCTCTGTACTTGAAGCCCAACATTTGTAAGAGCATTAAATACACCGATAGGTTTGGTAACTACGCTGTAAGGTAATAATAAGAATAGTTGGCCCGTATATCTTATTGTCTTTTAATCTTTCTAGTGGTCCTTACGGCATTCGTGATGGTCCCTAAAAGTCCTCGTAGGTCTTTAGATATCAAAACACAGCCAGTTGACGCCACGGGCATATGTTCACATAATTATTCGTCATTGCATACAATACCTCCATTGTTCCTGTTCGCTTTCTGTTCAATCTATCTCGCGTATCCTAGCTTCACAATCCACCTAATGAAATGGATCCGATTGAGGTAACTAGTCACCTGGTTGGTACCTGCTTTGTCAGGCCTTACCTAGCTATACGCAGCTTCCTGTTTAGCCGTAGAGAATCAATGGTTCCTTCTCGTCTCTCCTCTACGAGAATCGGTGTGTTTGCTCGAACTGGTACATCTCATAGCTCTCGGGTTCTTGATTGTGTGGCTACCAAATCACCATGTCCTTTCAGCCGAACCCCAGACCAATCTTCACGGGCTACAGGCCGCCTCGCTTGTATACAGAGCTCAGGGTCGGCAGTGGTCGTGTCATTCCCACAGAATTCATTCCTCCAAGCCCAGATGATACGCCGCGATCATTGTTCCCCCATTGCTCTAAAGTGACAGTGGCCGAGCGAGTCCATCGATTCATTCGCATCACCCCCAACAACCGATCCGTTGAGAACGAATTCCTCATCTATACGGACGGTGCATGCTTCGAAAACGGCAGTATAAACGCCAAAGCAGGATGTTCCTTTGTTTTCAACGATTCTACATCCGGCTTCGCACGCTTCGCTCTCGAGTACAAAGGACCCACAGGTCAACAGCACATGCAGACAAACAACCGCGCTGAAATCCGCGCCATCATTGCAGCGCTGCGATATCGAGACTGGGCTGCGGAAGGATTCACTCGTTTGGTTATTGCAACAGACTCGAAATATGTGGTCGAGGGCATCACGAGCTGGATATGGGATTGGCTGCGGTGGGGTTGGGTCACGACTGCCGGGGAACCGGTTAGGAATCGAGATCTGTGGGAGTGTCTTCTTGGGGAAGTGGAAATGTGGCAAGAGAGAGGGTTGACTGTTCAGTTCTGGTGGATTCCGAGAGAGTTGAACATGAAGGCGGATCGTCATGCTAAATCGGTGGCACTTATGGAGAGACATGTTCTCTTTACCGATATCCCTGGTATCGTCTAGGGCTCTATCTAGAGGCAGATCCTTCATTTCTGTGCTGGAACTCATGATAGCCGAAGGAAAGGAGAATGCATCAACTGGGATCAGCACACCAAAGAACAAGGCTCGGTCCACCAAAAGCGCAAATGAAACAACGCAGTGAGTCTATGAACCCAGTCTCTTGGGTATTACTTCTGTATATCTTAGTACTTTCACATCAAGTGATGAGCAATTGAATTTGTATTGTTAGGGCTATTTCTTCTCTTCAACTGACCATCTGTACTTTCGTAAGATAATTATGCTTCACTAAGCCATGCATTTCCCCAGTGAATGGTATTTGCCTGGGCCATGCACAATCAAAGGTGTGAGTACAGGACTGTTAGTGTTTGCTGCAGTTTAAAACTTGGTATCTCCCAACTTCGTGGTCGGATTTGTATACAATGAACAATTGGATTAATAAAAAAAAAAGCATTGGGAAGACTGGGACACTATACATAATGAATAAGAGGTGTCAGCAAAAGAAATCCAGTCCAAGAACATGAACTTCCAAAGACATTAATGGTAAAGGGGAAATCTAAGATAAGGAATAGTGCACTAGTCACGAATGGAACCTGAATATATCCCAATCTTTCAGGTTTGAGCCAATACCCGCCCCCTCCCAAAATAAAAACCAAGCCAACAGCCCACTACATGCCACCAACAGTCAGAGCTGGCTGAAAGGAAAAGGAGCAGGGGGGACAGAAGTCCATTGGGGCTCATTTTCAGCGGAAAGGTCCACCAACACTGGAGAAACGGGGGAAGTGGGGGTCATCGATCCAACAGAGCGGATAGTTCTCGAGTGAGCCATCCTCGAAGCCTCCGCGTCATTGAACATCCGAGATGCAGCCTGCAAGACACCTGCACTGGACGGACGACTCGATGCACCAGAAGCAGCATTCGACCGACGTGTATATACCTGCGAGTTGCGGGATGTCGATGGGCCAGTGGGACTTTGAGGGTGGTGCGAGTTTGAAGATTGACTAACAAGCGAAAACGTCTCAGTGCCAGCAGAGGTAGTCCAAATCTGGTAAGATCCAGCCGGTGGGACGATGGATGACGAGATTGATGCTCTTGATGTTGTGACTGATGAACGCTGTCCCGAGCTGCTTGTCTGAGTCCGATCCGACGGTGTGCTAGCAGTCGTAGTCCACATCTGAGATGATCCCGAGGATGGGACGACCGATGACGAGGTAGACGCTCTCGGCGTCGTGCTTGATGAACGTCGTCCTGAGCTACTCCACTGAGTCTGATCTGACCGCGGCTCGTCGGTGCTTGATTCTTGGGTCAGGATCTGGGTCAAGATGTGTGTATCTGCAGATGAAGAAGCTGCCATATCATATCGCGTGAGATAAGGGCGAGATGGAGACTTGCAGCGGACAATATCGGCGTCGCCAATGATGATGGTCATGGATGGAGACCGACTTCTGTTAAACATGATTGAGCTCCGTTCGGGCTGGATCTCCTTCATGAGGAAGTCATCTAGGGTCCTGCCTGTGTCCTCGGCCAGTGACACTGCGGACTGGTCGAACTGGTCATTTTCGTGACTTCCCTGGCGACGAAGTCGTCGGGCACGGAGTCTTCGTCGAACGTACCACACCAGTAAGTAGATGAGGGCCCCGAGTGTGAGGATTCCGAGAATGGTGGCTGTGGCAATGGCGAGCTTTCCGTAGTCCCCTGATCCCCGTGCACGGAGGGATTCCATGATGGAAGTTGGCAGCGAATGAATATTTTGCTGTCTTGAGGCCGGTGAGTTATAGAGAGAGCCGGACTGTGTTGGATATTCCGGATATAACATTGGCATCAGTGAGCTTCTCAAATACAGCAGGTGCGATGTAGGACGTATGGCAACTGCCGCCGTAAAAACGTAATCTATGGGAGGCGAGACCGAGCACCCGCAACATCATTGTTGGCCCTATATGGATGGTGCATAATGCGCAATTTCATCGCTTCAACGCGTACAACGTGCAATCGTAATTTCTCGAGGTCAACACTCTCACTCTCCCTGTCGCGCGCATTTCGCCTTCTTTCGATGAGCTAACGTTCGACGTCACAATTCTCGACGAGACACTTTTCACCTGCTGTCTCGCATATACAATCAGATCCTTTTAGACTAGAGCTAGAGTTAGTGCCAGTAGGGGTTTTGGTTTACCGAAACGTCATGTTCGTGGAATGTCAACTGATTTGAGTAAGATCGGATCGGGAAACCTGCATCTTGATAGACGTCAACGTCGCGGGTGCATTGTAGAGTACAACCGGCATTGCAGTCCCTGTCTTTGTGACTTTACACGATACTGAGAGTATTGCAATTTGGTTTGGTCACGGGGGCTTTGGAGGCTCATACATAAGCATAGGATTTATGCATAATTATTAATTTAATGTTTAATTAATAATGTACAATATGTTAGTCAGCGGATCAAAAACCAACCGTACATATTTCGGTCTGACATGGCAGTCTCGCTAGAGTCAGCGCTAGTTCCTACTAGCTGGTGATTGGGCCTAGATTCCATTGCGGGGCGGATATTTCCTTCACGGATCCAATACGAAGTATGTGGGAGAGAAAAACTTATCGAGATTTTCCAGATAAACATGAACCTCGGGAGTGATTCGTAATCTAAAATAGAAATCGCCTTTGGATTTTCAATCCGAGGTCGAACGTCGATCTCCCAAGGTTCGATTTCTTTGCCACTCCACTTGGGGATCGGCAGTGTGTATAAAGTGTTCATAACAATCCCCGTCTGACATTCCTTGGCGTTATAAGGTACAGCCACGTCCTTTGAGATATCCCCTGAAAGTAAGCAGTCGATTAATATTACTGGATTTTAAATCACAAAGAGACATGCAACAATGCAAGATAAGGTTGTGGCTATTCATAGTTTGACTCTACAGTCCGAAACCCATAAGTGGGCTTCGGCATCGGGTAGTGTTTGTCCGTGTCTCAAATATCGAAGCAAGGTTGGAATGTATTGGATCCATACGGAGTACGGAGTACGTAGAAAGGGGATAGGACGTGATAGGGCATATTTTAAACCGGTCCGGGCTTAGCCAACTTGGGCTTATTTCTCAGCCGTACTTCCGTGGTCTTGGCAAGTCTTTTTTTCACTTTTTTTCCTCTGTTGGGATTCTTGGGATTGGGATGAGATTGGGATGGGATTCGTCAAAGTGCAATAGAGATTTGCAAATATCATAATATAGTTAAAGGCTGATGTTCTCCACCCTCGGGATTGGATTCCGTGCTCCGTTCGTACTCGTATCCTTATTACATCGGTATTGTATCCGATACATTTCAGATTCTCGGGCACGCGACATTTAGCGACTGCATTTAGCTGGTCCCTTCCCCCCCCCCCTGATTGTCCTGTTTGTGTCTTGTTTCGCTTTCGCTGTCTCCAGCGCTTTTTTGGAGGCGTATATCATTAAATAGACACAAATATGGCGAGCACACTCTTTATTCGGGATGCAGAGACACCGGACCTGGGAAAACCGCAGTTAGCGTCCCACGCATGGCTTGAGCCCATTGTAAGTTTACCAGCTACGTGCATCGCGCAACGTCTAATCTCGGGGACAGGTGGTTGTGAGTATCATGGTTGGGTCGTTGATTGTGAACCGTTGCAGAGACTCCAGCTCCAGCAAGATCGATTACACCCTTCTGGAGGAGGGTGCTCATCCCGATGCGCATCTTGCCAACAGCGCGCAGACCAAATCCGAGAATGTATACGGGATCAATATCAAGAATCGGGACTCGTCGCGCTGGGCGCACCACATTCACAGCAGAATCCTGCAGAAACTCCCGTTCTTGGTTGAAATGTTCTACTGGAGTATGAATTACCTGTTCTATTCCGTGACAAAAGCCACCGCGCAGTGGCTCTCTCCTGCCGACATAGGCGTTGTTGCAGTGGCGCGAGGCCATGCCGTCGACGTCCTCAACTTCGAACATAAAACCGCTTCTTGGATATTCCCGATCAACGAAGCCGATTTCCAATCCTTTTTCATCCATAACCATCCCTCGATCTTGACTATGTTCAATCGCATTTATTCATTAATCCATATTCCCGGCACAGTGCTGTGAGTAACTCTCCATCTCTTCACGTCGGGTTCCAAAAGCTAATCAGCTAAAATCACACAGATTCCTCTCCTGGTACTACTACGTCGCCAAAAACCATGCCTCCTTCGCCATCGCCCGCCGCACCATGACACTCGGAAACCTCGCCGCCTTCTTGGTATTCTGCGTCTACCCCCTCATGCCACCCCGACTCCTTCCTGAATCATATGGCTTTTACGATACCGTGCGCCAAGGCAACGCCGAAAGCATTTGGGTCGGTGGAAAATCCGTGAACCAATTCGCCGCCATGCCCAGTCTACACTTTACCTATGCCTTTGTGATCGGGTGTACATTCCTCCACCACTCTGGATTCCTGCAGAGACTCCAACGCAAGCCGACGCAAAAGTCACGTCTGACCGAGTTTGGATTTTTGACACTCGCTATATGCTACCCGATTCTTGTCCTGAGTGTGATCGTTGCTACGGCAAACCACTACTGGCTCGATGCTGTTGTGGCGATTTTCACGGTTACCTTGTCCTACCGCTTCAACAGACTTCTTATCTTGCTACTTCCGATCGAATATGCACTGTGTTGGTGTCTGCGACTGGCAAAGCCGGTTCCTACCACTGGTGACAAAGCTTCGAGATGAACAGAAGCCGAGTGGGGGATTTATATACAATGTGGCCGGCAATGGGCAGTGGCGCATAGTTGGTAAATTAAAAAGATAATGTTAATTTTTCACCAGAGCTATTTGGTTCGAGTTTTTTTTTATTCTCCTGAGGGCATTTATCCAAGTACTAAGCTTGTGCTTGATTGTGGTCAGTTGGGCAGATTTGGGGAGTCAATCCTGGCGCTCCCTTTCCGCACTCACATCAACTTGGTATTACTTACTCCTTCCCATCATTCTTCCGAATATCAAATCTGTGAACTATGAACATTAAAGCTTTAAGGTTGACGGATTGCGATCCACCCGGATATCTCTGGCCAGCCTTGTGGGGCGGATCTTCAGCAACAGATCTGCGTTTGGGCGCCATAAGCGGTTGCGGATTCTTACTTTAGTCTCTTTACATTGAAGACGCTTAATCAAACAATGGAAAATTCATGGCGGGAAACAGAAAAAAATGAAATCCAACGCTCTAAAGTCGAGCTCTTTCCAACACCTTCTACCCCCATCAGACCCGATACCTAGGCACCTTAATTGTTTAGAAGGAAAAGAAAACGAAACTCGATTCAACTCTTTCCAAATCCTCGTGAATCCGGATTTCTGAGCTTCCCAGATGCAATCTGACCCCTCGTTAGGAACATGTGCGTAACAAACGTTTGTCTGCGACGAAGCGAGAGCCGGACATGATGTGCTCGGATACCTCCGGCTCCTACGTTCTCACGGACTGTGGATTCAATCCAACGGTAGGCTATCAATCATGCATCTTCTGCCTGTATAATGCGGTAGTCTCAAGTCCAGAATTAACATCTTATAGGGCAGTTGGAACTGCACTCGGAAATACTACTATCTCGAGGGCATTTATGATGTCCGCGGGTCATGACTGAGAATGACACGACGGAGAGGAGACATACGGACATAAGAACTAGAGAGGTTGTTGGGAGCAGAGAACTGAGTTATGCTGATGCGGTGTGGCGGCGTAGTTCACACAGCACGTCAATCAGGGCTTACTGCCTTATTTTGGCCTGGATTTTACCTGTGTCTCATGTCCAACTTGAGCATTAGGCTACTTCTCAACAGAAGACTATGCCATTGAATTTAGAAGGGGAAAAAAAAGGTAGAGTTCCTAAACCACTATAGAAGAAAATGGGATTCTACTCTCTTTCACTACTGCGAGGAGTTAATGTGCTATATATCAACCGAGTAACAAACTCGGTACAACAATAATATGTATTAATATTAAGATACCAGACAAAAGCAAAATAGATCACAAAGGAGGGAAACAATATGCTTCATGTATGCAGAGGAGATTAATTTGACATTCATGTTCGTCGTGATGGCATAGCCGTTTTATGACAAGAAACAGAAATGCTCCAAAAGGGGAAGGGGAGCTTATGGTTTGGCGAGTTGTTCCTTACGGAAGAACAGCAAGAAGCCAGCACTGCGGAAATATGTTAGCAATCATTCCATTTAACAACGGTCGTAAAGAGAAACATACCAGATCAACAACTGACAGAACAAAGCAACCCAAAACCAGGCATTGGCCAAGGAATCGGCGCCCCTGGTCATGTCAGGAGAAATCGGGCCGGGGCCCGTATTGTTAGGGCCGAAAGCTCGAGCACAGATAGTCGCAATGGATCCCAGCACCTGAGATGCAATGAGAGCGAAACACATGTGGACTCGAGTGAGTGTTTGTAGAAGGATGATACCGAATCCAAGACCTTGAATGGAATCCAACACGCCCAGCCACAGCCAGAGACTGCGAGACACGAGCGCACCGGAAGTGTATCCCCCAACCCAGGGAAGATAGTATCCGATGCCGGAGACAGCCCACCAGATTTGGATGAAGCGGGGTGCGCCCAGGCCGCAGGCAAAGACGGGAAGGAACCAACTGTGTTTCTTGGAGAATTTGCTGACGACGAATAGGAATATGCACCAGACGACGCCGAAGAAGACAATACAGAGGATGACAATCTGCCATGCGTGGGTGTGGATGGAACCCCACAGGACTGGAGAGGAAATGTTAGCACGGATGGGTGTGCGAAATTTGGAATGGGGGAATTAAACTTACAGCTCCAGTTGCGACCATATGGTGCGCTGAGGAAGAAGTTCTGTAGGATGACCGCGATGAAGTTCCAAGAGACAATCTTTCTGCGGAAAAGGGACTTGTAGAAGGATGGAACCTTGCCGGGCTTCTGGCGGTAGTAGTTGGGAAGTCCCAAAGCCAACAGAACACCAATGGAACACAGGAAGACGGCGATAGGATAACAGATCACACTTGAAGAAGGTCAGTAAAAGAAGTCAGGAGATAAGAGTGAAAGGGATATTTACCTCATTTTCCAGCTGTTGGCAATGCTGTTCTCAGGGCTCAAGAGACCCGCCGAAGAAGCCTTGGTCATGGTGGAACCCCAGTACCAGAGCGCAATAACGTACGCCTGCTGGATACCTTGAATAACACAGGCGCGGAAAATCCAGGTTTCAACGGGAGCACCTCCCTCGTCACCGAAGTTGGAAGCGAAGAAAATGGATCCACTGGAGGAGGCTGCAGCGTAGAAACCGGTGCCGACATTTTGGATCCATCCCCGACTGAACTCATCTTTTTGCCAGTGAGCAGACCCAATCATGAGGAATGCGAGACCGTAAAAGAACCAAGGCGTAGAAAGACAGACGACAGACTTGAAGTACCGGTACACGAGCCACCAGCAAATGGATGTAATGGCATATGTCGTGGCAATTCCATACAACTTCTCCGCAGTCTGACCAACTTCGCCTGTGAGTAGGGTGATCTGGTATGAGTTTGCGGCGATGATTTGGCCCAGAGCGAGGAAGATGGAGTAGACCGGCCAATCTCCAATCTTGATCTGCATCCACTTCTTGAGGCCAGTGGGAGGGACATAGTCCTTTCCGAGCAGGAACTCATCATCTTGTAGAGGAATATCTTCGTTGCTGTTCGAGTTGGAGACCATGTCATCATTGTAGAACATGTTGTCCGGGGTGTCTGTGTTTCGGGTAGAATGGCGAATCGATGGTGTGGGAGATTTGGTGCGACCCAGTCTGGCATTGCGGAATCTGTCGAACCACTGTTGCTCACTCTTGATCAAGAACTCTTCGATACAAAGTTGTGACTCGGAGTTCGATCCGTTCAGGGCATCTAATCTCTTGTCGAACGTCTTGTAGTACTCGCCAGTGCTATCCGTGAAGAAAGGATCAACCTTCTGTAGCTTGAAGTCGGTCTTGTTGCCGACAACAGAGTCCAGAGAGAGAACGGACGCGGAACTGAAACGGTTGGACTGTCCAAATGGCTGGGGAGGAAGAAGGAGGCTCTCAGCGCCTGGCGGTGTTCCGGGACTTCCCGGGCTTTCCAAAGGAACCATGAACCTGGGATGCAAAGACTCTTGACTGGGTCGTCTGCTTGGAGAAGAAGGCATGTGTTGAGAACGGTCCTTTTGGGCAGCCTGGGCTCGTCGTCCTGCCTCGACTTGGGCTGGAGTGAGAGTGTATTCGTCATCATCGCCATACAGGTTGTGGGCAGTGTCCTCGTCGCTGCTATCGCCTTCGATATCAGTGGCTCCGTTTTCATCGCCTTCTGCGATGTCATCTCCTGCTCTTCTACGACGACGTCCAGCGTGACCGGGGCCGGAGCGGACACCCAGGGAGAGAGAACGACTGAGTCCCGACTTGGGTTTCTCCACATCATCTGGGTTGGGATCTGCGCTGTAGCTGACCTTCTTTTGTGGAGCAATGTTGTTCATTTGATTCAAGGAGTAGCTGCTGTCTCTGGAATGCGTGAATGGAGAGTTCATGCCGGGTGAAGGCAATCCGCTCGGTAAGTGAGTCATGGAAGCGTTGAGACTGCTAATTCCAGAAGAAGTGCCAGGTCGAATGCTGCTGGAACCCTGGTTCTTGGCCACCTTTTCGTGGATCGCGATGGCAGTGGATTGCAGGATCTCAAGATCCTCAACCCATTGAGCGACGGGGAAACGCTGTTTCGCAGATCGGGCACGCATCATGGCACGAACGGATGTCTTGGAATTGAGCGCAGCTTCAATTGCAAGCTTGAATTGCATGAGGAGATGAGACGTCGAGATTGATTCCACATTGTACCACCAGCCTGGCATTTGACCAAGACCACCAACACGGGCTCCGATGCCCAATGCACCCTTTCGGCCGAACTCCACGGCAACCAGTCCGAAGGGCTCGTCACGAGATGGAATTAGGGCGAACTCGGCACCAGAGAAGATGAATGGGGGAAGTGCAGTGAATTCAGGCTTAGAGAAGACTCGTCCGGGATAGATTTTCATCATGTGGTCAAGCTTGAGGGCGGCGAATTTACCGTAGAGATCGATAACGGGGCCAATGCAAATCAATTGCACGTTAGGGCGAGATTCGATAACACCGGGCATTGCGTCCGCAATAAGATCAACACCCTTTTGCATAGACCAGCGACCGACAAAGACAAGCAGGTCGGCATCAGGGTTCTGGTCGAGGCCTGCCCATTCCTGGGCCTGTCTCTTAAGCTCAGCACGGCTAGCCTCGTAGGTTTTATCCACAGTGATATCTTGCTCCTTGGTGGGCTCCTTTGTCCACTCACCGACGTCAGATGGATCAGGGTTAGGAAGATTGCCGACCTTGTGGAGACCCCAGAAGATAGGATAGCGAGCGTAAGACCGTTTGCCGTACTTCTTAGAGACACCGACTGCACCGAAACCGTTTTGGTGGACGCGGAGATAACTTGCGCCGGCGTGCAGCAAGTTGAACACTTCACCGAATTGGACGTAACGACGAGCGACCTCTTCGTCGAGGTTAAAGACGGAGCAAACCTCTTCCTTTTCCTTAAGAGTTCGCATAGGCCAGAGACCCTGGAACTCAGCATTGTGCAACGACAGACAAGCGGGGATCGTTCTTGGTAGCAAGTAAAGAGGTGCAAGAGAACCGTGGTAGTCGTTGATGTGGTAGGCGTCAATTGGGAATCGCTTGATGGCTTCCGC